CTCGAGGAGATCGCGCGCAGCTCGGGCGTCTTCCTCGTCACCGGCGTCATCGAGAAGGTCGGCGGGTGCCTGTACGGGTCCGTCGTCTACGTGTGCCCGAGGCTGGGCATCATTGGCAAGCGCCGCAAGGTCAACCCCGTACGTTTCTCCCATGTTTCGTCCCAAGCAGCTGAATTAACCATTTGGTATCAAAAATAGACCGACATTGAGCGCTTGTTCTGGGCCCAGGGCGCCCCGAGCACCCTCCACGCCGTGTCGACCACCATACGGGGCGTGCGCGTCAACCTGGCCGCTGCCATCTGCTGGGAGTCGTACATGCCGATGGTGCGCCAGGCCCTGTACGCGCAGAACATCAACCTGTACCTTGCGCCCAACTCGGACGACGGGGAGAACTGGCTCAACTGCATGCAGACGATCGGGTTTGAGGGCCGCTGCTTCGTTGTCGGCAGTAACATGTGCCTTAGAGGAGGGAGGTCGGGCGAGGCTGGGGGGCAGGCGAACCGCCTCAACGGTATTGGTAGCGCTATGGAGAGGCATCGGGGTGGTCCATCGATGCCTTCCGCGCCGCTAGTGAGGAGGAGGAGGAGAAAATCGGTCTTCGATGATGATGGGAACGAGATTGTGCTTTGTTGCCCGGCAGACGAGAGCCCGCCTGAGGCTGTGGATGATGTGCCTGGACCAGAGGAGCAAGGCAAGGATGACACGCTTGGGTCGCTGCCCCCAACTGCTAATAGAGCACCGCCAAGACGGAGGAATTCGGTCATTTACGAAGATGGGAACGAGATTGTCCTGAGCTGCCCTGCGGAGGAGGATGAGGCTCAAGGTTTGGTCCCCAATGGCGTGTCTGAGACTAAGGAGGATGACAAGGTGGGCGACCTCCCGTCTGCCCCTCCAGTTAGGAGAAGGAGAAGAAAGTCCGTGTTTGATGATGATGGCAACGAAATCGTGCTCTGCTGTCCAGATGATGGCGCTTCATCCGTGGAACCAAACAGCGCCGCAGCGGCAGGAACAGAAACGTCGGAATCATACACAGGACCATGGACAAGCCGCGGCGGCTCCTGTATCGTGAGCCCCTTCGGCAAGGTACTCGCTGGCCCGCAATGGGAGGATGATCAAGGCCTTATCTATGCAGACGTCGATTTCCGCGATTGTGTTCGCGGTCGATTGGATCTTGATGCCGCTGGCACCTATGCATGCAACGATTCTTTCAAGTTCTCTGTTGAGGGCTTGAGTCTGAATCCGCTTCCTTATTAAAGGGTCTTTCCACTGATTTTCTCGTCGTCTGATGTAGCAGGAAGTCTTGGTAAATACGTAAAATGAAATTGTTCCTCTTAAATCTCTCCAGCTTTGCCTTGCGACTGTGATTATGACCTGCCTTGCTCCGTACCATCGCATCTCCTTCTTGCACTCGAACAATGGAAGTAAGCCCATGTTGAAAGAGAGCTTTTTTAATGACGATTCACCAGCATAGTAGGGTGCGAGTATATGATGGGCTTAGCAAAGAGCCACGTGATCGGTGTCATTATTCATATTAGCACTTCAATCCCAAATACGTTAAGCCAGCTCCTTCATCCTGTGTCCTCAATATCCCCATTCCTATTGCCTTCTTTGGAATTGTGTTAGATTGGGCCACGGGGGAACAACATGCAAGCTCCTGGTGTTCCTCTGCAAGACCCCAAACAACAAGGAGTCCGGAAACAGCTCTCTACGTAAATCGTTAGCTCTGTAACCTCGATATTCCGGGCTATGCTTACGTCCCAACCAGGCGCAGGTATTTCCCCCCATGGCTTTGCTCTCCTCCGCTGGTGCAGCGGTGGAAGTGGCAAGCATGCTGGCAAGAGCAACTGCGAAAAGATTGAACTTCATGTTGCGAAAATGTTCCGTTAGATATCCGAGACGCGTTTGTAGTAAGATTCAGATGGTTGAAGATGAAGGGTCACCTTCGACATTAACTCATATGGGCAGGGTTTTCTTATTTGCCAGTAAGGGATAGATCAAGCCTAGGTCGGTGAAGAGCACATGGTCGATCATGAGAGACTGAGACCGTCAGGTCCAATCAGATGCATGAGATGAGTCCCTTGTTCGCATGACATGCGGTGCATGACCCATGTCTTAGAGCGATCTCACAAAAACGGCGTAGGCTGTTCTGCTCTTGAGATCATCTCAGTTTTCCGCTCTCATTATTGGCTATTGCGCACCGAACTGTCTGCGTTTTTTCAAGATCCTCCAACGCATCTGGCATGCTGAGACTCAATCTGGCCTTACACTCTCCTTCGGCGGTTTACCAATGTCTCTCCGACACTCCTGGCATATACAGTGAGCGAATGAAAATTTTGCAACCTGAAACAATAATTCGATCTCTTTCTCAATTGCCTATCTCTCAATGCTTCACCTATAACCCATCACTTTTTGTTATTGGTATTTCAGTATAGGCCTGGGGAAAGAGAGGGAAGAGACCCGAAAAAAAAGGGACCATTGATGTTCCATGTAGTCTAGCTGGACACCTCGAACGCCGCCCTTGCCATACCCTTTCTTTCATCAAGGGAAGTCATATTTTAGTTCCAAGAGAATATATACAGAGACTTATATGCAGAGTGATCTATAGTCCGTTGAGCTCGGCTGGCGAGGGTGGGAACGCCGGAGATGCTATTTTAGGCCGTACGCTTGGAACCCATGACCAAGTCCAGGGGTTCGGTAGTGAGAACCTCCGCGATGATGGGGCTCTCAGAGTGACTCCATCGAGCTCAAGTCTCGAGTCTCTCGGTTTCCCTGATAACATGGCTGAAGATGGGGTACTCATAGTGGACCTGCCGAGTTCATATCCAGAGGTGTTGTATCCCCCTTGACTGTCGGAGATCTCGGTCAGCCTCGAATGTTTATGAGACTTACTCCTCCGACTCAGGAGAAACCAGATTGCAGCAGAAGCTAGTGCTAAGAAGATGAGCCCCCCCACAGCTCCTCCAACTATTGCTGGGATGTTGGGGCCGCCTGCGCCAGCTGTCTGTTCCGTGGTATTGTTAGAGTTAGGGTTAGACGAGGGAGTATCTGTTTGTTGTTAGCGAAGTGCAAAACCAGCAAATTCAGATAAGTGAACTAACCAGCGGCGAAGAGTGCCTTCAACTCGTCACTGCTCCATTGCGCCTCTCCTCTACAAACTATGTCAGCATTTCCGAAACTGCTGCGATCATTTCAGATACGAGGTGGTGGCTGTATTACCCTTGCTGATACCAAGTTTTGAAAGCCTGGGGAGTATCATAATCTCCTGCGGAGGCATTGTAGCCGCTCTTCCAACCCAATTCAACCATGTCGTAAACTCCAAGTGTCCTTTTCCACGAATCGTCCTTCCACGTGTCTGCCTTCCAGCCCGATATACCACCCATGGATATCATCTGGCTTTTCCCCGCCACCGCGCACTGGTGACTCCATCGGGGCGCGCCTTTGTCCGAGTTGGTGACGGACGTCCATACAAAGCCCGGGAGAGAAAGGATCCAGACATCGCCATATGCAGCATAAGGAGCGCTTCCCTGACGGCCTCCGTATAAAAAGCTTGATTTTATCCTGTCAGCCATATGCTATATTGTATCTGGAAGATGAGGATTTATAATGCAAACACTCACATGTCGTATGTGTTGTTCTTCCCCCGTGCACCCACACTGCAAAAATGATACCTTGGTTGGGGCACGCTGCCCAACATCGCCGTCGTATTTTGCCTATGCCACTTGTCCGTACTAGGATCAAACAGAGCAACACTGTTGAAGTCAACCTCGGTCCAGGTTTTGTCGTTAGTAGTCGTGGCTCCGCCGAGGAACATGACAAGCGGTTTCTTCGAGAAGTTCTCCAAACACACTGCCTGGCCCCATTTTGCCTTCCCCAGCTCCGGAAACCCTGCTGTGCTTGAGATGTTTCCCTCCCATTTATGATCTGACAAGTCGTACTTCAGTAGGCCTGACGGGATGGAGCCTGATTTTGAGTTCCCCGCGCTATTCGGATCGTAGTTGCTCTTGGAAGTGACCGAGCCGCCGAGATAGTATCCTTTGCCACCGCAAACTGCTCCTGCGCCGTTGAAGTTTCGGTTCAGCTCGTCCTGGAATTTGTTCCCGTCCGTGGGTTTCTGTATTGACCATTCTCCTCCGCCTTTGTTGTCGGCCTTGAACATCCACATGGGCGTTTGGTCCCCCTCTTTAACGGTCGTATTTCCTTTTAAATTTACACGCTCACCACCCCACCTGTGCATCGTGCCAGACTTTTCGTCGGGCCATAGTGAAAACCAGCTACTTCTGGGCATGCCATTCGGATACTTTGACTCCTTGAAACTCACTGTCGAATTGGTCCAGTCTGTGTTTAGTGGAATCGACAGCGTTCCATTCACTGGAGAGAGTCAATGCCTGATTGGGACCAACGTATTAAAGCAAAACATGCTGGGAAGGGCCACGACGTACAAGCTGCTGAGTGGTCTCCCGTGGAGGGGCACTTGTTGTTTTTACACCTGCTCACTTTTCCGCCATCCCAGTAGAGGTAGTCGCCAAGTATGGCCACTGTTGTATTACGAACGTTAGCTGGATGGGCGGACTATTATAATGCTGTAAACCGGGTGGGTTATAGCTGGAAATAATATACGCACTGCGGCCACCCTCTCGCCGTCTATACATCGCGGTAGAGGCTCGAAGTCATACCCTTATCACCTCTCACGCACGTGGCAAAGTCCACTATGAACATCAGATTTGGTAAAGACGGACGAGGGATTCCAGTCTAGGCACCGAGAAAAAAAAACAGAATAGGCGAAGAATGGAGAGGGAATGGATGGGTGAGGACTGGAAGAATTCAAGCTTGTGCCAAAATGACTGGAAGGAGAACTCGCCAACAGCCACCCACTGACTGCGCCTTGGGTATGGGGAAATAAATTAATCCAGCGGGAAACCCCCTGCATGCAATTTATCGGACGGCATTTGCTATCCAGGCTGATGCTTACTTTCTAAAAGAAGCACACGAAGCCCTATGGAGTGGCCAAGCCGATCCTTCCCCATCCCCCATACGACCTTATGGTATCCCTGGCAAATGGCAGCCTGAGCCTGGCTGTCCATTCTTCTTGGGAAGCTGGAAATGGATGTGATTGGGGGCTGCGTAGAGAATAGAACCTTTGCTGCGGTCTCTAATTGCACAGTAAGCGAATATCCAACACGGCTTGCTCTGCCTTCTGGATGTGTTCCCTGTCAGTTCCTTCGTCCAAGTCCCATCTTGTAGTAACATTCGGATCAATAGCCTGATCCAACGGATTTAACTCTATCACGAAGGTGTAACCTGTCTTATAGAGCTTAATTCCTTAGGTTGAATTGATGTGAGCTTGAAGGATTGAGGGTCGCTTTCAGAAGACAAATGGTGGCTTCAGCGAACTTCTCCACCGTGCGCACGCTGCAAAGTCCCTGCACCCAGCTGAGTAAACCGCTGGAGCACAGCGCATTTTTGCTTCAAATTGCACTGCCCCTCTTCACACATAGGCTTCAATCGCCCACTCTCAAAAGACGAAAGACAATTGAAAGCACCTACAAGTTCCAACACGACAGCCTAGAGCAATTGATTGATATTACTACAGGACATAACTACCTTACCTAACCCATGTCCCCAGCCGTACTTATCAGCCAGGAAATACGAGCTGATTGTCGCTATCGCCCCCTCTGCTCTCCTCAGCTGCTGCCTGCGAGCCACTCATCATCTACAACGCGCCCTGGACGTAAGCTGAGGTTTGGCACTTTGGAGCATGGCCTGACTGGTGCGGGCAAAGAACCGCACGTGCACGCAGACCACGGCCCGAATCTCTACCACTACCGTGACGTGAGACTGCGGGCTGTTGGTTGCCGTGGATCGCGGTGGCCCGTGGGCGCTTGGCAAGGTGTTTCGCCCGCCGTGAAGGTGGTATCAGTCGAGTAGTTCCTTGGCGAGAAAATCCTCGATCCGATGAACATCACCTAGACGCGATCACCTCTTTGGGGTACCTCGAGGTCCCGACCGAGCAGGCGTTGGTATTTGCGTACCCAAGCATTCTCATTCTGCATTTTCAATATTATACTACGGGTTCGTAGCAGGCAAGATGCTTTGTTTCAGGCATCCAGAGGAAAAACTCTGGCACACGGACGCGGGAAAAACCAGCCCGGCTTCCATTCCGTGGAACAATCCTTCCACGAGACAGCGTGGTTCAGACGGATGTTCTTAACTGTAGGTGTGTATATCTCTCTCCCATTTGTTTCACGACGCCTCATCTCGGGGCGGTGATCGCTGGCATGGGCGCCATCCCTTCTCTGCCTTCTGCTCCGACTCGGCGTCCTTTCGCTGCCTCTCCATGGCTGCTCGAGCAAGAATCTCCCTTCGACTCAGTCCCGCCGATGCGCCGCCACTCTGCACTCCACCGAGGACAAACTCTCCTCCCTGCCAACCCCCATCATCCTCGTGGTCCTCCGCTTCTTCACCTCCGTTGACGTCCGCCCGACCTGAGATGTGATACCGGGAAGTCTCCGCAATAGTGTGGCCGCCGGACTTCCAATCCGCCGCGTCGACCTCGCGCTCAATCTGATGACACAAATCCCAGAACTGGCGGTCGTGGTCGCCGTGCACGTTGTGCGCGAGCTCGTGGCACAGCGTCTTCCTGATCGTCTTGTAGTCGCGATACCCGTCGTGGGCATCCGTACGAAGGCGCAGCTCAATGACCTCGCCGTGGTTGCGGTTCAGACCCAGTATCCTCGAGGTTCCCTCGTGCGTCTCCTGCGTATACGAAAGGGGCTCCATCTCCGTGAGCAGCGACACGGTGAACTTGTGCTTCTTCATCGTGGCGACGATGCCCGGGTCGGCTTTGAGACGCATGAGAAGTGCCTGGCTGCGGCCCGGGTTGGGGAGGCCGTCGAGGGGCCGGACCTGGAGGAACGTATACGGGGAGGAGTCTGCACGCTTAGTCTTTGACCGCGATGTCTTGAGCTTCCGGCTCTGGGCCTGGCGAGCGGCGTTTCGTCTGGATACGCGGTCCGCCATGTCCTGCATCGCCTGAACGGTGGACGCCCCCGAGCCCATGAGCATCAGAGACTTGCCCTGGAGCGTCTGCACCAGCTGGGTGGGGTCCTTTGCTGGGGATGTGAGGAGCGGTGCCTTGGGGATGATGATCTTTTGGTTGGCGACAGGGATGTCGAGGGTGGCCTCGATCTCGTCGAAGAGGTCTGTGACGGTGGCATCCTCGTGGAAATGGAACTCGTATTTAGTCTTGCGGAAGCGCAGTGTTATTGTGACCATGGGTGAGTCTGATCCAGTACTGGATACGTCGTCTGCATATTCGTCTGCCATGGCGGGTAGATTGTGGTGTACTATCAATGCCTGAATGAATTAGGTGGATGGGTGGTATGTTGCTTTGCGTTTGCTGGGTTGGAATAAGAATATTACGGGGTCCGCTTGCTGAAACTAAAGACTATATATAACGACGAAAATGGAGATCGATATCGAAGCTGTCTGGTGAGTGATGGTTACGAATGCTTAGATGGCCGATCGCTAAGGTAGCCTCGTGGCAGCGCCTTGGGCGGCATCACGGTATTAATAATGGCTCCTAGGCCCCTGGATCCATGACGACTGCTGGAGTTCGGAGAGCTTCGCTGTTTGCTTGGTAATCGAGCGCCAACACAATACGGCCACGGGAACACCAGAGTGGCGTCCCTGCGCCACACTTCGCTCTCTTTCTCTGCATTAAGTCCGCAAAGCGCGGCTTGGCTACCCTACATCCGCCCGACTGCTGACACATCGAGAGCAACGCGACAGAATGCGACAGACGTCATGTCACGTGCACGCCAAGGGGGCCGTGCTGCTCCCGCCCCCCTGGTCTGTAATAATGGAATTGCGCGCCGGAAGCATCAGTGAAGCTACGTATCACTAGCGGCCGCCATCCAATGAGCTTCCTGCGTAGCGCGTCGTGTCCTCTTTGCATTGCCAGATCTTGAATTCTTCAATGCTCCCTTGTCCAATTTGTTGTACAGCGCCTACAACATCCTGACGACCCTCAAGCACACCCGTCAAGCTCAGCGAAGCAGCTCGACCGTTCATTCATTTATCCCACCACTGCTCCGTCCGCGCCTTGCGCTGCCATCCCCTGGTACAGCAAATCGCCAAGCTCAATTTCAGACTCCATTCACCAGCTTCGAGTCGACATCATGCCCAACGCATTCCGAATCGCAGGTACGCCCCGGGCACCCAATCACCGACATGGAAAGCTGGCTCTAACCTCTACGCAGCGGATTTCTCCCATCTGGGGAGTATCCTGATTCTGCTGCACAAGATGGTGCAGATGAACGTAAGCACCCTATGAATCGACAGGCGCCGCGACCATCGCTAATAGGAGAACAGAGCTGCTCAGGCATTTCGTTCAAGTCGCAGGCTCTTTACTTCTTCGTCTACGTCACGAGATACTTGGGTATGTCCCAGACAATCAAGTCCCATCGCCCAAGCCATCGCTAATCCCCCGACAGACATTTTCTCCACTACCAGTATCTACAACCTCATCTTCAAGATCCTCTTCCTCGGCTCCCAAGGATACATCCTCTACCTGATGACGAACGCCTACAAGCCCACCAACGACCCCAACTCCGATACCTTCCGTGTCCAGTACCTCCTCGCAGGCGCCGCTGTTCTTGCCATCATCTTCCCCTACAAATACAGCTTCTCCGAGATCTCCTGGGCCTTCTCCATCTGGCTCGAGTCCGTCGCCATTCTCCCCCAGCTGTTTATGCTCCAGCGCACCGGCGAGGCCGAGACAATCACCACACACTACCTGTTCGCCTTGGGAAGCTACCGAGCTCTGTACATCCCCAACTGGATCTACCGCTACTTCACCGAGCCCGACCACACCCCCGACTACATCGCCATCATTGCCGGCATCGTCCAGACCGTCCTCTACAGCGACTTCTTCTACATTTACTACACGAAGGTCATGAAGGGCAAGAAGTTCAAGCTGCCAGTCTGAGCGCGCAGGACCACTTGGTTGGTTTCTGACCACAAAACTCACGCTCGTATTCTTGAGTCGCATAATTAGATTGACTCGAAGACGGATGCGATGTATTCGTTGCCCCGGACTTGCCCGACACCAATCACATAGGACAGGTGGCAGGGACATGGCAGCGATTGTCAACCCAATATGGTCAGCCATTTACGGGTTGTGTTGTGCATACTAAGGCGTTGGCGCAGGTTGAGGGTGTACATCGCAGCACAAACAAAGGATCATGCGATATTTTGTAACTTCTTATTGGGACTTCGGTTAATCAGATGTGGATTTTTGAGACGGATACTGTAGGAAAATAGACAAATTTGTCCACTATTCTAGCTGGCGACGCTCCGGCGACCAGTGCTCATATCTTGTTCATAATCTACCTGCACCAGCAATGCTGTTGGAACCATAGTGACTTTACAAATTGACAACGTGCGCTTGCAACCGAAGAGCTCTCCATACTATTTCCTATTAAAAGGAATTATAGGTGCAAACAATTTAACGAAAAGCCTTTTTAATTTTCCGCGATCAACATACAACCGTCGCAAGATCAGCGACGCTTGCAGAGGGAGTGACGGACTCACGTGACCTAGAGCGCGCTGCCATGACGCACGCTCAAACATCCTTTGTTAACCTCCCTTATCACACCTATCAGGAAAGCATCGGATTAGCCATCGCAAAAATGGCCAGCGAAGCACCCGACATCACCGAGAAGACGGCAGAGCCTGTGTCCAGCGGCTCTGTGCCTCCAAACTCCCAGCCTGCACCTGCCACAGAGGAAGTCGACCCCGTCGCCATCGCACCCGAACGGCTTCCAACACGCAAAGACGTCCCTCTGCGCGAGCTTCTGAACAAGATCGACGACTATGCACCAATTGTGAGTGCCAAACGCGTCTCTACAATGCAGCACCTTGCGGCACACAGATACAACACGATACTAATCCTCATCCCCCAGATTCCCGACGCCGTCACCCACTACTACATGACAAAGGCCGGCCTCCCACCACCGCCCCAGACCGACCCTCGCCTCGCGCGCCTCCTCGCCCTCGCGACCCAGAAGTTCATCGCCGACGTCGCGGCCGACGCGTACCAGTACTCGCGGATCCGCGCGAGCAACACCAACGCCAACAACCCCATGGGCTCGCTCGGCGCGGCCGCCGGCTTCCCCATCCCAGGACAGCAGGGAGGCGTTGGGCAGGTGGCGGCCGGCGGCGCTAAGGACCAAGGCAAGGGCGCGACCGGTCCCGGCGGCGCGCCTCTGGGCATCCAGAGGCCTGGGTATGGTGGCGGTGGTCAGGGCGGGAGCCAGAACCGCACGGTCCTGACCATGGAGGATCTGGGCATGGCGGTTGGGGAGTATGGCGTCAATATCAAGCGGAGCGAGTTCTACCGCTAGAGTTGGAGGAAGTGGGGGAGGGGAAGTACTTGGGTCATATTTTCAAGGCGTTCTTTGTTCAGCATACATCAATCTGGAGTTTGGGATTGGATCACGCTTTGGAGTGGAATTGTTGCCTTTTTAAAAAACATCACATGGTATTACTCTGGCATTAGAGATCATCAGACCTGGGATGAAAGAAACGACGAAAAATCAATTTTGTGCCAACGTCTCAAGACTATTCTATCTGCAAGGCAGTCGTGGTCCCTTATTGATACATGTGTGTTCGTACAATGCTTCCAGCTCGTGATGTCGGGCCTCTCTCGATTTAGCCTCTCTTTCGCTTGTCCCATACGATACCTCTCCGGGTCCTAACGAGCAATCTTGTCAGCAAAGGATTCTCCCTCCAGGCCTCGCGCGGGCAAGGCGGCGGTTGCAGAACGTACGGCGCGAATTCTCCTAGCTTGTGTCCGACCATGTCTTCGGTAATGAGCACTCGGTTGTACTCTTTGCCATTGTGCACCTCGAACCGGAGACCGACGAAATTGGGTAGAATTGTCGCAGAGCGAGCCTGGGTGCGCACTGGGGGCACTTTATCGTCTGCGGATTTCGGCCATACGATTGGGAGGCTGTTGCTGGGAGTCAGTAACCGTTTCTTGGAGGGTAAAACTTGGATGGAAATCTTCGCTCACGGCACGAGATGGGGCCCTAGAGGTTCAGAGTCAGTATTGCTGTCTTGGGAAAGACGTAGATGTGAATTGGAACATACCCTTCCATACGGAGCGCTTTAATAATGCCCGTGTTGCCTGCATTGTTGTTGGGGCAGACCGCTTATGGATTTCGTCGTGAATTGGAGTTGGCAGTTCGTGATGCTCAAATGCTGCTTGGCCCCGGATAATCTATTTGTCCGCCCTGCGCTCAACAGTGGGCAGTTGGCAGCATAGAAGTGACATTACACCGAATTCCGTATGATTCCAGTATGATCTCAAGAAATGAAATGAGTAATAAAATCCTTATCAAATACAGAAATATGATTTTTCTTTTTGATTATAACTGTGGCTTCTCTGTGGGGTATCTACATCGTACTGCGACGATAGAAGCAGCTACTCGTAGCGTTCTGGGTGGTGCTCTCTGTCACGCTACCCTATATCAAACATCCTACAGCACATTTCTCGTCCTTGACCTTTGTAGATTGGTGAGTTTCAAATATATGCTGGATTATTTACCAGTGTTTTATTGTCGTGTAAATCTTTTCAGATTTACTTACAAGATAAAGTTGGATTAGACTCAATGTGCTTCTTGTTGCTAACTTACTGAATAAGCTGGTGAACTACTTTGCTTATCACGTGAACACCTTGAGGAATTGTCATCAGAAGAAACAAGCAACAATTCAATCAGTTCCAAAGTAGGCTTCTTATGACGCTCCATTTTCTCTAAATATATTAGTTGTCTTTTTAGACAAAACTATTTTAGATTCGGGAACAAATTTTGAATCAATTTTGGGTCTCGGAGGCTAGACTAGGGTTTGGGCTGGTGTGATTCTGGCAAGGCTTTGGGTATCGTCCTTGTATTGAAGGAATGGTATGCGAGTAGGGAGGTAGTTGTAGTCAATAATTTAATAGCTAATGATTAGTACCTAAATTCGAATGTTGGTTTTGCTGCTGTCTTCTAAGGGGTGTAACTTCACCGCTAGAACGAAACACCAGGACAAAAGAGTTGAGAGGTGGACGTGTGTTCAGATAATACACATATTGTCCTTCTATTGCCGGTTTCCGCAGCTTCTCGGATGTAAATGTGAATGTTTTCTGGAGGCATTATCAAGAAATACCTTTCCATCCCTATAATTAGAAATCATTGATTGACGTATGTATCTCCAAATGGAGCATGATTAGACTCCAATGCCAAAGCCAACACTCCTCAAAGGCCCTAGGAGCTACAGAGAGTTCATGTAAAAATGTGGTTGGATAAGGAAGTTAAGTGGCTTTTGTTGGTGCATATGACCAAAACGTGCCATGAGAACATGAACAGTGGTTTCCAATGAGTCCAGTTAGGTTAGCAACAAGTCTGTTTCGTGGGTGTGGAGATGGCTGGAGGCTGGCGGCATTTACTTGCTATCACGGGAAAGACGTAGCATGAAGGAGTTGTGTTGGTTCCAGAAGATGAGTTAGTCATAGCCACCTCCGTGATTGTGTGGCACGAGGCTTTGGAGTCAGCCTGAATTCTGGTCTATCAACAAGGGAGAGAACATGAATTTCAATCCTCATTTGTGGGGGCTGAACGCATTACTGACTGGAACAGACTAGACCTGTTGGTGGCGTCTGAAACTGGTCAAACTCCTAGTACATTCGACATGAAGACACAACATGGCTGTCATATATGAGAAGGTTAGTGAGTGAGTCGCCCCGAAGAATGTGGCGGGTTTTGAGATTGGTAGATTACAAGGGAGCACAGAGCCACAATAACATATTCCTCCCAGCTCGCCGTGTAATTGGAATAGGCAATGAGGCAGCCCCATCGCGCATCCGCCTTTTGGTCGGAAGTACGGTTCTTGTCGGATCTCGCCATTGCGGATCGAGGCCGCAGTAAAGACCCCTGGTCTTGACAAGCCACACGGACGGATTGTGGGAGACCAAGTGCCGGCCAGGTTTTCATCCCATTGTCCAATGGGCGGACCAGCAGGTTACAGCGCCACCCCAGCACAGCCCTCTTGTCATAGTTAATCTACTGGGCTTGAAGATATTGTATTTTTGCCTAGTGCACTTGGTAGGTTTTAAATAATTACATTGAAGAACAATGTCTGCGCTACGGTTCTCGGAAAACCCTGCTTAGGTCTTCTGTGATAATTGCTCCGGCCACCTAGTTGAAGAACCTTTTTTCCCTATGTGAATAGTGTAATTAGCGTGTTCCCCGCCGGCATTTCTCAAATCCCTGATCAGCATGTATATTTAGATGCGAGCAAACGGCCCACAAGGCCCCCACATCCCATGTCATGTTCCCAACTCTGGACCAACAGTGGCTGAACTGAACCAGCCTGCGAGAGGCGGCGCTTGTGGCCTGCCTTGACTATTTTTGACCACAGTCTCTAGATTGGCGACGAGATCTAACCAGTATCAACTAAGATATTCTGCTTTGGGCAGGAACATGCCAGTGTTGGAGATCGCCATGCAACCAACGTGGGATCTGCGAGGCTGATTGTTTGCAATCGTGTATCCCAACATGTCATCTGGCCTCCGGTTTGCCTTGTCAATCTCATTCCAGAGATTCCATCAACAACAGGGAACTCCAAAATTCATAATGATTAAGTTGTGAAAATGTGTATAAAGAGACCGTCTTCCTGCCCCAGATCGAGAGTTTTCTTTTCATCAACAACCATCTAACAAACATCAAAAACAATTCACTCCTAGAGCTGGCCTCTATTCACTTCTCTCTCAAATATTTCTAAACATTTGCTTTTGCTGGACATTAAAGTTATTCTTTCATTATCATCTCTTTTACGAATTCCTTTTTTACTTTTCACTTTTTACCCACTCTACATCTTCACAATGGTCTGCCTTAAGCAACTTTCTCTTACCGCCGTCGTGGCCCTCAGCCTCTCCGAGACAGGGCTTGCAGCGCCTGTTTATGTTCCCATCAACGAGCGCGCGCTCGAGGATCGAGCGATCAAGAACTTCATCTCTGGTATCCGCAAGCATGGCGGGAGTGCTTGGGACAGCGGAGTTGCGGCAGTGGGCGCGGCCGCGGACTTTAAAAGTGCCTTTTTCCCTCAGCCACAACAGCCTCAGCAAAGAAGCCTTGAGCACCTTGAAGACCGCGGTATCAAGACCCAGAGGCTCAAGAAAGGTATTTCTGGTATCCGCAAGCATGGCGGGAGTGTTTGGGATAGCGGCGTTGCGGCCGTGGGTGCGGCCGCGGATTTCAAGAATGCCTTTTTCCCCCAGCCCAAACAGCCTCAGCGAAGAAACCTCGAGCACCTCGAAGGCCGCGGTGTTAAGACCCAGAGGTTCAAGAAAGCTGCGTCTTCCTTCGGCAGGAATACCCCTCAGGCTATAGAACGCGTCGCTACGGCAGTGTCTACGGTCGCGGATTTCAAGAATGCCTTTTTCCCTCACCCACAACAGCCTCAGCGAAGAAGCCTCGAAGAGCTTCAACAGCGCGCTTTTGAGGATTACATTAGAGAACTTTACTTTTAGACTTGCTTTTGACGATCGTTGTGTTGATTGAAGGTTGGGTGGTCCTGTATAGATAGGAGAGTTAGTTGAATGAAATGATTGTGTCTTTAATTACTGATTCCTCTCAACGTGCCGATCGCTGTGCGAGCAAAGATGCTTCAAGGAGCGCCTCAGTGTTCGAGGAAGGATGATGCTAAAAGGGCTTGGTTTAGCCCTGGAATAGTCTTGATTCACTCTATGCGCAAGGGTTGCCGTCGCTGCATTTCAGTTTTTCCTATTCGTAGATGACACTGACACTGAAGTTGGTAAGAGCAGGGTGAGAGAAGGTGAGACATGAATTGAGAAAGAGAATAGCCTACACAATAACCTTGAGATTGCGACTACACCCCAAAGATAATAGTAGATAGAGCACCTGAGTTGTAGTGAAGGCAACTAGAGCGACAACAGAATTCCGTGATACCATTATTCTTGTTGAATAGCCCTCCAAGGAGATGATGAGGGGCTCAGCTTGGAAACGAGGGAGCCTGATGGAGACACGGCACGTGTGAGTTGCAGGCAATTGATGTGTTACACGCCAAGCCATTTTAACGCTGCTGCGCACACAAGGAAATATCGTGACATGAAGCAGCCGGCCTCTTGGATGAGAAAAGAACATCCTGCGATGGTGTAGCCCCTCCACCGCTCCAGAGATATTCAGAAACTCGGCGAGTGGCCACTGGTTGCTCTCCTTTTCTCAAATGTTGGTAAAGTCTGTCGTCTCAACCTCGTCAACTTCCAGCCAACACACTAATATGCTCGCTCAGTGTTTCTGACCCAACAGGGTCTGTTTATGGGGGTCTACTTTGGTTTGGGCTGCCCATAAGCCAATGAGAGCGGACTGGGAAGCAATGCGACCCCTTGACCGTCGCTTGGCATAGTTTATGCACCTCGTTCTACCGCCCAAGCGCCAGGGCGGTGTTTCAACACACATCAGGCTTCTCCACTTTGACCGGTTTGCTGGCAGACCGAAGCGTCTAGATGCGAAGGACCCCTTGTTTTTTCTCGCATTCCGATCGAGGCTTTATTTTTGCTCAAGTTTATCCTCTATGATGACCTTACGGACGTACGCCTAAAAGACGCCGGAATGGATGGGATTATTGAGGCTAGCAAATGCCGCGGCTCTACCTACAACTCCTTCGTATGCTATGGGGAAGAAGGCAAGCAGTGCTACCCACAAGACACGACCACTGTACGCTACAGTTGCGGGAAGGGAAGTTCCAGATCACACTGCCCCGCGGCGCAGCCAAAAGGGGCGAAGGCGTAGGAGTTCCCTCTTTTCTATATTAACCGGTAGATCTTTTTGCTAAAACACTAGAACATGTAGTTGTTGCGCAAATGAGGGACAGATTGCCTGCCATGTTGGTTCAGGTTCACTTTCAGAAGCATCATCATTTCAGTGCATCTCGAAAGATCGGATATGCTGCGGCTCAGGTGACTGTTCAAACGATGAGTCTTGCTTAGAGGAGTGAGTCAACCCGGCCGCGTATATGAGAAGCTTGTCTTACAATAGATGAAATGTTAGGAGCACATGCTGCCGCAAAGAGAATGTATGTGGTGGTAAATGTATGTCAAGCGGACAGCAGTGCTGCGATGGGAATATTTGTGAAACGACGACAACGACGACAGCAGTAACATCAACAAAGACATCAGGAACGACGTCGGGGACGATTTCTGCTCCCTCATCTACCATAAACACCTCAGAATCGGCTACTAGTACCCGGTCATCATTGGGCTCTACATCATACAGCACATCCGGACGACCAACTACGACTGGGGGAACTGCTCCCACCTCTCTTCCCACGGACAGCACCTCGGACAGCATCTCGGACATCATCCGGACCGCCATCCCTACCTCGGCACAGACCGAGCCCACCGCGCTCTGCTTTCTAACTGCTACCGGAGATTCGGTGTACACCACACCTGATTGGTATACGGCATTGCCCAGCGAGCTCCAGAGCTATTACTCTTCAGTCAATGCCGGCGCATCCCTTTCAAGCTACTGCACCGCGGCGCCTACTTCCCCAGGTGGTTCCCACGGGGCGCCAGGCTCCTCTCTATCCAAAGGTGGGAAAGTAGGCGTGGCGGTCGCCGTCGCTCTGGGTGTTCTCATATTCCTCGCCGCGAAGACGGGCCTGGTGGCTAGATGGTGTGCCTTGTGCGGCGTAGGCGCGGCTGCGGCTGAGGAACGAAGCACGCCTGTGATACCTACCGCGAGCAGGCTGGGCTCAGAAATGCTCCGTATGGGCGGTTCTGGTCGCTACCGGACAGGAGTGTCTGAAATAATATCTGGGGACGGCCGCAATTTGATGAGGGGCGGCGCAGGAGGAAGCGTGCCGCCCTCGCCGCCGGTGCGCGATCCCCCGGCGGTGCCCACTGCCGTGACATATGTGTCAAAAAGCGATGAGGAGGTGAAAGGGGTAGAATCGCATCATGCCAGCATCATGACGGTGTCGTCATTAGAAAGCGACTCGGCCCATGAGCTTGCCGTCATGCCGTCGCCTCCATCAGATACGAGGTCCGGTAAAGAAAAGGCGTAACAAACACCCAAGAATACAATACCTCTATAATGATATTGGCATAAGTGGCCCATTTGGTGATCTAACGAGGATTAATTCGTAATGAAGATTATAGGAATGAGGATAAGGATGAGAAGAGTTATCCATCTTGTATGATGTTCTTGCACAGTCACATACTATTCTTAATGTACGAAACGGGAGATGGGAGAGATCTTGAATTTAGAATAGATAATGCTTATGATTGAGTTTTCTGGACCAGGACTAGAAACACTGCTGGCCACTTCTGGTACCTGGAAGTTCCAAAGCTCATAAGGCGTGCTTTGCTAAGTAATAGAAACCATGGCCCAATATTGGTGAACAAGCAGTCTGGGGCCATTGATTGAGTAGTTGCCTGTCGTTAACCTGAACAGTAACCAACCTTCGAAGGTTCACAACTATTGCTGCATCCATCATACAGGACGCAGGGGTGGTCGGCATCGGTGCAGACATTGATCAGTGTAGCAGTATCGCCGTAGTTGTAGTTGATGCCAACAACCTCGCCACCATCGTAGGCAGTTGTGCCCTCCACATAAACGTTCCTCTGGCACTGGCTGCTACAGTTCCCACAAGATCTGTACACCTTGCCGTAGTCTTCGGCGTAGAAGTTGATGATGTTGACGGTGCCGCAGCCATTGTGCTGGACGATCTTGTCGGAAGCGTGATACGCGCCGCCACCGATGATCCAACTCTCCTCGCCCTTCTTGTCGCCTTTCTGTACGGTTGTTGTCAGCACTATTTCGTTTAGTCAGGGACAGCACTCACAATGGTGATTGCATCCTCGCAGACATCTTCAAACCAGACAAACCGGAGCGTGCAGGGCCCAAGGCAGTGAACGCCTTCCATTTGATTCTTTCCAATGATGACGTTTTGGAGCGTTGCTCCAGATTCTAGAAGAAACACGGCATCGGAATCGCCTGCTTGGGCAAGAACCCAGCGGTTAGAGAAGCGAGCCGGTCAAAAGGACAAGAGGTATGATACGAACCTCCTTCGCCATCTTCGCAAGCACCAGAACCACGGTCATATTTCACCCACCCAGCATCGAAAGTCTCACCAGCACCAATGGTGATGGGGGCTGAGATTGTTTTGCTGGAGGTTGGAGTGGGCAGTCCACCTTCCCATCCAAGACAGGCCAAAACAGTCGGGACTAACCCGGCCAATGCAATTGTGAAACGTGCTGGGTAGTACATCTTGAACAATAGGTTTTCAAGGGACTTGGATTGGGGGCTGACTACTTGAAGCTGTTTGCTTTTCGGCACATGCCTTCGTTTAGAACGAGGAAGCGTGAGATACTTTATAAAAGTTTGGATTCTGGACTTCCCTAGCTCTCGCAATTTTGTTCTTCTCCCATTGGAGATATTTACGATGTGATTGATGGAAATAAGTCTAATTTTGTTAACCATATAACCTTGTGACGTGCTACTGAAGGATAGACTCGGGGATGTGCCACTTATCCTAAATTTGACACGGACCAAGTTATATCAACGAGATAGGTGGAAATAATATTCTTTCTATAAGATTCCATTGCCATCAGTATAGTGAATCAAGGATTAAAAATGAGAAAGTTTCATTTATTGGAGCGCGTCGCTCTGATGGGCAAGCAGACGCGAGGCCTTCAACCCACCAGCGGCTCTGCCATGCGACATCATATGCACGGTGGCCTTGATCTTCTAGATTGCCGACATGACAAGACTGCCAAGACGGGTAGCTGTATGGAGCACGTTGCGTAAGCCTGGAGGGATCTGCGGCCGTGTTTCGTACAGTATGGCGTGATGTTCCTTCTGTCTAGCACTTTATTCCAGGTTTGTTGGGAGCGAGCTCAGGGATATATCGCGGGGTTGATCCAATGACTGCGGCTGTTGGTATCCCAGAAGGGAAAGTTCGCAACTCAACATCCGAATGACAGATTGGGGCTTGATTTCAGCCTAAAAGGGATAGATTTGAACGATCACTGAAGCTTGAGAGGATCGATGCTTACAGTATTGGTGGGAATCCATTGTAAGGTCGCAGTTCACAAGGTGACAATCTGAACTTCAATGCATGGTTGTTTCCAGTCCTCACCCACGCCACTCCTAATGGAATTGCAAATTATCAGGGCCCTGGTTGGCGGCCTCCGCTCGACGGCACCTTGCTCTTCCTCGATGAACCCAAGCGCTATAATGAAGTCACATATATCAAAGAGTTAGAGGGCCGCATTCAACCCTAGTCAAGAATAGGAGCGGATTTTAGACGTATCTTATAAATCTCGCACATTCAGGGTCCAAGACCATAGGGAATAAAGAAAGCTTGTTTAACAATCTGCTTGATTCCTCTGCTTATTTAAAGGCGAGAACCGATATTTACCAAGGCAATACACTCTATCTCCACCTCTAGATTCTTTGGCAGAGTTTTGACAGCAACGCAACTTCTAGCTGGTCGATGCGTGAAATAAGTCTGGTAAACCGTGTTGAACTCGGCGAAGTTCTTCATGTCATCTAGGAAGACCGTGACCTTGGCCACACGACTGATGTCACTCCCTGCAGCTGCTAATGCAGCCTTGACGCTCTTGCAACAGGCATGTGTTTTATCCGCAATGCTTCCTTCAAGAGGCTCGCCGTCCGAATCGATAGGGATCTGATCAGAAAGAAAAACGTACGGTCCGGCAACGACAGCCTGTGACTTTACGCCTCAAGTTTAGTACATTAGCCAAGGGCTTTATGAAAAACTGAGGGGTCATACATAAGGCACAATTGCTGTAGCATACAATTAGTTTGATTAGGATTGGGACCAGATAGAACTCACCTGGACAAGCTTCCGTGGTGGAAATAGAGACAAGTCCTGGAAACATGTTTGCTGGGCACATTATCAGGTTTGCCCTCTCAACAGCGTTCGCTTTATATTATACTTGATTGGTTTCGTCAGGAAGTGGATGGCACCCTTTATGTCGTTTTTATTTTGTATCTGGAATAGCTACCAAAGTTCTGACAACAATCCGGTGCCGGATAGAAGCATTCTCAAAACTCCGAACTCAGACTTAATCGTCACCGCCGGATCTGCTCCAAGTATGATATCTCGTTGTTAGGCACGACTTAAGACCCTTACCCGGTTGCACGTTGGTAATTAGGTTCGACCTGGAGGAGTAGCCGGTCCATAGAAGCCGTTCACGTGCACGGCTGGGAAAATGAAGCTGATCCTTACTAGTTCAATGGACAGTGTTGCGCTAGCTGATGGAAGCTCTTCCGGAGACTTTCCCGAAACGAAATTTCGCTGTCAAACGTGGCTTGATATTCCTTGCTCACTCGTAGCCTATTCGGCGAACGCCAGCCTATGAATAGCAGCGAAAATATTGCGATTTCGAATATCATCTGGGATAATCAAAGTGATACTTGTCGGACCTCTGCGAGGTTGATCTACTCCGCTGGCTTTACTGATTCTATACTAATAAGAGACAGTGGAACAGGACCAGTAGTCACCGGCGGCGCTGAGAGGTCCGACAAAACAACATTTCAAAGATGACTACGTAAAGCTCTCTTCTCTGACAGCAAAGATTTTGTAAGCTCGCAGACTTTCAAAGCCACCCCGTAGCTGTAAGTATATCCTAGAGTGTTGAAACCATAGGCGTGAATGATCTCAGCCTCACGTTCGAGTCGATACCCTCCCTTCCTGCTTGGCCTAAAACCAACTAGGTCTGCTATGACATGTTTATTTAGATCTAACGACCGGAACCGATGCTTGCATATCGCATTCATGCGCTGCAAAATGTCTGGTCGGAGATCGGGATCTACGTCTTGGTCTGAGTTTCCTGGCTGACTGACTCCGCCGATTATGACTCCCCCGCTGAACATACGCGGAATCTGATACGTGTAATGAGAGCCCTGGAACATGACCATTTCGTGAGAGTCGCTCTGAACAAGCATTGTTTGGCCACGAACGGCGATTACCTTGTCGTCACCAGCAAGGTCAAAGGCTCCCAAACCGGATGCGTTGATGATGACTGGGGTCTTCAGGATAGAGCGAGCCTCCGCGAATGACTTCACCTCCGCACGGATGAAACGTACTCCTTTTTGATCGAGCAACAATTTCATCCAGGGGAGGAAAACTGCTGGGTTCACCGCCATAGACTGATATTTGAATCCAATTTTGGCATTTGCTGGAAGATCCTTCGAGGGCAGAAGCCGGTACTTGGGGACCATGTTTTTGTACCAGATCGTGGAATCATGTCACTACCTAGAATTGAGCAACTGTTATTTCTGGTGCTGATGGAAGTTGAATGGTTGTAAAAGGTCGAACCTGCACGCCACTGGTTGGGTCACGATGGGCCAGTTCCCAGTAATTTGAATGTCTCGGTCTGTAAGTCATGTCCTTTGCTGTCCGGGTAAGGAAGGATCCCTGCGCCAGCCCTTGAAACGCCAAATCTCGTCAGTCGTCGTTCAGTTGAGATTGTGAGGTCCCTTACCATGGGCTGGACCACTGTTGGGAATCATCATCTCCAGGCAAGTCGCGTGCAACGATAGCCACCTTAAAACCGTCTTTAACAAGAGCAAGGGCTGATGTGAGTCCTATGACTCCAGAGCCAATGATTCCAATCTCCATTCCGAATATAGTATTGACGACACGGGAGAGCTGCTCAAGAGAAAGAGAAAAAAAGCCTGTCCTCAAACCCTTCGTCTCAAGGACACGATTGTGGGTGGTGATATATATGAGGAAGAATTCGGAAAAGGAAGCACACTTTCTACAAAGGCCACAATGTTAATGCTCTAGGGCCTACTGCCTCGTCCGGAGATCATCTGTTAATGGAAGGCGCACCTCCCCCTCATTCCAGGTAGGTAGACGCCTCATTTCCGGTAGTGTACACCAGAACTCCTTTCCGAGAGCCGGGAGGATGCAGAACTCCGAAGCCAGTCAGAATCACCCGGATCAGCACACATCCGGGTCGCAACACACCCGGATCAGACCGGCAAGAAGCCAAAATTTATCATGTTAAAACTTGTACCGTATGGAAGGAAGGCACTACCACTCTCGAAATGAGGCTTGGAAAGATGATGCCGGTATCCTCTACTGCGAAACTGGAGTGACCGCCCGAAACACTTTGAAGTTTAAAGTCTAGAGGACGGCGTCCCCGGTCTACTTGCTCATCAAGCAGACAAGCACATATATAGCTGCGCTTTTATGACACTGAATTACTTACATGTGGCTTATATTCCAAGCGGACTTCTTAGCTATTGTACAACATTTGGATACTCTAGGATGGCATCTCCAAAGGCGAAAGTCCTTGTGGTTGGCAGCGGCGGCATTGGGACAATAGCTGCCCTCAACCTCGAGCTTGGAGGCCAGGTGGAAGTATCTTCAGTCCTGCGTTCCAATTACGAGATTGTGAATAAAAATGGTTTCACAATCAGATCTTGCGAGCACGGCGAGATACAGAGCTGGCGTCCATCCAAAGGTCTGCATAACCTTCTATCATTCGAACTGCATCGCTCACCAAGCCGGCTGGAGTTTAGTCTTGAATACGGTCCCCAATATGTCGGATTCAGCAATTGACCGACAATTTGATTACATTGTGTGTTGTACGAAGAATATTCCGGACGTCACTCCGACCGTCTGCGACATTATTGCTCCCGCCGTAACGCCCAGCCATACTTCTATTGTCCTGATACAAAATGGATTAAACATAGAAAAGTCCCTATTCCACCGGTTTCCGTCAAACATCGTCATATCTGGCGTCAGCCGAATCGATGCGCATGAAATCGCACTAGGCATCATCGAACAGAAACAAAACGACCTTTTGCATGTTGGACCTTTCCAGAACCCCAATCTCAGTGACGAAGAACAATGCCTAGCTGCTCAACGATTTGTGGCCATTTACAGTGCTGGGGGTAAAACTACGTGCCTATACAAACCAGATACGGGTTTTGACCGTTGGAGCAAACTAGTGTATAACGCTTCGTGGAACCCAATATGTGCTATAACAGGCTTGGATACTGGTGAACTACAGAAAATGGGCAGAGCTATGGATACTCTCGTTATCCCCGCCATGAAGGAAGTGTTGGAAGTGGCGCAGGCCGCCGGGCACCAACTCCCGGAAGATATCGTGCACAGGACGATCCAAAGCAATCCCGTTGAGGAGAACATTGTCCCAAGCATGCAAATCGACTTGCAAAAGGTAGGCTGTCATTACATCATTGTTGCATATTATAATACGGGATCTTACTAACTTATATCATAGGGTAATTTCATTGACCATGAGAATATCCTAGGAGAAATTGTTCGAGAGGCTCGCAATGGGCAGGGAGTTGCGACGCCCGTACTAACGGTGTTGTATGAGATCACTACTGCTCTTCAGTGGAGAACTCGAAAAAAACAAGGGGCACATATAAGCTAGGAAGGCATGATCCAGAAATTTAGCCAGAGATTTGGTCCCGGAGGATGCTGGCGGCTGTGGGCGATGGGGTGGCCATATCCATATAGCGGCGGCCATGAAGCTTCCAGTGGTTCTAGGAGGACTTTGATTTATAGATATGATTATTGGCTACAGAGTTTGGTATGAATTTGATTTTCTTACCCCATCCATGCCACCAACAACAGTAACCTGCAGACAATGAATCTACGTGGATAGCCCAAGGGCACCATAGAGACAGGTACCACCCAGAAGCTCTTCTTCGATGAAGTCAAGCGCTACAATCAAGTCACATTTTCCCAAGTCTTGGAGCGCACTATAATCCGGATGAGTGGCTTAGGATCCTAATATATCGTATAACAAAATGTCAAGGGCCTTAACAATACGTATGTATATGTGATTTATTCCTGCTATAATGATGGTACCGAGCTAGCTATACGATGACAAGAAAAGCAGTCCATCTCAATTAAAACGTGAAGAGCCCTGAAGCCGACCCTTCCTCCGTCTTGATATTAGCGCGAACAACAGGCTAATAACAAGAAAGAAAGCACAACTAACGGGTCCATCATCTAGTAGGATTCATTCGAGTCAGGACCCAGTGGAAATCCCTGTCAGGTCATTCATCCCCGGGCCTGCTACAGAAACGGTTATAGACTGTGTAGTAGGAAGCCCTGGGAACATGGGTTGGCACAGGCGAGAAGCAGTAATGACAGATGTATCTCTTTCCCAATCGTACGAAAGTTGCTGGAGAAATCATGGGCCAACTTCGAGATTGAAAGCCGGTGAATTCTACCCGTGGATTGGGTTCGAATGGAGAATAGTCTTGGAAACACATTGACCTTGATCCAAGACTTATCCTCCGTGAGTTCCATGTCGTAGTGGATATCTGGAATATCGCGGTAAATTGGCCGGAAAGTCAACTGTTGCGTTCTTTCATCGGTACCGATCTTGAGATCAATACATGTCTGGTCCATGACGAAGATATGACCGCGCGTGGCTACGTTCTCTTCCCGATCTGGTGTACCAATACCTCCAAAGTTCCGTGTCACCATAGTTGTCCGGTGATGTCAAGCGATCAGGAAGTCCCGTTTTCAGATTGATGTCGTCGGGTCGAATCAAGGATGGCCTGGCCATCAAGATAGATTGCTGAGTAGGTTGCTTTTGATTTCCATGTTTGACGCTTGAGCAGTGATAAAAGACGGTATCCAAAAGCTCCACATGGTCAGAATCCTGAAGACTCTTGAGGGTCACAGAGTCATTCAGCTCTAGGCATTCTCGGTATACCTTCCAGTACTGGGGCAATGTCATAAGACTCGTCTCAGGACTCCCTTCTGCCAACAGAGCCTTGACCTCGTTAAAGGTGATTCCGGTCTTCACGCTGGGTTCCTTGTTGACTTGACCGTAATCGCCCTGTTCATTAGTATAAAAGCCGCAGGAAACATACATGCCAATAGATTTAGCTCGGAAAAAACGAAGGTGTTCCCTGACGATGCCTTCTAAAAGAGGTGCCAGAAGAAGGCGGGGAGTTTGATGGGGCACATCCGTGATGACAACGTCATTTCCTTTGCATGAGACATGGTGATAGCCATGCATAGCTGTACGTGCGCTCTTGACGATGTTCAGAATGGCGCTTCGGAAGCCTTTGTCATGAAATCTGTCGTTGAAAAACATTGAGATTTTCTCCTGCACAACTCTGTCAAATTGGGTGTTATAGATGATCTGTTTGACGACTGTCAATGGAAGGTTTCGACTCTTATTGTTGGCTTTGGCTTGGGATGCGTAGGACGTAGAGACAGAGGTTGGTAAGCCGTCCGCTCCAACGTTGTCGAGATCAAACCAGCCGGGTCTAGATGAGGGAACATCCAGAATCTTGCCGGTAGAGTCCCTCATTTCCCCTTCAGGGGTGAGTTAGTCAGAGTCTTGAAGCCATTCGGCGAACTTGTGCGAGGCAACTCTGGGCTCTCTCTGCACCAAGCTCATGAAGTCTTTGACAGAGAGAACGACCATACCCAGCTTGGCGCTAAGGTCCATTACGTCGGCATGGGATACTTTGTGAATGTAGCCATTTTGGTCCCAGCTAAGATTGATTCCGATGTCCTTAGCGGCGTTTTGGGTTTTGGATGAGATGAGAAGGGGCTCATCGTTGATGAAAAGCTCAAGCTCCGAGTCGTAAAACAACATGGTAGGCAGTGACCCGGTAGTATGGAGGCTTGGTTTATAAAAGAAAGGTGAGAATTCAAGGATTTTCTAGTCAAAAACAAATGGAATAGAAAGCAAACTTTCATGAATAATTGTAGAGAGACGTCTGATATTTGCCACTGTGCAATGACTGCTAGTGTCTAAATATGGTAGATGAGTTGATCTTAAGAATATACAATTTGGTATCAACAATGAAATACAGTGAAAGCTACAGATCCCTCAGGCATATAAATACATATGGTATCAATTCCCCCATTACGAATGAGCCAACTGATCTGTGCCAAGTCAAAATAGCGTTCGTTGTTGTTTTCTGCGCTACGGACTCAGCACATAAAATTGAAACCGGGGAAAAATCAATTTCTCGACCTTGACTCCACTGGGTGACATGCTTTCCATTGTTTGTTGGCTTCTTAATATGGGCTTGCTTAATGGCTGATCTGGTTCAGTTCAATGTTGTGAGGCTTCGCACAAGGCCAGACCAAGGCCGGCCAGGCCAAATCAGGGGCCAGAAAAGGCTTTTTATCCTCAATTGGTTGGTTGATGTTCTTCCCATCGTTGCTGGTGTGTCCCTTGTATGATTTGCACATTTTCGAATTCCTCTCCCACGCCTCCCTCAGTGGAGCAAGGGGAGACTCCGCCTCACCGAGATGAGGCTCTAGTTCAACGCTTAGCCCCTTGAGATCTCTTACCAACTGGGGAGCTCTTGGGTGCAAGAGCCGCTGAATCCATTGAGGGTTTGTGCGAGAAATGATCATAATTGGTTCTTCTGCAATCAGTCGCCCGCCATAAGCGCTAGTCCTTGACTCATATTGTTAGCGCCTGGGTAATTCAGGCAGAAGCTGCATGTTGAACCAACATGCAGTAGATCCTTGCAGGGCTGACTAGGAATGTAAGTATTGAGGCTGAGGCAGCTTCCCCTCCTCAATCTTCAGTGTTGAAACTCCCCTCAACTTTTTTTCTTTGCTTGCCTTGAATGGTATCTACTCAAAACCATCTGAAATCTTACAACTTCAATTTGCAAGCTGCTACTGCTCTTGCTATAATCCAACAACCACATCAGACATCCATCATGGCCACCCCATCAAAGACAATTGGTATCAAAAACTCCAATATGACCTACACGGAACGCCAAGCCGTGCGAGTTGTCACCTTCAACGTCTCGGGTCAAATTGCACTTATCCACGCCGAAAAAGAGGATTACTACAAGCTCCCAGGCGGCGGCATTGATCCTGGAGAGGACCACATCGTTGCAGTCGAGCGAGAAATGAAGGAGGAAACTGGAGCATTGATCAAAATCCGCCCCATCGGCTGTGTTGCAACAACCGAAGAGTACCGCAATGATCTCCATCAGATCTCTTACTGCTATTGCGCAGATCTTGTCGACGACTCTGGCGCACCTGAGCTGACAGAACTCGAGATTGAAGATCGCCTCGTTCATCGTTGGGTCTCTGTGGAAGAGGCTAGGAAGCAAATGGAAGAGGCAAAGCCTACGTCCGAATTCGGCCGCTTCATCAAGGAACGTGATATCTTTCTCCTGGGCGAGGTTCTCAAAAGAATCCATTCGCTCAATTGATTGAAGATAACCATCCAGCAACTACACATCGCTATTTGGCTCCTCAATGTGGCTGAGCGGGGCTTGGAAGATGTGGCAGTTGCCTATATGGCCTTTATATAGGCAGACAGACTAGATACTTATTCAAACATGTAATTGCTAAATAGTTTGTCTCCTATTACGATAAGTAAGTGCTCTGCAGTCGACCTCTCTGTTTGCCGTCCAGTGTTCCGTCCCCTGCCAAGACTAGTGATCGCTGTGTAGTTGACCAAGCTGTCTCTCTTTATGCTAGCTGGGTAAGGTCTGTAGCTGCTACTAATCATGACGGAAGAAAGCTTGGTTGGACCTACAGCGATCGGTCGTCGTATCAGAGAACAGGCCGATCAGGGCCGCAGTAAATGCATGTTACAGCGGGAGATAGCACACTATCGATCACCTCATTTCTACATGTAATAATCACATAGTCCGGCAAACACCTCGCCACCTGACCTCGGGTGAGATCGAACGCCACAGTATATGATATGGCGACCCAGGGCGGCTCTGCGCAGGGTGGAGGTGGTGGCCCTGATAGGGATGAAACGACTACTCGTGGGTCAATGGCTCTCCGTTAGGATCATTTGACCGACAATGGTAAATTCCGATAGGTACAATACTCTGGAGCGGCTTCTTCGGTTTCTATTCAATCCTCCTATACATAGACCTCCTTTAAATTGCCTAGGTAGCTTGTCATATAGATCTACGACAACCTATCGATCATCTTTGGGACAATCTGATCCAAGCCCTTAACCTACCCTAGACCTTCATCATGCTTGCGGTATACTACCTATTCATCAAATCAAGCAGTCACTGCGCAAAACACGTTCAAGCTGATAGTGAGCCACAAGGCTAAATATAGCTCTACTTTGTAAACTTGGAATGTGTTACGACGGCTGCATGGATATGATTTAGTAGAAAACCACGAGGCAGTGGTCATTGTACTCCGCCATTCGAAGCCCGCATTGCCGGGCACAGTGGTTGCTGAATTATTGAGAGGATACTTGCTCCTTTCCCCTATTTGTTGCAGGGGATTAATGCAACCTATTCCATAGATGGAAATCTCTCCGCTTGTCGGCTGCAAGTTGTTAATTGATTGCGCGGTTTTATTACGCATTATATGCACGGTCGACCAACAATCAACAAGTAAGCCGATATAACCGTACGATATCTGTTGGTGCCAGCAGACTAGTAATCATCAGCTACTAAACGTAAGAAAATTTTACACAGCTGCAATATCCAAACCTACTCAAATATCTAGTGATTACAGCCAAATATTATCTGGAGCAACAGTGTTCCCGCGTAACTTCAATGTTGATAAGCTTCCATCTTGCGGTAGCTGCGGGCACGATCTATTTAACCGAGCATCATCGCAACCCAGTGATCAGATCAATTGGAGCTACGATGTCAAGGGTCTGATCCTTCTCAATAAATAGATCCCTGTTCAGTAACGATGGATCGGCAAGCCGCTGTGATGACCATCTAGCTATGCCCAAACTAGGTGCCTGCGCCCCCAACACGGCTTTTCCCTACAAGCCTGGACCGCTTCAACTCTCCCAAGAATGAAACAGTGAGCAGGGGGGCTTGGGGCCTAAACTCGAATCATGCAATGCAAGAACGGCAGCCGTTTCACATGAGCATTCAGCGAGTGCCCCATCACCAAACTATCCGGGCGGGGATCGGGACGAACCTCGATGCCATGCTCGTATGGTTATATCAGTTCAGTCGGTCAGCTGATCTCTGATTTTCTTCAAGGCTCATTTAACATGCGGCATGGCCGCATATTGTAGGATGCCTCATCGTTGCAAGCTCAATGATGACCAACATGCATAATGGAAGGACCTTCTAGCCAGTGAGCCACAGTAGACGCTCACATTTTCCACCATTGACCCACATAATCAGGGTAACATTACAGCAATCTAAGCTTACCAACAAGACAACAGGCCAGATACATCCCGGTATTATAAAGGCGCAGTGTTCCATGTAGGCGTCTGCTACTAACGGTAGTAACCATATGAAATTAATATGATGGAGCCAAGAACTATCTACTAGCGGGTACATGTAGTATTATAAAGATCTCCCAATGAACCTCGAAGTTTCTTTCTTTCTTTCTTTCTTTCTTTCTTTTTTTCTATCAAACTTCTCATAACCATCTCATGAAGGGAACACCGAGTAATATCACTTCTCCATCACTCTTTGTTAAGAATGAAATTCTCCCTTCTGCTTCTGATTGGCCTCTCTGCCAGTGTTGCAGGTCTTACAGTAACCACAGAGATGAATCAAGACGCTAATATCGTATACCGTAAACAGACATGGGGTGTGAGTTGTTTTTCAGTCTAATATCCATGGTTCCCAAAATCTACAAACGATTATACCCATTAATATATATTTTACTAATATATAGATCAGAAATGCATGAAGAAAACGAACGTATGCTCCGGCGCAAGTTACTTCCGAAAGCATACCATTAAAAGAGGCAAAAATAGGGACAAGCAACGTTGGATGAAAAAAGACTTACCAGCTAAAACCTGCGGTAAGATTATTACAGTGAGTACCAAATAACAACCGTGAACAAGTAGAAATATTTCATTCTTCTAACTTGATCATAAAATAGTGTGGCAGGGACGGAACCTGGTGCAGTCTAGGTCCCACTAGGGATGAGGCTACGTGCGATCCTTCGACCACTCCTAGTCCTCCTCGCTCTCCTCGCTCTCCTCGTTCGCTTCATTAGTCAAGGAGGTCTCTCATGGGAGGTAGATATACCGGTTAGGACTGGGCGATGGTTTATGTCTTCTCTCGGAAGGAAAAAAGATTGTAGATATTACCTTCTATTTGGGCTATTTTGGAAGTACATTGGATCAACGATCTTCTGGCACCGCTTCGCCAAGTATAACTAGTCCGTAGGCTATGAAATGTTTATCCGTAAAATTAAGACCTGGGATACATAAGATATATTTGAAAGAAGAGGATTGGACTTTCTGATATAGGTATAACACTCTCTACAGCCTTCTTCTTTGGTTCTATAGTTTATGCAAACTAACCAGATTCTGGTCAAGTATCTGAGATCTCATGCATTTTGTCCGTGGAGCTGGCGCCAATGCGTAATACGTCCATCTATCTATTCCTCTCAGTTTCGTCCGGAGCCTGATGGATCAGGTAAATCCTCAAAAAGTGGCTTACATAGGGGCTTGTTGGTAAGCGCACACATAGTAGGTGGTCGCTTACATCGAAGCACCTACGTAGGATGGTTGCATATGTGGACACCCAGGCAGCAGGAGGAATAATAAGCCAGAAAGCGCAGTCTGGCCACGCGGGTGCATGTAAGGTAGCACTTTTTTGCGTCCTTGATCCACCGAACCCCACCTATTATAAACAATAATATCTATAAAAAGGTCAAACGTGACCAGCGATGCACCTCATCAACTGCCTACCTTTCACCTACCCTCACATCCTTCACATTGAATTTACGCAACCCATTAGACTAATCTCCTCCCCTATTTATTTCATTATGGATCCTCCCCCACCAATGTCATTCTCTGCACAGATGAGAGCCGATGCACATAAGATAATTGAACAAGGCCATCCGGAATATCTTGTACGCGAGGTTTCATCAATTTCCGCACGCATGGTCGAGCACTTCACTGCGATTCCAGATTCAGCTCTAGAAACTCTTGAGGATTATCTCCACAATCTATGGTATCAAACTATTCTAGCAGGCAAGCATATCAGTGCTTCTTCTTATATGCAGGATAGCCTTGTATGCCATCTTATTGCCGTTAAGAATCTCGGACCGATACCGCTTCCAGCTGGCTGTACTGGCGGTAATGTGTGCTCTGACGGCCGCACATTCTTATCTGACCTGCCCCTCTTTGGCCAAGATCTTATTAAAGAATTTATGAGCCACTTCTTTCAAAAGGGCGCTTATACTCCTGATCAGCAAGAGAATCTCGCAGCACTCCTTGGGCGACTAGCTTCTGTCGGCATCTATGATGGCCCTGCCCTCTGTATACTGTCGCTATTCCGGGAAACATTAGAGGTCCCTCAATCTCTTGTTGCAGATCCCGAAAGTAAAGAAATACCATTGGTGGATCTAATGTGCGCTCTCACGCGTTTGATCGAGCAATCAAAATTCAGCCTTGCCCTCTTGGCCAGCGGCCATGCATCAACCGCTACCGCCAATCTCAGTGATCATTCGAACTTGTCTAGTCTTGGTGAACTGGCTATTAAGGCTGGAAATATACCCTCGCTTGGCTATAGCCGTCAGCGTTTGGAGTTTTGGCTACGGCGGATTAAGGAATTGTCCCAGAGTGAGGACGAGGATGTTCAACTACATGCTGAAAGCTGCGAGGGGGAACTGTTACAGCTTCTGCGGGATGTTGGGGAGACGTATGGTCTGGGGTCGGGGTATTAGAGAAATGAGGAAACATTCTAAAACTGCCCTGCACTAGGTTCCGTTGGTGTAGACGGGAGCTATGAAATATCTAACCACTGGTAGCATCGACCGACCACCGCTGACACTCACATCATCATCTCATCGCCTAATGAGTCCCTATAGCAGTCAGAAATGAGATAACTTAGTTACGCTGTATTGCCTCTTTTACATTCGATTCCACTAAGCCTACAAGATCTTTTGCATCGCGTCGAGGCGTGTTTGGAACTTAGGCGCTATGTTTGACACATAATACGCCGTTAAGATCCCCTACAGTCGGTAAAACAAAACGCCTTCTCAGGAATCACGTAAGATATTGCCTTTGTTGACAATATTATATTATAAGTATACATAATAAAATGTCCCAGACATTCAATTCTTCCTTAACAGACCTATAAGATTTATCTGAGATGAGACATTCTTACGCTCCAACGTCAGATTATTGGCTTCGTGTTGTCATTAAGGATGAAGGAATCAGAAAATAATAGTAAAGAAGGCTCTCAAGATAGCAATGATGACGCCTAGAGAGGGGATTCTCTTGGGGCGGATGGGTAAGACTGAGCGATGTCCTACTGTGACACATGCATAGTAAGGCCAATATGACAGCCTGTTTTTATTACTTTGATAGCCACCAAAAATCAGGGAATTTGGGTAGAAGTTCGTTTTTAAAAGCTATTTGCTGTCTAGTCCATACTGTAGCAGTATATGGAACTTGGTGGCTAAAGTGAGATCAAGTTAGATATGCTCCGAACGAGGATTCGTCTCTGTGGTGTCTGACGTACTTTATGTACTCTAAATTCAAGACGGGGGTTCTAGAGCCACGAGAGCCGTTCATAAGGGTATCAAATATTGTTAATCAGCAGCACCGAAAGATTTCCGATATGATACCTCTTTTTGACCAGGAAGCTCAAGTTTCTGCTGAAGGCTGTATACTCATACACAGTAACTGCAGTCGAAATGATGACGAGGAGTGCCAAGGGGTGGTATGTGCATACCTAACTCAGGGAAATGGTCAGCTTCTACCCCGCATTCGCCTTGGTCACATGGTGAAGCAAGCCTTCGAGACTCGAGACTTCTATCACACATTCCGAGCAGTTGTAGGGCCAGCTAGATCTCCACTTGCGTCCCTGCCGGTGGATGAAAATTGGACATGGAACCTGACGGATCTGACCAACACATATGGTGTATACAGCAGCACAGATTTTAGGATTTTGAACTTCATCAAAAGGCTCGGGGCTGAGATACCAGTCACCCAAGGCTCATCTAGATCTGAAGGCTCCTCCGGCACCCAGCTTTTTTCCAGAAACTTAATTCCATGGAGAAATCCACTTTATATTGTCCTCGATCACACAGAGCGGGTGTTTTGGTTTTATAAGCTTTTCTCGAGGGAACTATCGTTCTGGAGATCAACTGCAAGTGACCAAAGAGCCGCGGGAGTATCATGTTGCCAGTGCTGTGCCACACTTGGGCAAGATGATATTTGCTCAGAGTGTAGCGATGTGTTGGAGGATGAAAATCGCTATACGTGGATGAAAGACTGTCTACTCGGCAAGTCTCCATTTACTCTTACTGAATTGAACTCATTGATTCTCAATCAAAGAATGCTAAAATGTTACAAGGATAACCCCAGCTCAATACCATGCACCTGGCCCCCTTTAGCCGATGGTCGCACCTACGACGACGAAGATTGGGCGTGGAATCTGGACTTTTATAGTCCGCTCGAGGCACCTTTCAATAATATCATCCAGCTCTATGCTCAGTGGAGAAAATATCGGCAATTTCGTTGGCCACCATGCAACCAGTTGGATCGGAGGAAACGGGAGAGATCACTTAGTGTTTCCAATGATCAGCGGTCAGAAAGACTCTTTGGCGGATATGCTTAGAATAGCAACAGCTTGCATGATGATATGCCAGGTACTAACTCAGTTGGTGTTTTGACGGAACTGAGTGTCAATCCAGAGGATCTTGCAGTTGGCGATTCTACAGAATAAAACGGAAGAGTTCAAGAGAATACATATTAACGAAGATATACGAACAAGGCACTGCTTATATTAGTTGAACACATTATATTGCCCGAGAGTAGTTAGGCAACTATTTTATATAGAACTTAATCTTTGCGTCTAGATACAGCGATTTCCCCCACCAAAACCTTCCACTGATAGTAGCACGTTCGCACTCGACAAGTCCTTGGCGGGATCCCGGCTTTTCTTTCGGGCATGTATGAGGCAGAAATGTTTTATTGGGCTGACAAACGGCGTCATTATTAATTGGAATGCAGAGACACGACTTATAGTACTGTTCGCTGACCTTATCGAAGGGAGAGCAGACCATACTCAGCTCGCCTCATTCGCCGTCGGCACTTTGGGCGTGGTTTCATTTAATACCCTTAACGTCAGTCGACAGAATTAAGGTAGCATGACTTTACCTGCTGGATATCTGAGCATTTGGTTTTCTCTGTCTTATTGTCTTATCTACACCTGCTCGTCTGATTTCTAGTCCGGGATCTTGAGTGAAGCAGCGGATAGTACAGTACTAACAAGTTTTTTTCATTGGCTTCAAGCTTTATCGATATTTGAATGCGGCGTACTCAAGACAGAATTGCATTCAGCGCCTAAAAATTTCTTGTACCGGCCCAAGTCCGGTCGTAAGCACCTTACTACTTGATTTACTCCGTCCCGCTTGCAACATGTAAACACAGCGATCATTGATAATCAAGCCGGTATTTGGGCCATTTGATGAGGACAAGAAAGATGGGCTGAACACCGGAGTGAACACGGAATAATGAATAAGGCACACGGATGGGGAGACCCGGCGAGATCCTGCTACCCATTGTGGATCGGTTGTCACGGATTAATGCTCCAGTGGTCCATATCGCTTCCTGGTCCAATACCCATAGTGTAGAAGTCCCGCATGTTTTCGGAGGAAATATAACATTCCAACATCGAGATTCCCTCGTCGTATGGTTACATTGATTGCGATTGACAACCAGACTTCTGCAAGCCTGCTAGAATATCCCCTGTACCAAACCATTGAAGCGAAGCATGTCTACCGCCTTAACCCACAACTCTTTGAATGGCACCAACGGAGGTCATACTCCTGGCAAGAGACTCAAGGTCATTGTCGTGGGAGCAGAGTTCGCCGGTATGACCGCTGTCATTGAATGCCAGAGACGAGGCATGGACGCTATTCTCGTCGAAAAGTACACCAACTCGGCCGAATATGGCGATATTATCGACTTTTTCGCCAATGCAGGTCGAATCGTCGATGCATGGGACAATGGCAAAGTTGCTGATAGATTGCTCGACATCTGCATCACCAAAGCAAAGTGGATGCAAATGCTCAAACACACTGGTGAAGCTGTCCATCGTGACCCCTGGTACCTCAAGCCAGAGCACTTCAGATACCAATATGCTGGTCAGAGAGGCGCCATGTGGAAGATTTTCCGCGACTACGCCGAGGGACTTGGTGTCGAGATGCACTTTGGCGTTGGAGTGGTCGACTATTTCGAAACTGCGGACGAAACCGGAGTGGTTCTCGCCGATGGAACCAAGATTACTGGCGATTGTGTTCTGGCTGGGGATGGCCCAAAGTCCTTGGCTAGGCAGAAAGTCCTCAAACTCGAAGATAAGAAAACCAATAGCGGCTATGCCATCTTTAGGTCTTATTTCGAAGCAACCGAGGAATTCAGAGAGCATCCTCTTTTGCAAGAGTATCTCAACCCGGACGAGGACACCATTAAGTTTTGGATTGGTCCGGACTCTCATATGCTGGCCTACTCCTGGCAGGGAGGCTCTAAGGTCGTATGGGTATTCTTTCACCCAGTAAGACTTTACTTTCACCCAATTTTCTTATATCAGCTCGTTGCTAGTACTTGAGTCATGGCTAACTAATACCCATTGATAGGATAAAGAAGACATTGGCGAATCGTGGTCTGAATCAGCCGACAAGTCATCCGTTTTGAACTATATTGACAGCATTGGGTTCAACGATGAATGCAGGGCCATAGTGGAGCTTACGCCTCCTGGAAGAGTCATTGATTTCAAGCTTGTTTGGCGCGATCCGCTTGAGGCTCACGGATTGCTCTGATTGGTGATGCAGCGCATTGTCATTTGCCTACTTCGGGCCAGGGGGGCTCCCAGGCTATGGAAGATTCAGTCACAGCTGCCATCTGCCTAGAAAAGGCAGAGGGTGATGTTCCACTGGCGTTGAAGGTAATGGAAAGAATCCGTTTCAACCGCTCACATATCACGCACCAAGCAGGGATGCAGATACGCGACATTTGGCACCAGAATCCCTGGGAGCATGTTGAAGATGACCCAGAGAAGATCGCATTAGCCAGAGGAGACTGGATTTTAGATTTCGATGCCGTAAAGACTGCAGAAGAAAACTTTGAGCGTTTAGCAGAAGATGTACGTAACGGAAAGAAGGGTACGCTGCCAGAGCTTTCACTGCCAGCCGGTAGCGTGTATGACGATATCAGCAGCAAGTAGTGCTTTCAGCTAGATCAATAAATAGACTTCCTCGATCACCTGACTATCTGCTAGGCCTTCCTTAGAAGAATTATTTGGCCGTAGCAGGAGAGAGGAATTCGTCTGAGTGCTGCCGCCTGCCAACACCATAGCTCGTCAAATATCGCTAGCAACACAAAGCCCTGATCCAAACGATTATTGATCACCGGACATTGGTCTTTTAATAAGTTCAGTAAGTGAATACAAAGAATTCATTATTCTACTTTGGAATCACCCGCGGGGCCAGACTGGCAAAGCATTATATCATGTCCCATCTACAAACTTGGACAGTTGTATTGCTGGAGTTTAGACCGCCAGCCATCAGTCAAAACAGGTTGCAACTGGGTAGCTCTTCTTACTACCTGTCCGGATTGGGATAAATTAAATCATCGGATTAATGCTGTATTGGCTGTATGCTCTAAAGTATGTTGCCTATGAACAAGTGTCCTAAACATCCACCTGACTTTCCACGCCGGACGAATTACCAAGGATGGCTACCTAGCCATTTATCCGCTTCCAGGTTAAAAGGGGAGTTTATTGAAGAGGAGCTGAATAACGGCTTTTACAGAAATTGATCTCTGTACATACATACAGGGGCTATCTACTCCCTATTCAACTGACCATCCGTTGATCTCCAACATTGTCTTAAGACTTGCTATTAAGCGTGTGCTAGAACTGTTATGATAATTTAATGCTGGAAATGCTAATCCGTATCTTAATCTCTTCACATCTCCGCTCAAATATACAATCTAGCTCTGCCAAGTCACCCTCTTATCTCTGAACAGAGTAACCATTCCCATTGGCAAAAGGCCCTGGTCCACAATGTTCAGCGCCCCGAACCGCTTCACAATGTCCGGCCCGTGCATCATGACCACCCACTTCCAGTAGGCACTCATGAAGCTCCAGTGCCCGGTAATGCCTCCCTGATAGGAGCCCGACTGCCTAAGTTGATCCAGCGCCGCCGACAGCGAGCCGGTGTCCAGCCGCACGCTCGTCTCGGTCGGCTGCTTCATGAGCTGGCGGAACACGTTGTGGAGACGCGTAGCGGCCGAGTGATGATCGAACCTGAAGTAGGCCCGATGGCGGACGTACTCATCAAAAGACATAAACTCGTCCCGCTCGCGTGTCTCGGCAGGCACCCAGTCTGGGTCGTCGAGGGCGTAGCGCAACGGCTTGACGGCACCGCTGAGAAACCGCTCCCTGGCGCGCTCGTAGGCGTTGCGCTCGGCCTCCTCGAAGGTCTCGACGAGCTCGGCGGGGGACGAGATGACGTCCTCGCGGATCTGGAGCAAGGAGATGAAGGGCGACTGGAGGTTGAGCCCGCCGAGCTCCATCGGCCAGTACAGGTAGCCGTCGGGGACGTCGTCGATGCCGAAGCGCTGGGCGATGGCGCGCTTGAGGTGCTCGGCCACGCTGGCGGCGCGGTCGTGCTGCTCCCCCCCCACGCCGCTGCCCTCCTCGGCCATGGAGGAGAAGATGAGGCGCTGGATGCGCTCCTGCGTGGACAGGATGCTGTCGACGTGCTCGCGGCCGAAGCAGTTGGCCGCTTTGGCGAAGTTGGTGGTGAAGAAGCGCCCCGCGTACGTGTTCCAGGCCTGCACGAAGTCGAGCACGCTCTTGCGCTTGCTGCTGAGCTGCTTCTGCAGCTCTGCGATGTGAGTATCGACCATTTCCTGGTCGATCTCGAAGCGCGCCGTCTGCGGCGAGAGGCGAAGGAAGCCCCAGCGGATGTCCCCCGCGGGCAGGGCCGGGTCGATGGGCAGCTTCTGCTTCTCGTCCCGGGACACACGGACGGTCCCCGTCTTGGCGAGGTTGATCTCAGTGCCCGTCACCTCGGTGAACTCCTCCACGGCCTTCCAGGCCTTTGCCGCCATGGCGTGGTCCCGGGACCAGAACCAGAAATCGTCATGGATGCGCCACAGGTTGGTCCCGCATGTGAGGCGGTTGATGGCGAAGTCGAGGCAGAAGAGCGTCGTTTCCCCAAAGACGTCACTGAGCGTGTGGGACGCAGGCATTCCTCGGCGACGCTTCCGCGCGGGCGTCGACTCGTCATCCTCGGCGAACCTGAGGGGCGCCTCGAGGAAGTTGCGGAAGAAGTCGAGCCAGGAGGGGGATACGCCCAGGAACTTGAGGACGACGAGCACCGTCTGGTGCGGCAGCAGCGAGTTCCAGCTCTCGAAGACTGAGTGGAAGGCCGTCAGCTCGCCGTACAGTCGTTTGTTGATGGTGATCTCGGTCGCTAGGAGATGTAGGAGCTGCTGCTTGAGCGCCATGGGGCTGAGACGCTCTCCGGTGTCGACATCGACAGCATCCTCTGCCTCCTCCTCTTCATGCTCCTCGTCCGAGTAATCGATCAGGCTTTCATATTGGGCCCCCCCAGTACTGGGAGCCGACATTCGAGCTGCCTTGCTGGCGAGCTGCCTGCGTGGCGCCGCTCCACCTGTCGACTTTCTAGCTGTCTGCTTCGCTCGGCCACCTACCTTGCGCTTCTGGCCTAGGCTCTGAGCGGGGACAGACGTCACCTGCTCGTACTCGGCCTCCTCCTCCCCGTCCTCCGTGGTTGTGATCTGCTGCTCGTAGTCCATGAGGTTCACCAGGAAGTAGCGCATGGCGTGCACCTTGTTGCGCACCTCGTCCAGGCAGGGCTCATCTTGGAGCGGACCGAGATAGTAGCCGAGCCTCTTCTTGTCCTCCTTTGGGATGGCGTTGCGCGCGGACAGCCAGGTGCCCTCGACCGTACGGAGCGAATCCAGGGCGCCCTTGAAGAAGACACTCCACTTGATGCCGATGTAGTGGAGGAAGATGGCCTGGAGTAGGTCCTCCTGCATCGTGATGTTGAACACGCCGCTGATTTTGCGGTTCATCTCGACCTGCACGGGGCCGTCGGAGCTCCAGGTCCACGAGCTCAGGGCACCAAGGCGCATGTTGAGGACGTCGGCGATCTCGCTTAGTATGATGTTGTTGTTCTCAAAGTCCTTGAGCACCTCGCGCTTCTCGTCCGAGAGCAGGTCGGAGGCGTAGAGGCTCTGGATGACCCACTTCAGAGACGTGACGTTGAACTGGTTCGGTGCCGAGAGTCTCATCTCGAAGGACTGTACGGACTCCCTGAGCTGCGTGAGAGCCTTCTGCAGGCCCTTCTTGGACTTGTCGCCGTCATGGAAAACGCGTTTCAGGTACGCCTCCAGAGCGTCCTCATCTACTTCAGCAGGCTCGAACACCATTTCCTCCCACTCCATCCTCGACTCAAGTTTCTTGCCGTTGTCGACTACCTCATACGCTTCATCCATGGTGACATCATCACCACCAGCCGACTCCTCCTCCTTCTTCCCACCTGACAGCCACTCGGTGACAAGCTGCCCGTACAGCGAGGCGTACTGGAACTTGAGCGACTGCACGTCCAGGTGGCGGAGGAGGGACTGCTCCCAGGTATCCAGCATGGTGCCGGACACGGAGGGGTCGTACTTGACCTGCTCGAGGAAGCGATCCAGGTTCTGCAGCTCCGTCTCGAGCAGTTTATGCTTGGTCTGCTCCATAACAACCTTGCCAGCCTTGTCGAGCTTGATGGAGAAGCACTCCTTGACGCCATCGCAAAGCAGAGAGAGGCGGCGGGCCGGGTCGCTCTCGGCGCGTACGACCTCGAGCAGGGACGCCTTGGCCTCCTCGAAGCTGCTGCGCCTCTTGGAGAGTTCGTCGAGCTTAGTGTTGGTGATGCCCTGAAGGGTCTCGGAGAATACGCTGCCGGAGGTGGCCATGGTGGATATTGTACTATGGGGTGGTCCTCAGTGTCTGTGTGTACACGACTCGTGGTCATGTGATGAAGGGCTAAATAAGATGGATAAGAATGAGATAAATGGATGAGAATGAGATGGAAGGATGAGAAGTTGGTGTCTGGATCATGCGTTGCTTATGTTTTATACTAGGGGGTGGTTGAAAAAGTGGGGTTCGTCAAGAAGGAGTGTAGATGCTGCCTGATACTACGCCACATCGGCATGGAGCATGGTTCGGGGAGAGCTTCTTTTGGATCAAACGTCTGACTAATTGTCCTTATATCTATAGTTCTTCAAATTGAAACCAAATATCAGGCTGAGCGAGTCCGTCTAATTATGGTGAGTGGACAGCAGGATCAAATTCTATGAAGTGTATCAGCCGAGACTGGTAAAGGGATAATGTAGTATTCACACGCATGTTGTCTAGCTGATTATAAGACGTAGTCTTCTTGTTCAACATTGATTAGTTTACCCCAATGCTATTCTCGATCAGGGCCCAGGTCTGGGCGGTAAAAGTCCCATGTAGCCAAACATCTCCCCGGTGGTCCTTACCAGTCGTGATCAGGTAATTCCGGTTCGTCCACGCCGGCTTTACAGTAAAAGCGTGATATAGAGCCGGACTACCCAGGGGGTTTACCCTCTGCTGGCCTGTTTGACCCTGCTTCACGACAGCCGGCCCGAACTGGGCAACAGTGAAGTGCTTAGCTGCCGCCCAGTTCGTTGTGATGTACAACGTGCTATCTGGCTTCGTATGCATGGGGGCTGCATTGTCACCCTTATCCCACTGCTCCTTCTTGGTTCGCAGAGCGGCCAGAACCTGCGCTGGGGTTGTCTGCCTCATCAATTCCTTGCGGATATTCCACGCAATGCTCCCGACGGATGCGTTGGCCTCCTCGGCCGACAGGAGCGTGAAGTTGTTCAGCACCATGTTCTCAACGTGAGTGTCAACCTGGCTTATGATCCCCGGCAGTCTTTTCCGGCAGTCAAATGGCAGACACATGGTGAGAGAATTGGGCTTCGACTGCGATCGGGCCAGATTGCTCAACCAGAGCGCGAGTATGGCGTCGAATTCGCTGATCCACGGCTCCGGACCACCTGCTTTCTGCTGCTCCCTCTTGGCTTCATTTAGTGTCTCGGCACGTAGCTTTTGCACAAACTCCTTGGGGAGGTGCACTACCCGTGATTCCATCTTATTCCAGTACATGTCCCAGAGCAGGCTTCGGGCAAAGGAAACCATGCTGAGGCCGGATAGTCGCGAGTCAGCAATAACGCTTTCTTCTTGCTGCGCGGCGTCTGAACTAGCAGCCTCATAGAGAATGTCCCGCCCAACCAACGAGACAGGCGGCACCTTGTCTTCCTGACCGGCCAGCACAAGGGACCAGGCATTGACGAGGAATCCTACGCCGTTTGCGTCCATCAGATTATGAGGCCACGTCAGGGAGACAAGTGTAGCATCGCTGAAAGAAACGATGCGCAGTGACAGCATTGGCTCATCTCGGGCGAGGAGGTCCTGGAGCGTTTGCGGCTGGTCTTGTCGAAATACCAGCGGTCCCAACTCCTCCGACGCCGGATGGAAAGAGGGGCGATTCGCCGGCTTAGGGAACTTGTCTGCTAGGGCATGTTCCGCAAGCTTCATACTAAGCACCTCACTTGAGAAGGCAACCGCAGGTCTTTGGCTGGTGTAGGGAGTGGGAACATGAATCTGCAGCTTGCGCGAGCTGGGGACTCGTCTAAAGCGGCCACCGAGCTTCCTCCAGTCGCCGATGTCGAGTAAACAATTGAGGGAAGAGTGTAACTTGACGGGGTCGAGTACATCATTGAATTGCCATATAGAGGCCATGATGAGAGGTTCGAATATTTGCGTGTTGTCGTGGAAGTTTGTCTGGTAGACTTGATCGCTCTCAATGAGAGGCACAGGGCTCTTGCTTCCACTGAATAGTGAGCTAATCCACGCCATTTTGGTCAAATTTGTGTAATGAGGTTGCAGAAGGAGATGCTCGGAAAACAGTGAAGTAGAGGAGGCATGGTGACTCTAATAAGCTAATGGAATTGCACCCCATCTAGGATAGCAGGGACACCTGGTTATCGAGCGAAACGCTTCTCAGTAAGCACTAAGTGACAAATTGAATTAGCATTATATCATGAAGTCGGCAGCCGGGTCCTGTTAAGAGAAATCGTTAGCCAAAGCAAGGATAGTCTCGATAAGCTCGCCTGGAAAACCCGGCCTGTCTGCCTTGGTTGGTTCTTATGTGCATTTTGAACCCTCTAAGAGCCCCATAATCCGGTAGTCTCACATTCGACGTCGTCAGCGTTCAGGAATCAGAACCTTGTTGGCTCAGATTTTGCCCCAATTCCAAATCAGAAAATTACCTGTTTTGGAAAGTGGAAGTAAATACACTTCTCTCTGCTAATAAATGCCGTGTGCGAAGTACTCACGCGGCATAAATCACTCAATCAATGCTAATTATCATGCCGTTTTGCCTACATGCTGGCATAAACTTGAAAGTGTGTCATTAAATTTCTGTTTATTTCAATCTAGCACACGCGCTCTATTATCACTGCTGTCTATTATATCCACGTCTGAACCACCGTAGGGGCGCATTTTTGTCGCTCGCCTACGCCAGAAATTCCCTCGCAACGTTCCATTATTGGCGTCCTCTCTAACTCGTGCTCTTCTACTGTAGACTCTCCCTCAGAACTGTCTCCAGAATCTCCCTCGGAACGCTCGCTGGAATCTCCCGCCAAGATAGCGCATCCCCCTTTGCCAGTTTCCTGGTATCTTATCTTGAGAAGACCAGCTTCTTCGATTTTCTTCCCGCTCGCCAGGTTCCCCAGGCCCATGCCGCCCGTCGAGGCTGCCACAGCCACATACCGGAGGTCGGTCATGTCGAACTCGGGCATGCCGCTCCACCACGAAGTGCGTATCACCTCTGCGATGAACAATCCAATCACGACGACATTCAGGATGAACACAGAAATGGCGTACTTGAACTCCCCGATCGCGATGGCGGAAACGCGGATCGTCGTCGGAGTGATCTGTGAAAAGTTGCCGATCATCACCTGTGCGGCCGCGTAAGCGCCCAGCATGTCATCAGCCATGGCCGTGATTGAATTTCGCACGCCCTCGAGGACGATGTCAGATTCATTGGATTTTTGAGGGATATTCCCGGCCGCAATGGACGTCTTTAGGTCCGTGATGGACGCATTGAATGCCGACCCGACCATGGACACGTAGAGGTTGGTTTCGTCGTTGGCAATCAGCTCAAATTGACGAAGAAGGGTGCCTTTGAGACGGCGGGTGGGGTCGATGTCTCCCACCCCGAGGATATCGGCCGGGTTCACGGTGATGTTGCGGCCCTCGATGTTTACAGTCACGTTGAATTTGGTCGGGTGGAAGTCGACTGAGCATTGCACCTTGTCGAGGAACGCGTAGCTCTCACCGGTGGCGAAGGCCAAATATCTCCTCGGCGGCAACTCCGGATCCGAGGCATTCTTGAAATGGCCGACGCCAATTGCTACGACACTGGTGCCGTCGTGGCCCACGTAGCTAGAGTACTCTTCTGTGTCGTCGGAGTCGGGGAGCATCCCACGGGCGGTGTAAACCCAATGCTGTCTCGATTCCTCCAGCCTGAAATCGCTCGTCTCGTTGTAGATGCAATCCACGTCGGCTCGGTACCCATCCTCTTGATATGTATACAACCTGGCGTGTCGGTTCCCTTCAATGTTGTCGTCGACCAAACCAGCGGTGGATCCCATGCCATACGATCGTCCCATGTACGTGTAACGGGAGTTGTCTAGCTTGCGCTGCTGTCTCGAACCTGGTTCTATTGGTGTGGCCGAGGAGGCGCTGGCGAGTAGACTGCCGAGAAAATCGAGAGCGACCGAGTATGAGAAACGACCGTGTGTATTCTGTATCATCGGGCCTCCGTTCCCGATCTCGGATGCGTACTCCCTTAGGAGCGACACATCGTCCCAGCTGGGGATGGCTACCTGGCCGTCTGTCTCCTTCCAGGTTATGACGGGTGTTAGCGACGCGGCCCAAATGCCTCTAAACGCCTTGGTCGAGCCCAGGAAGAACAGAAGGGGAAAGAGAAACTTTGGGGGCAGGTCCCAGTCCATGTGGGTGACCATGGCATCGGACCACATCAGCATGCTGTTGAGATCCATCTCCCTGCTCGCAAAGCGGCGGCGGATGGCAAAGTTGATGAGCCGACATAGCACGATGACCTGGGCGGCGGAGAGGAAGTTGGCAATGAGCTGGACGGCGAACTGGACACTGGGCCGGTTGTTGCTGATGAAGTCGAAGAAGCCGCCCGGGAAGCGGGTGGACTGCACGCTCGCGTACAGCAGAAAGAAGCTGACTGGTGTCGTGAAGAGGAGCGTGAGGAAATTGAAGTGGCCAGCCGAAAATAATGAAGCCTGTCCGTTTCGGGCGCCCTTTATGCGAGCCGACTTGGCCATGGCGTTGCGTTTTTCTATGTCGGCAACGTTGCAGTGGGAGGACATAGGCGAAGGGGAGAGGAGCTGGGGCCAGAGTCGGCGATGCCCCGATTCTTGTTCCTCCGAGGCCTAGGCATGTTGGCAAGATCCTACGCCGCTGCATGACTAGAGTTATGCTGTTGGTTGTGTTCAACAACCAACCTGCATATGAAGACATCAATTCTGGTGGCCGGTGACATCGAGACTCTGGGCCCGGCTCACTGCCATTGGTTGATTGGCTCTGCCGCTATTACGTGCTGCAGGCTCAGCGGCATCAGGGGGTCTGATCGCCTGTGATTGGGCTCCGAAGCGCTACAGCCAGCGCCTGGTCCACGCACTACCGGTAAGGCGGTCGTCGGCCAGGGGTGAGATGAGAATAGAGCCGAGCCAAGCGTAAGATCAAATGCCAGCAAGAGCAGTTAATTCAACGTAGCAAGAAAAGAAAGAAAGAGCTGCCCAGGAAAATACTGTGCAAGACAGTTGAATCAGATGACGTGGCGGGTGAGACATGGCTTGTTCAGCTTGTTCAGCTTGTTCAGCTGGGGCGGGGCAGCTGCCTAACATGAAACCCGAAATCTGCCTCCCACAAACGCTCTTCATTCATCCATCCCCATCCCCCATCACGGCGAGATTGCCGAGCGGTTCCTCCTCTTCTACATCCCGGCACGCTAGGCTGGCTCGTCCGGCGCCCAAGTATTCCCGCCATCTTCATCCTCGCCCGTGATTATCACCATGGCAGACTGTAACTGCGCCCTGTGCGGGGCCCCAACGTTTCATCCCACATGGGACCCGGTGGAAGAGGTGGATGAAAATGGGATGCGCCGATACTCGATGGCCACATTAGTATCTGGCCCTGATGACCCTGAATTAGGTTGGCTGTCCCGTGTCAAGGTTATTTTTGAGAACTTGAGGCAAGTCTCCCAGGGCTAATAGTCTGCCGATAAATACTCCCACTGACTCTTCTCAAGCCAAATTTCCGGCACTTTGCTGTCGCAAACATCCCAAACATCAGCCCTTCCCCAGTTGCCGGCACCAGATGAAGTTGACCATGGTGGAATCCCGACACCGTCAAATGGACAAGTCAACAGCACCGAAGTTGGGGGCATCGGATGGGTCGAGAGTAATGGTGGGCCGCAGTAAGTTGGTTTTATTCTACATAAACCAAGCGACGAGACTGATATATCGTGCAGCTATACCTGGACCATAGACTGGCACAACAGCGATATGTGGCGTTTCCCGTTTCATTTGGAGTGCATCAAGATCCTGTGTCGATACTTGGATATTCCAATGTCGCAACTCAACAACACATCCATTTTTGAGGTGCTCAAGAGCTTGGAGGAACACAGCGAGCACGGGACATTTCTCGATATCGACTATGGCGATATCACCGACGTGATGTGCGAATGGACAAGAAACAGTAGCGAGGATTATTTCATTTTCGATCCTGTGAATGTGACTAGCCTCACGGAATTGTACCAGAATCCTCCTCGCTGCGACGATTCGATTACACACGAGAAGAAGATGGTCAGTGTGAAAGGCGACCCTTTCAGAAGGTTTTCACACGAGATCATTCTTCTCATAATGTCGGAGTTGGACGTGCCCACCACCTTTAAGATGCGGCAAACCTCACCGGCTTTCTCAAACATTGGGCTTGGGGTGAGTTTCTGGAAATCGCATATCGTGGGCGATATGCCTTGGCTGTGGGATTTCCCAGCTTCTACTCTGGTCCAAGTTGAAGGCGTTGATTGGGAGAAACTCTACCGCACCTTGTACCGGGGAAGCAGGTATAATGCTGCCAACGGCTTCCAATTCAACGGGCTGTGCAACAGGAGGAGAATCTGGGAACAAATGTGCCCTGTGTTCGCTGTGCCATATCTGGAGAACGAGTCCCGTCGAAGGCTTAAAGTTCCTGAAACCACCCAAAATCAGGGACATGATGAATGAAGCCTACTCCAAAATTATTAACAGGCCTTGATGAGGACTCTACTCTGGCGGGTCGATATGCAGGCTTCCCCTGTACCAAGTTTTTTCTCTGATTCGAGTGCTCGGGAATGGACAGTTAGTTGAGATCTGCTGCTTGATCAATGGGAAAATGTATCATTTGATCAGATTTTGGAGCCTCTAGATTTAGGAAAGATAAAACTCTCCGCGTCGCAGATGATAACTGGCTAAAAGGAATCACAATCTCCGGCCATGTGATAAATGCTGGTGGCATTATTGCCACTTAGCATTGTAGAATATTGGAAACCAAGCTGGCAAGTTGCGAGCATGCGTGCGCGCTTGTGACAGCAGATCCAGAACAGCAGCAGACTGGGCTTTGTTGGTTTGCTTCCCGCCGCGTCATTATCTACATTTAGTTTGTGTAATGCAAGATGAAACGAGTGAATTTCCAAACCCTGAATGATCATTGGCTATGCTTTGAAGCAGGAGGCCTTCCACTCTGAACGATATGTCATTTTGTACCACGGCCACGCGCAAGCAACGTTGCCTAACTTCACAACAGCCCGCACCGCGTAGTATCTTTGATTTCTCACACTGAGCTTACTTCTTTTCTCTAAAAAAAAAATTCAGTCACGCTGCTTCACTTTTCGCTCATCTGCCACAGAGCCGCCGCAACAATGGATATCGACGACGGATCCAGTATGCCCGAGTTCATCGAAACGCTCCAACGACAGAAAGAAAACCTTCGCCGAGCCCAAGCAAAAAGAGGGCAAAAGCCAGAGTTCATGGCTCCCCGGGCACTCATCGTTGCCAAGCTCCGGCTCCAGAGTATGGCGCAGCGACAAAAGCCTTCCAATGGCCAATGTTATTTCAATACGTCTTTCCTTCCTGCCGCCTACCCGCCCAGCACCGGATCTCTCGACGAACTCAAGAAAATGATAATCAAGGATCTTCATATGGAGCTGCACCATGAGGGTGCCTTCTTGGTCGTGAAATCCATTACTCCGCCAACCAGGCTGACAGGTATCTTGACCGCCGTTGAAGACGAAAATCAAGACGCTGTCACGCTCCAGCTGTACAATCAAGAGAAGGAAACAGAACGTCCAGTAGATGATATCATAGGGGAAGGGACGGTCGTTATGCTCAAGAACCCTTATCTCAAGACAACATCGGATGGTAGCTATGGGCTCCGTGTAGACCACCTCTCTGACATCGTACGTCTCGAAAGACATGACGAGCGCGTCCCATCAAAATGGAGAATCAGCCTCTACGATGACAGCAAGAACGCATTGTTTTGGAAAAACCTGGGAAACCAATTCTTCGGCAACGCCCAATACAGAGCGGCTATTGAGAGGTAGGCGAAAGCTCCCACGTTGTCACGTCTCACAGCGCATATTAACCTATGCCTTCAGGTATACCGAGGCGCTCAAGCACGGTCCAACCGAGGACGAAGAGCGCGTCATCAAGCTTAATCGCTCCATGGCCTTTCTAAAGACTCAGCAATTTGAAGCTGCGCTTTCTGATATTGAGTCCGCACCCGACGGACCCAACTTGGTTGAGAAAGCTCTCGATCGCAAGGCCCAGGCCCTATATGGCCTCGGAAAGTATCGAGAATGCTCTCATGTTCTCAAAGAGATGAGCCAAAACTTTGCAGGAAACACCTCTTTGCACCAGCGTCTCGCCCGTACCATAGAGCGCGTCAAGGAGCAAGAGCGCGGCCTGTATGACTTTGCGAGGATGCAGCGCGAGGCCTCAAGTCAACGGCCACCACATCTAGATTTCGCTACCTATATTGGTCCGGTGGAAATAGGTCTGTCAGGCTCAAAAGGGCGCGGCCTCTTCACAACGAGAGCCGTCAAGGCGGGCGACTTGTTGTTGTGCGAGAAGGCATTTGCTCATGCTTTTGTTGATACCGAAGGTATCCACAGCCAAGATCTTACGGTTCTCATCGACGCTGAGAGAGATAGGATCACAGTCGGGGGACAGGCTGAGCTCATTCGGCTCGTGGCTCAGAAACTGTACCACAATCCATCGATGGCTGCCGCCGTCACTGGGCTACACCATGGCTCGTACCAGCCTGTCGATGTAACTGAAGTCGATGGAATCCCAATCGTTGACACGTAAGTTGCCGTTTTTCAAACTATTGTCTTGGTCATACTGTCCGTATCTTCGGCATGCTAACTCACTGATCCTTGACCAGGTTTCTCATCTCCCGTATCATTTCACTCAATTGTTTTGGCTGCCCTCTTACCTCTCTTGATTCGAAAACAAGAGGTGGCAATCAGGGAGGAATTGATGAAAAGATCCACCACTCATGTGGACTTTGGCCAGTGGCTTCGTACATCAACCACTCCTGCGACAGAAACGTCACTCGCGCCTTTATCGGTGATTTCATGATCGTTCGCGCAACTCGGGACCTCGATAGCGGCACCGAGCTCAAATGGTGGTACTACGAACCAGGGCAGGACGATAAGAAGGGCGCTCACAACCACTGGGGTTTTCAGTGTGACTGTGCCATTTGCACAGATGACCAAGCCACTTCACCTCAGATGCTAGCTGAGAGAAAACGACTTCAAGGTGCTTTGAAAGCACAGGGAAACTCAGTGAGGGCCGGAAAGATTGAATCCATGCTGGCAAAAATGAAGCTCACATACCGCAAGCCAGCCTCAGAGGTACCGCGGTTGGACATGTATAACCTCCAAGTTCGTCTTGCGATCAGATATCTGGACGCTAACCAACCCACCAGGGCGGTTGAGCGGGGCTTGGAAGCCCTTGGCTCTCTCGGCTTTGTCATTGAGGGAGCAACAATGCCCAAGTGTGGTACTTCAAACGGAACAATCTTAATCAAGCAATGGGGGGTAGATTGTGACATTTTCAAATGCTGGCGGGTTCTCTCAAACGCATATAGTATGCTTGGAGCTTTGGACCTTGCGTCCCAAGCAGAGAACTTTGGCAGGATCTCTTACAAAGCCTGTATCGGAGAAGATGCCTCTTTCAACCGTTAATAAACGGGAGGATGGAAACTTGTGAGAATACCATGTTTACCTCGTAAATCAATTTATCGATAGAGATATGAATTTAGTTCTAAGACGATCTTCAACTCTCGATGTAGTCCTTCCTGAAAAACAATCATCCCCCAGTTTTAGCTATATTAGATTAAGTCTGATTTGGCCGATTATATCAGCAAAACGATGTCAGCTCAGCATCGGCTCAGCCATGCTCAGGATGCTCAAGCGGGTATCAGAGCCAAGGAAGTCACTATATATGGCAAGATAGCGAATTAATATCATGAAATGGCCAGCTACCACAGTACTTTGTTTGTTGATCTTTACCTCCCGTAGGGCTCACACAATTAAGCAACAGTTTTCATAACACAATAAGGTTCATGCCCGAACCTAGAAAACTCCACCAAGAGCTGCCCAAGTACAGATCGAAACTGCTGTATGTTGCTATGCTAGGTACTCCAAAATAAATTCATTTGCGCCCAAAACCATCACGTCAGTTCTTCCTTCCTACATTCACACTAAAAGTTGGCCGAAAATGGGTCCTCGCCGGCGCCCTCAACGCGTGATCTTTCCCTAGGCCTTCTTTAGTTTGCATACCTAGCGCAGCTGAATGCCAGGCATCACACGGGTTCTATGCGCCGTATGTGGTAGTCCTGTTGGTACGGCGAATGATTTGCCCGGGTGGATGGGACAGTGTCGAGTTTGTGAGTTAACGCACTACATATTTTCCCCCAACAGTTCCTGATAACCAACAGTGCACACTTTTTTTTTTAGCGGCCTGAGATAATGCTCGGCTATCCGGACTCGGAGAGCGCTGCCATTTTCAGGTATGATACCTTTTAACCAATCCATGAATAGCATGGACCTCATTAAGAGCTAAGTCGACGAGAACTAGGTAGACTTCTCTCCTAAAAACACTACTTTCTATAGGAAATACCCACCAGACCCTCCCTTAACGCCTCAGCCTCTTTAGGGTGGGTTTTGTAATACACTACGCCTACTGGGAACTATTACTAGCCCATAAACCGCGCGTGGGAGAAACAGATAGACGTCAAGCCCTCTTTAATATTTACAGATCACGGCCGATATATTTCAGAGTGATGGCATGGGGGCATCATTACAGGGATATCTTAGCCTTCGAGCATAACATCTCCGAACTCTGTCCAGGCGAGGATCCCAAAAAAATAAGTCATACTAGCAACGCCAAATCACTCTCTATTCATAATCCGCAACAAGTATCCATCCACAGGCTGCATGCCGATCATTCTCACATAATGGATCCGCCAACGCAATTTTATGCAATTTTATTATATTCCAGGCTAAGGTGTGGAAGTTAGGATAGTTAGCACTACGGCCACTACCGATCCATTCCGACACCTGCTACAAGAACTTATGCTAATGTTGTTTCTTCAACTATCATCGAAATCCATTTGTTCTCTCCAGCTAGCCTGCAGGGTGTCTACCAATACTCATCTCCAAGAGGGTCAAAGTTTTTACCCGGGCAGGAATTCCATCACTTTCTGCCACTATTTAAAGCCCTAGAGTTTCCGGGGAGATAGAGGTGAGCATATGCAAAGGCCAGAAGTATACGAACAGCCCGGCTATACTAAACAGGGAAAGGATTTAGGTTCTAACCAGGCACCTTACTACACTAATTAAACTTCATCTTCAAGCGATAGTCTCTACACACTTACACCCTATCAAGGGAAATCACTCTAATTCTAGAATATCCATCCGGGACTTATAGCGCATTAACCACTGTGTATGCCCTTGAGGAATGAAAAAAGTTCTTTCTTCCGCGCCGTCCTTCGATCAACTGTCTGCGCCACAGTTTGCGCCACGAATGTGGCTGACAAACTGTTCCGTCAGGCCACATGCAGTCAAACAAATCAGGCCGCCAGAACAGCTCAGTCAATCAGAGGTCGGAGCCCCAAGGGTAGGGGCTACCGACCCTGTACAGCGACTGGAAACCCCTGAATTGACTCCGGGTAGCGTGGCTTTAGACCAAATCATACATTTTCCCTCTACCTGTTGGTATAAAGGTGGGCCAAAGTGAACCCTTCGACGGCGATAGCACCCGCCACAACAGGCCAATAAGTAAGGACCACGTATAGATCATGAAAATCCGCAGGCAAGCAGTCTCGTACATATTTTCTGTGCTTCCTACTCGACGAGACAGACAGCCTCAAAGGCCAGAAAACTTTCTGGAAACAACGGCATCTATTTTAGATTTCCGTAATCATCATCTTTGTTACTCTTTTCCAGCGCGGTTTCTATACAATTCCAGGCCAAATGGAGCAGATATTGGAGAACGCGGGGAAGACTTTGTACCCCAGACTTGCCCTCTATGAAGCACTTGCGGTGTACAAGGGCGAACACAAACGGCGGCAACTCGCAAGAGATGAGAGCGATGATACATGTGAAATTCGAAGAGATTTTCTTGACTCCTTCGCGTATCTATGTGACATCGAAAAGGGGGGGGCAACGGTAACTGCTGCAGGATTACAGAAACTGCCGTATAGCAACATTCTCTGGCTGGCAGCAAATGAGGGAATACGAAATACGGTGCATCTATACGCTAAGAGCGTCTTGCGGCAACTTGTCCTTGTGAACTCTGAAGAGACCGAGCTAAGAGTTCGCGAAGAGGTGTTTCAGCGAGCTGTACAAATGTGCACTCCAAGACTTATATTTTATAACAATGAGGTTCGCTTATGTGCAAGGAAGTGCCGAATGGAACTGAGGAAGCAATTGCCAGATGATGCCGGTAAGATCTCATCGGCTTCTGGTTTCATCTAACGCTAACATTAATAGTGAGCGCTCTCCGGAGAAAGCTCAGGAAGCTTTCCGAACCACCAATTTCCTTCACCATCGCGCACATTGTTGACCTCTGTTATGGCATGCGTGGACATGAAGTTGACGCTATTAAGAAAAGATCGACACACTCCCAAGATGATTTCGGAAAACTAGCACACTATATCGGTCGTCTTGGCGCAACTCGTTGCTCGGTGAATACAGTTGTGAAGGCGATGAGGCAAGTGCCTGCACTCCGTCAAATAACTGATATTCGTGTCATCGAAGAACCTAATGCCCTGCATATTACCATTAGCACAGAAAATATGATTCCATACGAGATTGTATGGGCAATCAGCAAAGATTCTGTGTCTCAGAATACCCTGGACATCCAGTCAGCCCTTCATAATCTTATCAATCTAGATCCTCCGTTGAATGATGGCACAAGCAATCCTATTCGTATCAATTTGGCTAACCGAAGGACTATCGTCACGAGGGTTCATGCTGAGCTACAGATTTGTGACCAATTTAGCCGTCACGGCTTCGAGTTCGTGGCCGATGACAAGTACATCGGATGTAGCAAGCCTGCCTGCTACTTCTGTTACAATTGGCTCGTCAATCATAAACATAAGTATGTCCAGCCGGCAACACACTATAAGATCATTCCAGGGTGTCGGGGCCCGGACAACGACATAAACGAATCCGGGGCTACAATTCTGAAGGAAATGTATAGTAAAATGACCCTGCGTGTGGGTCAGGATATTATCGACTTTCTGCTCCATGTGGGTGGGAGGGAGGCTGCAGGAAGGACTCATCAGTACCTGTCAACAGAGGGAACGAGTCGTGCAACGAGTGCAGTATAATTTTCAAGAAGCACATTGATAATACAAGTTTGATATCACTGTCTTCATTGTGTAAAAGGCCTAGGCTGAACTCATCGACAAGAGCCATTCTAGCGTAGCCTCGTCAAAGGCTTATTTGAATATACCTTAGCAGATCCCTCGGCCGGCTTACTACAGGCCACTCTTATAAAAGAGCTTGGCCAAATGATAGACTACTATTAAAGGCAGTCAGATAGCTAGCGACCAAACTACAGCCGAACTACCGAGGAGATACGATGATAGTCTTATATCACACTAACTATTATGAGCTTCCACTATTAACGCTCCGATCGTGCCTACACACATAAACTACAGAGTCTATTTTATCTCTCATACAACGACCTAACCGTTACTCACAAGGCAAGTGCCTTACACCTCAAGCTCTCGGCTCGTTCCGAAAGGGCATTGGCGGACCCCGTAGGGGACCTGTCTGATGTAGCATATTGTTTTCAATATGACCATGTGAGTGACAGGGTCCAGCATACTGTCCCATCTGGTGGGCTAATATTTCAAGTGCTAGGTATTGAGTGTTGGGCCGGATTTTGGGCTGACCGAGAAGTGGGCTATACTGCAGGACACTGTAGTGCTCATAAGCGGACAAAAAACCAGGGCTAACTGAGAAGCATCTACAGCTCAGCTAACCTCTATCTGACTTAGTTTAGGCTCAGACCTCGCTTAGATTTTTTAATTTATCGGTTAGTTATAATGATGGAAGTAGCTTTCGGTGTGATTGTTTTATAGGATAGTGTGTAGTTGTTGTATTTTATACCACTGAAATGAGAGTTGTGTTCTCTTCACGGTGAAAAGGCTATTAATACCAGCCGTTCCACTTTGGGGGCCTGCGCCAAGGCTGATAAGACAAATGTTGTCATCACGGGCACTGCCACACCACGATGTAACGATAGTAGGCGCTGTAAATATCCAAGCAGCGCGGCAGCAGTGAGGTTAAGCAGGTACTTGATCGATTCGGCGCAGACCTACAAAAGCGCTAGAAGATTCCATCGTAGTCTTGGGTCATCAGTAGAAGAAGGATTGTCAGCTGGGGGTTTCAATCTGAGCACCCCAGATTGTTCCTACTAGGCAACAAGGCAGTTCACAAGCGTGCTCTCGATTCGATACTGAACCAGCTCTCTCTCGGCTGCACTTTTTTCAATTGTTCATTTACCATCAGTGCATCTTGTCACCACGAGCAATAGGTTTCCGAATTCAATGTCAATAAATTATGCTTTGATAGATAAAAATTAAGCGCAAAAAAAAAGGACATGTTAATATAACTTGAATCAAATCACAGCGCTGATCGCTTGCTCCATCACTCGCTCATTGTCATCGCATCAAGTCTCTCATATATCCATTACTCCTCGCAGCCACGGCCAGTACGTGTCCTGCGCCCATCGCCGCAACAGCTGCAGCATATAAGTAATCTTATACACGCCGAGGGCATCGGCGGTAGAACCAATCGAGGCTTTTTCCCAGACAATTGTCTGGTTCTTCTCCCTTGTGCTAAGGACGAGGTACCAGTCGTGCCCCTGGATGATGATGCCCAGCAGAAAGGGGGGCAGCTGATGCACCGCCACACCATGACCAGCATCGCCATCGCCGCGCTTGGAGACGGCGCCCTTTTGGCGAAGCTCGACCAGGCGCTGCAGGAATTGCCACTGAGCGCTGAGCCAGGTGCCAAGTTGCAATTTGGCGACTTCCCAATTTTCGCCCGTGCGCTTGGTCTCTATGCTGAATGCGACGGGGCGGCAGCGTAAGGGGTGGTAGTCGGTGTGGTTGAGGGCACCTTTGGGAAGCTTCCGGCGAAGGTCGGTGATGGCTTCATTTGTTGGGGCTCGATGAGGATCGTTGGTGGGGTCAATGTATATGGCAAAATCCACCTTGCGGCCTTTGACGGCCGGTTGATGGTAGTCAGGGATGATGGAGGCAGAGGAACTAATGGTCAGAAATGAGAAGGGAAAAAAAGTAAGATATGTAGAATGAAGAGGCAGGATAAAGCATCAACGGGATCCATTGATTAGTTTTTCACTCACCATGGCTGGTAGTTGATCAAATGTGTGTACCTGCCCATTCCCGGGGGGTTCAGTGCAGCTTTGAGGACTTCACTATGCACCTCGCTGTTCCAGCTGGCCTCATCGTGCCTGTTGGTGTTCATCTCAGCCGCACCTGCAAGGATGAAGGCAACGCACTCAGGCGAGGGCGTGTGGCCCAGACCCTCCCGGTCGCTGGAAAACAAATGAGGAGCGTCATCGGCTACAAAGGTCCAGCCAGGCGCGGAGGCATCTTGGCCTTGAAACTCGGAGACAAACGAGCAGGGCAGTATACCGCGCCGATGCTGAATCGCGCTCTTGATCTGCCTGAGAAATTCCCCAGGCGGACCAGCTATGTCGCCGAGCTCACCGAGCTCACGAAAGACAATACCGTTTGCATCCAACTCAAGAGTTGATAGGCAGCGGCTTGGGGAATGGCTCTTCGCTGGCCCTCTCTTCAGGCGTTTGCGTAGGGCTTTGGAGCAAGAGGCAACGGTGTCGGTTTCGGTCTCAGACCCAAAACCTTCATCGCGACCGTGCTTTGTGCCGCGAGAACGAAGCGGCGATGGAGGCATGTTCCCAGGGCTACATGTGCCGAGAGATGTGCAAGAGGGTGAATGGCGGGCGGGGGTTGGGTAAAAGTTCTATTCACTTCTTTGAATAAACAGAGTAGGCAAATAAGGCAGAGGATCTCGACATGTAGAGGCTGTGGTGGGACAGAAGAAAAGAAATGAAAAGAAGAGAAAATTCTAATCTAAAATACACTATCTTTTTTTCCTCCCACAATAGACGGTCGGTTGAAGAAAAGGGTTGAAGCTGGCGGGCGAAAGAGAAGCGGGAGGGTTGAGGGATGGGGAGGTGGCTGCCTTATATACTTTTTCAAGAAGCAGATTCTGGGTTTTTTTTTGCAACTTGCCTGAGGAGGCTCCCTGGGCTTGGCTACCTATATGGCGAAACTCGTCTGTGAAAGTAGAAATCTAATTGACCAATATGAACCCCCTCCAGGGCTCCATGGTTGACTTTGGAAAAAAGCGTTGCTTGAGGAACTAGACATTTGTCGAGGCCATATACAGGAAAACGCAGTGTATAGAAGATCAATATAATCAAGGTAGGCATCAAAGGGACAAGGGAATAGAACTATGGGGAAGGGATTAAGTTGACTTGGGATAGAGCAAAGGGTGTGAACAGAAAATCAACGAGCACGGGGCGTGAATGATGGGGATAATGTAGAGCAATCAATAGTAACCAAAGGTAAGAACCGCACAAAGGGCAGCGGAATCTGGAATTGTGCTCTGGTGCACGTTGGCTGATTTGTGGTCTGGAAAAAGAGAGATTTCTGGCTGTTAAAACGGTAAAGAATTATTTTGCTACGGTCGTCGTCCCCCGCGTTATCAAGCCCAAGCCAGACTTGTTGGACTTAGTCAAATTCAAATGGTATTAGCTGCACCCCCGAACTTGAGCAATTTTTCAAGCCAATGTTCAAACTTCGTAATTAACTGTGAAATGTGGCTTCTCCACCAATCTTCCTCACTGAAAAGAATTATTGGACTACTTAAAGGGGATTGCCTATGACAAGACGTCACTTGCATTTTTTCTTTACCACTTTTCGTCACTCAGTCCAACAAGGAAGAAAAAACCACCATCTCCTCTCCACAAATTCAAATAAGATTGCTCTTGTCTGCCCATAGTATTACTCTTCCTATCATCCCCGCTCCAAAAAAAAGAAAAAAGACGAAAAAATATTGCATTACACTAGCTTACGAACCACGCCTCTATACCACGCTGACTTTCAACACCACATTTATTTGGACTGATTTCCCCCATAATGCATATCGCAGCAGTTTGATTATCGCGACGATATCAACCATAGCCAGAATCAATATTGTAGTCATCAACACCACATCTAGCCCCAGTCTATCACAAACTCAATAATGATTAATCGCCAAGGTGAATTACGGAATCCCAAAGAATTGACCAGACAAGAGGCCTGAGAAACTTGGATTCCCGAAGTTGTTTTTTGTATTTCGCGAGGCGAATATGCAATCAGAGTGTGTTTGTGACCAAAGAAAGGACGAATGGAGCAGGCAAAAGGCGCCACTAATTCATGCGTGCTCCAAGAGGATGCAGATACCCTAGAGTCGCAGCCACATACGCCTGCCTGGCGAAGCATAGAAATCTCGCGAGAAAGGGACGTTAATTACTAAAATGGAACGTTAAAGGGAAAATGTAAGATAAAATGTGACTTAACATACGGATACGGTCGAGAAAAAGTTGCGAATGGATAAGTAAATTAAATGACCATTGATTCATTGCAAAGGGAATGGCGACAATCGCACTGCAAGATGTCGAGGTTACAACCAACACGTCGAAAAACGTTTTGATAGATCCAAACTGGCTAGGCCAGAAAGGGAAATATTTTCTTTCACTTTGAAGAACTGTTACGTATTGTACGGCCCGAAGGGCTGGTGAGGCCCCTTCTTCACGATAATCCCGACCTCCAGAGAGGATTCACGTCTGGGCAGTCCGCGGGCGATGCGCGGGCCGACCCTTTCTCCCTGGCTGCCTCTCAGCACCCCGGTCGAATCAATTGTCCAATTTCTGTTTTAAGTTAGTTGATCTGATTCAGCTAAATTCGCTCAGCCACAGCTCTAATGAGAGCACGGCTGCGCCCCTGAAGGTCATGTCAATTGAAACAGTTTGTTATTTTTTGTTTTGTTTTTTTTTGCAAGGGAAAAAAAAAAGACACATCATCCGTTGATCCCATCTCCATCTATCCTACCCACAAACAGAAGCATACTTCTCCACGTCATTTCGCCGTCGCTCTAACATGACCTTGAGAGTCCCAGAATGACCAGTTAATCCCCATCAGCCCCTGAGTCGGCATGAATGGATCAGCCCACACGAAGGCGGCGATGCCAAGAGCAGCCGACCAGATTCACATTAGCCGCCTCAGTTCCTTGGACAGCTCTCTCGCTCGCCTGCAGCGCTGTATTACCGCTCGCATTGACACTGAGGGGTGGCTGCTCTTCGCCTTTTGGTCTTCCCGCCTCTCAACCAGCATCTTGGACCACATCGGAAAGGCCGCTGTGGCCATCAAGCCTGCTGTATCATCATCCACACACGACAGCTCAGATCCCCCTGACCTAAAGGAGCAAGCGCCCAAACGTGTCACCCTACTCAAAGAGCGCTCCAAGGCCTCTACGGGGATGATCGGTGACGCCCGGTGTTTCAACCGTCTATGGGGAACAATCGAGATCATCCTATCGCTTAAGAAACTCATTGAAATTGACGAGTCTTTGGGTGATGCGGAGGAGTCGAGTTCTAAACAAACACATTCTTTCGACCTTTTGGTGGACTTTTGCCAAGCGGTTGCTCTGCTTGTATATCATTTTTGCGACCATGCCATCTTTTTTTCCAAACATAAAATTATTAAACTATCCTCAGCCACAACGGCCATTCTTACACGCTGGAGCTTGAGGGCCTTTGCCATCAATACAATCATGGCAGTGGTGCGTGTGGTCGCGCAGCGTGTGCGGTCACGGGGAGCGGTGGATAAGAATTGGAGGAAGAGCCTTGTGCGGACCTCGGCCATCCTGATTATCGCTGTGAATAATGCTCTTCCCAAAGGACCGCTAAACGAGCTGACTCTCTCAATACTTGGCGTCCTTGGCTCTGGTATCCTAGCCCAAGGTATTTGGGAGAAGAATGCTCTCGCGGTAAAAGCATAAGTAAAACGTTTATGTATATTATTTGCCCTTCAGACTTTGGTAATGTGGTATAGAATAGAACAGAAAAACAGACAAGATTACCCTTACTTTAATTCATCCTACAGTAATAAATCCAGATATACTAACTGCCGCAAAACTTTACATCGAGATTGGTACTAGCATCGTTGAGGATGGACTGTCCCGTCGGAAGTGTTATCCACACCTCAATTGACCCGCACCCATGCATCCTCATCATTATGACTCGCAAAGAGACCAGTCATTCGGCGCAAGATTCCCAGTCTGATCCTCTTTCGGGGTCAAACTGGCTACCGCACGTTAATTGTCTTCGGTCACTCTATTAGGCGAGATATGAACTCCGCGTTGGCGCGGAAGGACCAAAACCCTCTGTGTCATTTGTTGACGACATCGGAGCGATAAGAGAGGTATTTGAAGTTCAGCTTCTTGAAGGGCAGAGACTGTCAATGACAACAGCAGACCAAGGCGACTTCAATTAGCAATTATGTCTACTGAGTATGAGGAAGTAATTGTGAACTGAGTGGGATTAGGGAGTAATAATAGGATTATTGCTGGTGCCTGGCCTTGGCTTAGATACGTAATGTGCCCTTGCCGCCCTGGGTCTCAAGATGCAGATACTACGGTGGTGATCTACCACACCTCCCAAATGCGTTCTAGTTATGATCGGTACCCGCCGCTCGATTTCAGGACTTTCAGGACAAACAGAGATCACGCAGGTTCATCTTGACTCTAGACAGGGGAGGCGCTATGTGGTGAAAGATGTACGGAGTAGTCTGACCTGCATTCGACACGTGGCCCCCTCGAACTCAACCGTTACGCCGCCACCAACATGCTGCCGCCGAGCGTATCGCACGCGTATATCCGATACGATTCATTGGCTAGTGAAAGTCTCACTGCCGTGGTATGGAATGGGATGAGTGGCGCTTTGCAATACCTGAGCGTAGTCAACCAGAATAATCTAGACGGGAGAGGTATAGCGCAGAAGTATGGTGGGTTGCGGAATACGCTTCTTGCAGCAATCGGCGCTCCTTTGGGAGGTGTGACTATTGCCTGTTAATCTGTCTGTACCACGAGCGTTACGTTAGATAATAGAACGGTATCCGTCGATTTTGAATTCTCCCTCATTTTCACTGCACCTTAGAATTTTTAAACCGTGTGCGCTCGTGCAGCGACTTCGTCACCTGCATCAGACTCGACCTTGTCTCAGTTCTCGTCCACACTCGTAATATTGCAGAAAGCGTAGCCGACGTTGACTAACACGCCTCGTCCACCGCTACTCGACTGCTAAGGTTCGCACAGATCCATTTCGGGATTTCGCCTCTGATCTTCTGCGTACACAAGCCTGTGGCCTGATCCACCATTTTCATAATAAATTTCCACTATGTCTCTTGAAACAAAGTCAGCGAAACAACGCCAAAGTCCCGAGGAGACTCCTGATATTGCCCCTCCTCGCACACTTACTGCCGAAGAGGCCGAGAAGGACTACCAAAAACAGCTTGCTCTGCTTCGTGAACAGACTCAAGCTTATCATGACGGACAAAGACGGTTGCGGAACTCCACTGCCTAGGACATGACTCGCCCTGCGCCTAGCTGAGTTACTTTGTAGGCACGACTTACGCATAGTTTGGAGGAGACATTATATATATCTCTTTGGTATCATTTCTGTCCTGAGGTTAGACTGATTGCTGGAGTCACTGAATGGGGAGCGATTCAAAGTCAGTAGAGCTTCTTAAATGCCAGGATGACCATGACCAAGGTCGCGCGGCGACCTCGCTAGGTTCTCTGTTGGCGGATCAGTGCTCTGAACAAATTCAATCAAATTGAGCCTTAGAATTGATATGATTAACCTGTAGGTTTGCAAGCCTGATATAAGCGCCCTTGGCCATGAGGGCCTTCTAGAAAATACCGCTGCATATTGAACATCTTCTAACATCGCTGTGCCGATCTCAGTCATAATTCTTCATCTTCACTAGCTGCCGCTCACTTGCTAGAACTGCGGCGTTTAGAGATCCTGGGCTCTACATCACAGTCAAGTACTGATACACATGGATATTACCTATTTGGGCTCCTTCCAGATCAAACCGGAAGGTCTGTAAAGGCTTGTCCCAGGAAGGACCCGGATGGACAATGGAGGAATTGGCCTGGCTGCTTTTCGCAAGATGGACGTCCCTCATCATACATATTCCACGCTAACGCTGGCTCGGGAGTTAGCAGGAGCTGTGTGCGCACGGCTTTCTCTCAATTTTGGCCATGACACACCAATGTGATTGCGCAGGGCGTATAGGATCAAGTGCAGCGCGTACACGCAGCTTTTATATCGACAAGCTTTGGAGCATATATAAAGAGCCTGTCGCCAACCAAACGCTGGCTCATTCTTAAATCTATCATTACAAGTAGTCGGAAACTATCACCCGAACACGAAGCATACTGCATACTATCTTTCTCTAAACAACTTTCAAAATGAGGTTGCTAGCTGGAATGAGCCTTCTTCTGACTTTGTCTGCTATGGTCGAAGCAGTGCCTCATTCCAACCTCGCGCAACCATTGGCTGTGGTCTATCGCGGCAACCAAGCCCCCCGCGAATGCTCTGACAGTGTCGGCAAACTTCTTACCAATTCTGAGTACAACTTTAAAGTTACCTACGCTGGACCGACCGAAGAAGTGGATCTCAGCCCGGAACTTCTCTCGCAAGCCTCCATCTACGCTTACCCTGGCGGACCAGGTTCGTTTTACTAGTTCTACATTGAAGTCGGCTTGTCGTATGCGTTAACATTTATCTATAGACGTGGGTCGCTCTTGGAAAGAACTCAAAGAGCATGGAGACACAATCAGGAATTTTGTCCGTGCTGGTGGCCGATACATGGGGTTCTGCTTGGGAGCTTACCTTGCCGGACAATCTGCGCTCGACCTTCTTCCTGAGGGTATTGACGTTGGCTCTGAGATCCAGCAAGATAATTCCCAAGTTAAAGGCCCCGAGGATACCACGATTCAAGTGGACTGGACGTTCAATGCTAGCACTGGAAATTCCCGCCTAGACCAAGGTCGATGGGCATACTTTCAAGAGGGAGCAGTTGTCTTAGGCTTCAAGGGCGATGATCCCCGCGTTGTTGGCAGATACTCACGCAATAAGGATGTTGCTGCCTCTATTACTCCTTATGGTAAAGGATTTGTCGGCCTTGTCGGCCCGCACCCTGAAGCGGATGCGAAGTGGTGTAAGTAGCTCACACAGGACACGAACTGGCGTCCTTAAGAGATTTGCTAATGGCTGTTGTTACTGAAGACTCGGACGCCGAAATTACGAATCCAGATGGAATTAAAACAGACATCGGATATGACTTTATCAAATCGACCATGCAAGGAATTTCTGTACCCAGTAGAAAGACTGGTAATTAGACTTCCTATAGTACTAGTTGAGGACGACTCTTAAGGTTATGACCTTTAGCTATAAGGTGAAAGACCTCAGGAGTCTCTTGAGCAGCTTGGATGATTATCTTCAACCAGTATTTTGAGTGGATTCAGCCACAAAGTATACTCGAATTCTCATTTGAGCTTGGAAGAATTTTACTAAATACTACACCCTTTTTTTCTGGATTCTGTAAGGGAGTATTTGTAGATTTCCAGTTGTCCTGGTGAATCTGCACGAGCTATAAAACCGCTCTTTATGTAGATTGAAATTGAAACAGGGTCACTTAGAGTAGGTCTCCATGATACTTAACTCGGAGGATACTTCTCACCCCGTTGGCCTGAGTCGAGCTCAGTTCTAGCTTAGATAATAAAATCATTAATTAGTTTCAAGTTTTGGTGAAATTTCTTTTCAAGATAGTGTTTAGCTGTAGTCGTTTCTGAAAAATAGCCGTCGCCTGTTTATAATGCCAAGTACTAACCGTAAGTCAACGCGTTCCATCTTCATTTATTGCTTGGCCAATCAGGAAATGGTGGGATTCAGAAACACAGCTGTTTTCTCATTCACATCTATTATTTCCACCAGTATTTCTTATACTAGCTTCAATAGGTAAGCCCACTGCGTATACTGATAGGCCATGCAAGTCTAGAGGCTGAGCCAAACAAATGAAAGCGGACGGTAGATGGGCCGCTTACGGCACAGGATGCCTCACTGGGCGCCTTCTTTTGCACATCCAGTCATGCCAGCAGTCATACATCAGCCATAGCCACATTTTCATTCACTTGACGGCCTTCAACTTCTTATTTTGAGCATTTGAGCGAAGGTCTTCTACTATTCATACTGCTGATTCTTTGCATCTCCCAAGTTTTCCTATGCACCCACGCCATGGATCCAATCAGCATTGCAAGAGCATCATTTGAGCTGATGCAGTTGGTCCAAAGTCTATCCAGAAATTGCGATGAGGTTGATTCCAGGGTCGATCTTATGGTTGCTGTTTCAAACCAGGCCTTGATCATTTGCAGAACTTCAAAGTCCAGATTGCCGAACAAAATGCAGGACCTATGCGCAATCGTTGAAAAGAAGTGTACTCTAATTTTGAGCGAGCTTGAGGAATGGAAATGCCGCTTCAAATATGAGGAAACGAACAAAGCGCTTTCGAGACTCAAGCGTTCGTACAACAAGATCAAGGCACAGACTCGGCTTCCGAAGCTAGAAGAAGATCTAAATGATATGGCCCTGCATGCAAACAGGTAAGGACATTCCATTCGTCGTCTATTCCCATCTGACATCTAGCAGCTTGCTCCTCGCCGTAAGCATGGAAGTTACGGCCTCAGTGGCGACCTCCAGGGAAGCTGTCAATAAAAAGGTGGACGATATTTTCGCAATTGTTTCCCGCCCACCCATGGATCCCGGTCCTCCACGTGAACCTGGAAAATACATCACTATCGATGATGGATTGAACACAATTTTCGAACTACCACCTAGCTTCTGTGAAACGCCCCAGGTTGGTGACTCGCTCCAAGATGAACTATTGCTCCTACTGACCGCTGGACAGCGACTTCAACGCATGCTAGCTATCAGATTTGAATCAATGCCCGGTCTAGAGCAGATCAAGCAAGGGCATTTCATAGCATACCATTGGAATATCAGCCGTCTAATTTGCGCCAGTGAATGGCCGACAGTTATCAAGGAAGGATACGGTATCAGAATTGCCTTCGTGATGGGAACGTGGCTTCCTAAAAAGCGAGATAACTGTATTCGGTGCCTCAAGCCCATGAAAAAGAGTCCAGGAATCAAAAAGGGAGAGCTAAGAAGCTGGTATGTTTTTTCCTTCGCCCAAATTTGTGGTATTATCCTTACCAATTTCACATTGCAACAGCAACTCCTGTAATCTTGAGTTTTCCAAATTCGCTCCCCTAGACTTTGATTACGAACCGCAAGATGTCAGCTTTGATTTCTTAGGCTATCATGAGTACAAAAAGAAATCCTCTCAAAAGTCTTCAATATCGCATTCCCCTACATTGGCTACCAGCGATGCCTCCGCAGAAACTCAACCTCCGATAGGCAGCATCGCTAGTACTGAGCCACCTGCTATTGATCTTGTCTGCCGACGACTTGTTATCAAATGGGAACCTATTTTCAACATAAGTTATAGGTATCTATTCTGTCGCTGCATTGTGTGGGCGAGCACCCCATCGCAACTGGAGCCTGAAATGCCGGTTCCTATCGTGGCTTCTTGTCCGAGACACAACGACAAAAGCATCTCTTTCCTGGACTATGGGGACGTCGACTACAGCGATGACCCGTACTTTGATAAGTTTGGAGGTTACGGACTTTTCCGTCTTCATGTTCTAACATATTTTCCACACCTCTACAATATTTTGGGAGGTCAAGCATTCATGAGTGATTCTGATAAAACGATTCTTATGGAAAAGCTTGACAATGTTTCAGATGAAACGTGGGCTACAATTCGCCCAGCGCTTGTGGAATACATTTTTGATTACGTTGATAGGCTGGAAGTGGTTGGGACTGCGTTTCCAAGCAACGTGACACAGTGGCTTGCAGAGCAGAGGTTGGAACGGGATAGTATTCCGGAAACTCATATGGAGTGGCTTGGGAGCATAGAAGTTCGCGAGATTCTCAACGGGGAGTGGTCAGGAAAGCCCCATTGGGACATTGAAGACTAATTGTGCTACTTTCCTGTATGGAGATCGCCCAAGTACACAGTGAAACGCTATCACATTAAACAGTAGACAAGCTTCTCAAGGAAGACAGTCCCTTCACGAGTATAATCGTAATGTCAAATCGGCCGAGCAGCCGTAGCATAGATAAGGGAGTGGCTCGTTGGAACAGGTTTCAGCGAACCGGGCTCGACTCAAGTCAGATATCTGCCGTTCTCGCTATGAGGGACACTGAGAATATATTGGACCTCCTGCTCAATTCTGATAGATAGTAGAGATATGACACAAGGGTTACGGGGTAAATACTGTCTTACATAGAACGTTAACCTGAACGATGGTATGAGGTAGCACTTCCCATCAATCGTAATGTAGGTCCTGGCCTTACTCAGATTATATAAACATCAATCACTTTGAAGAATAGAAGTAGGTCCCTACTGTGGTTGCTTTTTAGGCTAGTGTTTGGCAGTGATAATTTCAATAGCATCAAGCAACCAAGATTTGAAAGATACGGAGATAATTATCCCTACAACACTTCTATTGTACAAGCTTGCCCCTAGTTCACCGAGATGGTGTACTTTGAAGTAGTGAAGACGCAGTTAGAACCGACGAAAGGCTCAGTACCTGCCTGAAGACTGGTCACAACCATGTCTGTGCTGACGCCCTGGCTGGAGGTGAGGTAGTCGAAGAACTTCTTCAGGTCGCCACTGAAGTTTCCAATGTTGCTGGGCGCAACGAATGAGTAGACAGTTGTGTCGCCATTGGGGCCCCTAAACAGCTTCCACTTCGTGCCGAGGATGGTGGGAGTAGCGAGTGGTGTTTCGTTGGTATCGGAGATGGGGCCAGCACCTCCGTATGAACCAACCCAGACCATGATCTCGTACTTGTTGTTGGCGCCGACTGAAGGGGCCAGCCACAAATCATACGAAACGTCGGATACCATGTTGGTTCCGGTGTATCTGGATATTGTCAGCTATGCATAGGCAACATGAGGAACGGAAATACAAGGATGCGGACGTACCTCCAGGTCCAGGTGGAAGGGATCGAGTTGATTGCAGACAGCTTCTTGTTCACTTTCTCCAGAGCAACGTTGGAGTACGACTTGACGTGAATGTTGCCGCCCTGCCAAGTCCAACTTGTTGACCAAGAGAATGACTTGCTCGAGACGGAGTTGAAAGTCGTGCACTGAGATCCAGAGGTGGCTTGTCCAGAGCCCCAGTTGTTGTGATAGACGGTGTAACCTTCTGTTGTCAAAGAGCCGAAGGCATCGCACCAGGTGGTTGCTCGCTCTTCGAGAGTCGGAGTAGGCGTGGCCAGCGTAGCGGAGGCCAGGAAGGCCGAAGTGAGGAACGAGGACAGCTTCATGGCGCAGACTTGGAATGAGTACAGTGGTCGTGAAGTGAGAGCGTGTTGATCGAAGTATTGGGCCTAAGTAGTCAAATATATAGGGACCTGCCTCGTGGGCTGCTGTGAAACCGCAGCTCACCCCCATATCGAGCACGGTGGCTCTGAGATTCCGGCAAGTGGTTGCGCGCCAATGATACGCCAATGGAACTGGCGATCTCCCCCAACAAGGGTGTTTCGGAAGGTCAACATCCATTTAGTTAGCCGTTACAGTTCAGTAGCCCCAAATGGAACCGACAGAGCCGAGTGGCCCACTCAGACTGGTCCCGCCGGTGATCCGTGTGCCGTATTTAATTTAATATCACGAGACATACTTCGGCACTCGGATGGTAGTTTGGAAATGGGCTTGGTTCTAGAACGGCAATAAAGAACCGCATAGGCATTAATTTGGCGATGACATACATAAACAGGCTAATCAGCCTCGCTCAAAGAGCGCTTTTCCCCCTGAAATACCCAGCCTTATCCATCTGAGTGACAGCTCCGAGCTAGCTCAGAAGGAAGCTGTCAAACTGGTTAAACTAGAGGGGTTGTTTGAGGTCTCCAAGACATGACTACTCAGACCAATCGCATTCTACTCTTTTATACAAGCGTTGAAAAGATTAATGACTTCTTAATGGAATATGGACCAAGACCTATTTCCCGCGTTAGGAGTTTGGATAAGACATGACAGCTTACCCTAAGGTATCTACAGGATAATACGTCGCATCATTGCCAAATTTAGAAGACAAAGAGACTTTCTCATTCTTCGAATATACCTAATTAGATCCATATCTATCATGCCACTTCGCTTCAAACGCATGGGCTAATATGATAGATAGGTAAATGGATACGCTATACCATTTCTTGGTTAACAGAACTTGAGAAATTCAGCCTTCCATCTCCATCGCATTAACGTAATCGTCAGTAGACAAAATAACCCCAACCAACGAAAACTAAGGAGAAAAGTATAATCATATTGCTTGCCGCAGGAGTTGCTAACTCGAGATTCCATTTTGCCGCCTTTTCTTTCCAGCCCTTTGAGTAGATTTGGTGTTGCTGTGCGGAAAGGCGGCGTAGGGAACCTCATGGCCCAGAAACTTACGTAGTGACTCCCGTCCATCCTAAACGCCTCATTCGTGGAGTATATAATGGATGATTGCTTGCTCTCCAAAAGTACCCAGGGCGTGGGGTTTGGAGCGGGGGTTGGCCATAATTCGCGCCGCATCTTCCCAGATGTGGACATTGATGCACGATCTCACAGCATTTGGTACTTGCGCTGCGACTGATATGGTAGAAGCTGTAGAACGTGTTGTTATTGCTACCAAATTTTGGCCTTACGATCCAATCAGGAGGATGTATATTCCATCGCATTTATCCGAAGTGTGTCAGTTCTGATTGGTGTTGACGATTGAGTTCCCCCATAATCTCATTAATTGGAACCCGCAGAGTTCCCTAAATGTCTTCGCTTGCACCTGGTAGAAGGCCCAATGCTTATCAAGGTTAATATGTCAACATTACAGCTCATATATAGTGGATAAATTGAACAGAATGAGAAACAGGAGCCAATTTCTGTTACCAGAATCTACAAGCATAAGTAACTACACTTATAGATCATAATGTTCCTCAACTTTCTAATAGCATAAAGCGAGAACTTAGCTTAGAAAGAGGAAGAAAGAGGTCTCAAGAAGGAAGTGCGAGCTGCAAATAGTTGGTCTCACAGCGCTCGCCAAGTCCACACAAAAAGCAGCGTTTCCCTATTGAAAAGGATCCCTCATACATAGCAAGTTACGTCAGTAGTGGATAATTGCTACCAAAGCCCAATAGTTAGCGGCAACGGTAACTCAGAGAAAATCAGAGCTCTTGGCACGTCCTTTGGCAAGCAGCCAATGGGCATAGAGAGAGATAATCATGGGTCCCGATGCGATGCAAAATGGTGGATGTTTAAGGTCAGCTTGATGCATGTAAGAATACGCAGTCAGCACGCTTTACGAAGTGGAATAGCTCTGCTTCGGCATTTATTTAAGAGTGAGCTTCTCGCAGTCACCCTCTGTCCCCTCACCCTCAGATTTCTCCCGGACATCACAAGGATGTTTACAGTCTCTTCCTCTGAGGTGACAGCAATAGCTGTCGGAATTGCCATAGTAGCTATGTACATGGCATACCGAGCTATCCTACCAAAGCCGCTCCCCAATATCCCGTACAACCAAGATGCCGCCGGAAAGCTGTTCGGTGATGTCCCCGAGATGATGGGCTATGTCATGCGGACAAAGCGAATATTTGTAAGACAATATGATCAACCATTTACTCGTTTGAGCTCCCTACCCTCTGTGTACAGTCGACTGATTATGCCTATGAGCGAGCAGTGTTGGCTAACATCACTCACCACCCGCCACCAAAGTCCGATTGTGCAAGCTTTTATTAAGCCAGGAGGGCTTCCGTGGGTAGTGGTGACGGACCCTTTTGAGAGCCAAGACATCCTGCTTCGGCGTATCAGGGAGTTTGATCGCAGCGACTTCTTTGGCGAGCTCATTAATGGGATCCTACCGGAGCAGCATATCCAGTTCATCTCAACCGATACTAGATTTAAGAACAACCGGAACCTAATCAACCACCTAATGGCGCCTACGTTTATCAAAGAGGTGAGTGCGCCTGAGGTATACATGGCTGCCACCTCTCTGGTAAAGTTATGGAAACTGAAGAGCAACATGGCTCAAGGTCACTCTTTCTCTGCCCACCAGGATATCACGTTTGCCTTGCTCGACTCCATTTTTGCTTCATCGTTCGGTCTGAAAGAGTCTGAGAGCAACACAGTGCAGCGCATCAAGGCATTGGAGAACTGGCAGGCTGAGATCCCCAGTAATGTTGATGAATCTGTCTCATTCCCCAAAGGCCATGTTCCTGAGATCTTCTGGGCAGTTCTCACACTGGCTAATTCCGTCACCGATACCCAACTGTCTCCGGCGCCGGTATTGACTTCATGGGTTATACGAAAATTTCCCTACATGAGGAAAGCAAAAGCTATCAAAGACCAATACATTCGCAACAAGATTGAGGAGTCAGTTGAGCTGATCAACGAGGGCCAGACTAAAGCTAAAAGCGCACTCCATTCTGTCCTCCTCCGCGAGCGTGATGTCGCAGCTAAGGAAGGACGGCAGCCCGATTATCGCAAACGGGCGATTGCGGATGAGTTCTTCGGATTCATGACGGCTGGTCACGACACGACAGCTACCACAATAGCCTGGGGCGTCAAGCTACTCACCGACAACCAATCAGTCCAAAGTCGCCTTCGGGACGACCTGCGAGCCGCTTTCCCCCAGGCTGCCCGAGAGGGGCGTGATTTAGCCTACTCGGAGCTGATGGATGCACACATCCCCTTCCTTGACGCTACAGTGGACGAGATCCTACGACATGCGAACACGATTGCCTTTGTTACCAGGCAGGCTCTACAAGATACCACTGTCCTCGGTCGACATATCCCCAAGGGTACAAATGTCTTTCTCATGGCCAATGGCCCTGGCTACCTAGAGCCCAATATGAAGCTCAGTGATGAGGTTCGTAGTCCTGGTGCCCGTAAGACAGCTAAGTCAGTGTTGACCGGCACCTGGAGGGATGATGATATTGCCCTGTTTCGCCCGGAGCGCTGGCTGACTACGGATCCGGACACTGGTGCCGAAGCATACAACTCCATGGCCGGTCCATCGCTTGCGTTTGGGTTGGGACTTCGAGGGTGCTTTGGGAGGAAACTTGCGATAAATATGCTCAAGATTCACTTTGCGCTTATTGTATGGCACTTTGAGCTGCTCCCAACGCCTGCTGAATTGGGTGGTTATGAGGCCGTGCAGAAGTTTGCACGGGAGCCAACGCAGTGCTATATCCGCCTGAAGGAGGTCGTAGTTTAGATGAATCCAGCTCTTTTCTTTTGGTGACAGAGATGGAAAGTATAAGGAGAGGATTAATTGTACATCTCGAGGGTTGGTGTTCAATTCCTTCGTGAATTCAGGGACAGATCTGAGAATCTCTTAAATCAGAGGCCACTGCCGCTCCCCAGCCATGCATCAACTGCCACCAAGTTCTTACCTAGGTAGGTAACTCGTGAAATCCACCTGTCAGCTCCAACGGGTTTATGCCTCGTCACTCGGCACGAGGTTTCCATAATGAAGGACCTTCCGCATATTATCAATATTATCACTGTCCATGCCATTAGTCAGATCACAATGTTACCCGATGCAAGAAGATTAACCCCCTCCAGAGTCCAAAACGCACCTGCATAGTTTTATGAAGGTTGCCGACTATGTAAAGGTCTGTACAGTCGTAATTCCGTCGGACATTGCCTGATTTTGCAATCCACTAAGACCTGGTGCATCTCTGGGCCCGGATGCTGACGAATAACATGCTCAAAACACCTATATTCCCGAGACATTCCCTCGGCGTTTCTTGATGCATTTGTGCATGCTTACCCCGCCTTGCCATCCATATATTCACGATCTATTCTCCTAGAAAGACACTGAAAGTTTCAAGAATCGTGAACCGGAATTTCCAACTGTCAGGATATCTATGTACCATGGCTGAGATAGATGCCATCTTGCAAAAATACACAGACCCTGAAACTGGCAGTATTCATGGTGCCAGTTTCGTCGCTGTCGATGCCAATGGTATAAAATCCCCTTTGCGTGGCTGAAACATTTTCTACCAGGTTCAGACTGTTCAGGAAGAGCCAAGATGCTGACTTCCATCAGGCAATGACATATATCGCAAATCGTTCGGGCATCAAAAAGTTGACGTAAAGAACTCACCACCACTAACCCTGGACACGGTGACATGGATCGCCAGCCAAACAAAGCTCACCACATCTGTGTCAGTGATGCAGCTTGTCGAGAGGGGGTTGATTGGACTCGATGATGATGTGCGCGAAGTTCTACCCCAGCTCAAAGAGCTCAAAGTCCTGGTCGCCTTCGAAGACGAAGACGGCGACGTCGTAGAGCCTGAGCCCACCAGTCACGATAGTGGAAATGGGCCATACATCAACAAATCTCTCCCCAAACCCAAGGGGCAGCCAATTTTTGAAGATGTAAAGGGCCCAATTACTTTGCGGTCAGTGTGATTTGTATTCCTGTTCCGAAATGAGCTTTCGGCAAACGTTCAAATACTAAATCCGTCCGCCACAGACATCTTGTCACGCATACTTCTGGATTGTGCTATGACCTGGCAAGCCCACTATTAATGAAGTACTCTGCGTGGATTGGTCGCAAGGAGAACATGTTCTCTGGCACAATTGAGGGTTTCTTTCACCCACTACTCTTCCAGCCGGGAACGTCCTGGACGTACGGTCCCGGACTTGATTGGGCAGCCAAAGTGGTTGAGAAACTGACAGGATTGGAATTTGACGAATACCAACAGAAGAATATTTGGCAGCCCCTCGGAGCTAAGAACACGACATTCTTCCCGGCGAAACGTGGCTTGACTCAAGAAGACATTCACGAACCGGCATCTCGTGCTGATGGCAAGGGCTCTCAAAATCTTGAACCTGGAACGTCTCCGTGGAAGTTTGAGTGTCGCGATGCCCTTGGAAGTGGAGGATTGTTCTCGACCGCCAACGACTATAGCAAGCTTCTTGCGGCGTTGCTCAGTGGGGGAGGGTCACTCCTTAGCCAAGCCTCAGTCGATGAGCTTTTCCGCCCACAGATTGGGCCCGGTGCCGTCAAAGGGCTACGGCAATTCATCATTGGTACTGATTTGGATAGCACTCAAGCTCCAATATGGACAGGGTCTGCTGAGGAATGGCAGGATGTGATGAAGCTGCAACATTCGCTGTGCGGAGTTGTGAACGCCGAAGATGTCAAGGCTCGTAGGAGGAAAAATACCGTTCATTGGTCAGGTCTACCGAATTTGATATGGTATATTGACCGGGAGAGTGGCGTAACAGCGACATTCTTCACCCAGTTGCTGCCAGTCGGGGATCGGCCAGCACGACAGATATGGCTAGATATAGAGGAGGCTCTATATAAGATCGTCAACAAGAAATAGGCACGTAAACTCGCGCAAGTAATATTTGAGTTCTGGTTCAATGCCGATATACAGTATTCTACCGCAAAATCGATTATTGATATAGCAAGAAGTTTAAGTCATGAGGAACATAAAATATTCACGCGAAGGAGTATCCTTCTTAGTCTCTACGCTCGTCTTCGCAACTTTGGCACTACCTCATGGGAGGGTTCTTGAAAGGTACAAAGGTGAGTAAAAGTAATCATTCTCATCATCATCATAGGATGAACTATATTCTCAACAGTGAGAGCGGGCAGGTTATAAGCTTTGCTCGTATTCACGCAAGCAGGATTATCTCATGTTTCTCTCGCAAGAACATGTGGAGACTGCCAAGGAAAGCAGCAACAACAGGAGCCTTCATCGTTTGTCCGCCGGAAGTAAGTACAGAGGAAGACACGCCTGTCGATGAAGAGCAGGCACTGGCTGTGCTTACCGTACTAGGGGTAGTATTGGTACCATTTCTGGGAGTGGTTACGGTGGAATTGGCTCCAAGACCACCGACCTTGTTAGTCGAATTCCAGAGATTGGCAGCAGGGGGGGACAAGAGTCAAGACATCCGTGGTGTTGCCGCACTGCTTGGGGCTGGGGGCATCGTAATCAACGGTGAAGAAAGAAACGGCAGACTGGCAGCCGCTGTTGACGACAAGAGTCTCGCTAGGCAGAGAGCAGTCTCCATTTATGCACTGGTTGACGCCGCCGGCAACCGGATCGCCGAAACGGAAGAGACCAGTGGTGGCTTTGTAGACGGCCTTGTCGACAATGGCATTGTTGGCCATGCGAGTTAGGATGTATGGAGAGTTCACGCAAGAATTATTGTTAAAAAATGTGATGTAGGGAATGTTAACATTGACACCACAGCCCAGTTGAACAAAATGCTGTACTCAATGTGTAAAGTGGCTTGCTTTAAGCTAAATACAATAGACTAAGGTACCATTAATACCAAAGGCGTGTGCCGTAGGAGAGTGACAAAGTCCAACAAAGACAGGTTAATTGCTTCACTGTTGTTGGAATAAGTGGCAGGTCGAATCAAGCCGTTACGAGCTGCAATCGTACGTCAAGGACGATGGATCCATGGACATTGTATTCTAGGCAGCATGCTACTCTATGGAGAGGATGAAAGCCAGCAAGTTCTCTACGCACCGGTGGAAGTTACAGATCTGCAGGGTCAATTCAGGCTAATGTGTCATTAATTAAGATTGAGATCAAAGGCAAACGCACGACGCCTGCTCATGGTGACATCCTTATTGCTTCTAATTTGGTATCCACGTGATAATTGGTCGTTATCTGTAATGGAGTTATAAGTTTATCTCCGAAGCTCGTTGAGACAAATCGTCACCAGTGCCCAGCTGCTTCTCAATCTTGCCAAGCTGCTTCACCTTCAGAAGACTGAATTACTACAGAAGATATTGTATGACCATGTCTTGCCCTGAGTGCTTCACTGGGGCTATCCATCAGGGTAAGCTCCTCGGATCAGAGGAAAACATCGCAGGGATCAAGACGTACATCGCTAGGCCGCCTTCCAATTCGGCGTCAAATTCGACAATAATTTTCATCACCGATGCGTTCGGTTTTAATCTCGTCAATAGCAAACTACTCGCTGACCAGTATGCCACCAAGATTGGCTGCACTGTCCTAGTCCCTGACATTATACCGGGTGGCGGGGTGCCCGTGGACACTCTGACTCTGATGGAGTCGGTTGGGAAGCCGGTAGGCTGGTTCGATATTCGAGGTCAAATCCAACGTATTTTTTCGTTCGTCCGGATGATGTCGATCGTCATTCCCTTCGCTATTCGCACTCAGAACGCCTTCCCGGGGGTTCTTGCGTATGCTCGAGCCGTGAGAGCAACCTTGTCTCCTGGAGGGCGGCTAGGAGCGGCTGGATTTTGCTGGGGAGGTCTGCAGACAGTCAAACTCAGCCAGGAGCCTTCCATTGAAGGTGGAGACTCGCAACTTATTGATGCTCACTTTACTGCTCATCCGGCGGGTTTGAAAGTCCCGGACGACTACCTGAAGGCTGCCAAGGCATTCCATGTCCCAATCAGTATCGCTGTCGGAGATGAGGACCGATTCCTGTCAAAAAGTGACGTTGAGACCATTGAGGCTGGATTTCGCCAGGAGTTTGGTCCTTTGGAAGATGACTTCGAGGCTGTTGTCTATCCCAGCTGTGGGCATGGATTTGCTGTTCGTGCAGAGCCAAGCAAAATTGTCGAAAATGATGCTGCCAATAAGGCCGCTCTGCAAGCTATTGAGTGGTTCAAACGACACTTGAATTAATTTGGTACAGCGTTTGTCTACCCAACGCTGGCTGAGCCACTCGGGGATGTCCCGAGAAATGTGTAGACATGAGAGGAAGTAGAACGCCTTCTGTTGCTATCTTTTGCCATGGGGCAGTTCATCTAACAATCCATTGATCGTCATGTCCATCCAAGTCCAGCTATCAAATTTTCACTTCTATATATCTGGCTCTGTCGTAGATACTCGCATGCTACCATGTCGTGAAAATTCACGGTAGATAGTGACGAGCCCAGAACTCGTCACTAGAAGGTCTTCAGGCATGATTACTTGCACTTGTTTTTAATCTGATAATTTAAGACCCAAGCAAATGAAGTGACACCAAGTCACAACTCATTCAGCTTCAGCACAAATTTTACTCTGATTCAGTAACACATACCCATGTTAGGCGGCTCCAGTATATGCGTTTGTACCATGTGAATGGAAGACGCATACTTTCCCATAAAGATACGTGCATCTCTCTGCAGAATACATAAAGGCCTGAACTCACCAGAAATGTATTTGAACGGTAGACTTTTCGAGCAATTCCACCGACTACCCAAAGTCAAACGCAACACTCCCGACATCAAAGAACAGTTCGACCAAAACTGACCAACATAGATCATACCCTTTAGAAAATCTTATTAGCATTACGAAAAGCATAGAAAAGATGGACATCGTTAAAGCAAAGAAGCAGAACCAGGACGAGCTCGATCGCTGTTCATGGGAAATCGCGTTGGCGAAGGGACGCATCGGCGGTACCAAGGAGGATATTGAGAAGGCCAAACACGATCTTACGCAGTCGGAGAGTAAAGACTCTCCCGAAGGCAAGTAACTCCCGTTGACGAGGAATCGGCCGTCGTATCAATTAAAAATAAACTATCAGAAAAATCAATCGCTGACGGCCAGTAGAAGCCGATCCCAAGGCCGAAGCAAGTCTTGAAAAGAAACAGAAGCTTGAAAATGAACTAGCCGTTCACGAGAATGAATTGGAGGGGCATCAAGAGAATCTAAAGAGGTTGGTGAAGTGGTTGCCACCAATAGAAAAGCGTTGAGACGCCCAGGATCGCTACTATATACAATTCCATTTTGGTTTCTATAGATCGACCTCTTTTTCGGTTTAGACAAGATGAGATTTCAGAATGAAACATTCGAACCGCTTAATCGAAAATGCTACCTATCAAAGTGAAATGCGAGTCTTCGCGACGATATGATAAAAACTCCATTAGCATACAGCCAGCCGAGATGTCACAAGCGGTGCGTTGAATGAGCTTCTACACAAGCTCGAGAGGAACAGATTCAAAATATATCAGTACAAGGTGCCTAGGAGTGTCCTAGCAGCGACCTTTTTTCCAACCATGAATGATCCAGACAACCATCTCCGATACTTTTACATAAACTACTTGAACATCGATCAAGCAAGTAAATCTCGCAGATAAAAGCTTCCCGGCCAAGAATGATCTAGAACCGCCATGCTTTTTCTTTCAAGGCCTCCCTCCCAAGGTACGCAGGGCGCTCATGCCAGAAGAAGTTGTCCACTTCCAAGGAGAACACCTGATGGATGAGATAGATGGAGCCGACGGCCGTCCAGGCGATGAAAATACTCCCGAGAGCGTCTCCGTTCGAAGTGTCAATGTCAATGAAGCCCACCAGCGACCGCTTAAAATAAACCCCGCAGAGAACAAGGTCAAAGAGGTGGCGGACAAACGTGAGGGCATAAACATGGGCAAGGGAACGAGGGGCCTGCATGTACCATTGGATCAATAACGCGACGGCGAATCATACGGTGAGACAGGCTACTCACATCTCGAAGAGTCTTATCCTTGGCCGTCAAGTAATTCACATACGAGAGAGCGGCGAGGAGGAAAAGCAGACCAGCCGTGCCAAATTCGATGAGACAACTCACCGAGTACGCCGACTCATTGTGCATGCTATAGAACCACGCGACCAGACGCACAAGCTCCAGCAGAGGGACGCACTTGAAGGCGAGAAGGCTGGCCCGGTGGACGGCGTTCCTGTTGGCGCCCTTCTTCTCGTCGCCCTTGATGTAGTCCGACGGGTAGCGCAGAGCGGTGGTGAGCTCGATCTGGGCCAGCAGGATGACAGGGAGGACGAACCTCGAGACCAGCGACATCAGGTGCTGAGTGTATATCCGCAGCGCCCACGAATAAATGTACACCCACTCGGAGCTCACACGGAGGACCAGCGTGCAGCTAGCCTCGAGCACCCAGAGGGCCAGCAGCCTAGCCACGACGAACGGTTAGACGTGATGACACAGTCAGAGGGGCGGGTACGTACACTGTGACTCCCACAATTGACTGCTTGATACGAGGGATGCACGGGGAATCGGCCTGTCCGCGGTCGCGCAGCTTGAAGTACGAGGGCAGCACATGGCGCAGGTGGTAGCTGGACGCGGAGGCCACGGCGGCCAGCTCGAACAGGGCGCTGAGCAGCTCTTGAATCTTCATCGTGCCCGCGGAATGGAATCAGCCCCCCCAGGAAGTACCACTAACGCTATGCTCGGGCAGAGAGGTGAGTGTAGGACGCTCCCAGCCACTTTTCGTTGTGGCCAGATCACTTCCGGTCCAGTCCATAAGCAGAGGAGCAGGGGGGAGCTTCTTGGCAGTGGTGCTATTAATAGACATTGTTATGTCTCATCCTCCTCACTTTTGTGTCTTGGGTATCATCCAGCATATTGTGAAATACGACCTGAATATCCTTTGCGGTCTTGGACGTGCTGGAGGAGGGGAGCAGAGCCCAATGTGCAGTGCCCAGGTTTTGGGCAGCAGTTCAAGGTGCATAGCTACGTAATCAAGTTGCACAAGGTTGCTTTCACAATATGTACTCAGCCGTAATCGGTGTTTATCATTTATGCACTCGATGTAGGTGAGCAGCCACTGACGTACAATACGACAAGTAACAGAGGGGAGGAAAGAGGGGGAGGGAACGCAGAGCTGAAAGCAGTCTGCGAGATTCCCGCCCAACTGGCTTCCCTCCTTCATCTCACATTCTCGCTCCTGATACACGGCCAAGCTCATCATGGCAAAGGTCATAATGGCAGATGTCACCATGGCAGAGTCTCTTGACCAAGAATCTCAGCCAGCGGTGCAGAAAGCATTCCCGGGCGAGATTCACAACCACATCGCTGGGATGCTCGGTCCCGTTGACCTGATCTCCCTCAGCCAGACCAATCGTTACTTCCGGCAGCTCATCAACCCTGGATGGAAGGAGCTTGCAGAGCGCCTCTTGGTCATTGAATGCAAAAAGAAGCACGGAGGCGGCACCTCCTTGTTCTACACCACCGCCGATGATCACACGCATCTCCACGACACGCTCGAACCGTTCGAGGCCAACCTCTGGGCCTGCCCGGGCTGTCTCCAGCTGCTCCCTCATTACCGCTTCGACAACCAGTCCATCTACTGGCTGGCAACCCGAAAGCCAATGCCCGGAACACCCGCCGCTGATATCGCCAGCTCCTGGGTCCCGACACAGCACAGGGAAGACTCTGAAGAGGAGAGCAAGCGCATGAGGCAAGAAATATACACGTATTATATGATGCATCGTTCAGAGGCAGACGATGAAGACGACCCCGTCCTCATGAACGAAAGTTGCGGATACGACCGCCATAAACGCCGATGCATCGAATGTCAATACCGGCTTGGGATGGTCGGAGGCTATACTCGCGATCAGCTTCCCCCAATTCCGCCATCACATGAAGAGCGCCTCGCAGGTACGGTAAGAACCACCAGTACCCTCACGAGTCGCGCGGTCATGCTGAGCTCGGGCTTCGTTCGATTCTGGCCCAAGCTCGACGAGATGATTCAATGCAAGGCTCCGACCATCACGCCTCTCGGATCCAACAGCATACCCTGGCGCAGAGAGGACAAGCTCTGGGACATGTACATGATCCGCTGCACCGGCTGCGAAGGATGGAAGGAGCTTCGGGCATTCCGCATCGAAGGCACGCGTCTGGACTGGAGACCCTTTCGGTTTACCACCGGCATCCCGCAGTGGCTCCCGCGCGACGTGGCCAAGGACGACGAGGCGCCCAAGCTGGAGAATCGCCCGCTGGCAGAGCTTCGGTGCAACCACTGCTTTGCCTGGGAGCACGGCACTGAAAGACTGGGCGAGATCCTCACCATCCGGTTCGAGATGAACATCAAGCCGCACCTGTCCGAGCTGGAGTACCGCCTGCACTCCCACTACAAGGCGGTCAAGTACCTCGGTGCCGATGGGGCCGCAGAGAAGCACCGTCCGAAGGAAGATCCGTCGGGGCACTTCGAGGAACTGGTGCGGTTGGTGCGTCAGGCGGAGGAGAACAACAGGGAGCTGAGCGATAACCGCCAATGGAGCCTCAACCAAGCCGACGTTGACAGACTGCGAACTGAAGCTAAAGAGTTCAAAGACATATGGATCAGAATGCGGACGTCTCAGCCGCGCCTCGCATCGAAGCTTGGTAGAGACAGGGCCTTTATCTCGTGGATCAATGATTTTAACAATTCAGAGATCGAATGGAAGTGGCTCAAAGAGTGCCAGGCCAAGATCCTGGAGAACCCGGATTTGCTGCTGCAGTGGGCGCTGAACCTTGATGCCCCACGTTGTTGCTATCCGTCTGCTGGGTAGTGTCTTTGCTCACAAGATGTGACAATGAGGGCGTATCTGGACCTCCAGGCTCCTTGCTTTATGAGATTTTCCTAGTATGTGCGTGGGGTATGTGAAGGGATGCTGATTGATTTGCTTGTTGGTACAGATTGACCACGAGGAGAATGAACTAAGACCTAGCCTCTACGTATGATGATTAATGAATGAAATCTCCTTCTTTTCAATGGAACATGTTTGAAAATAGCTACTCTTGCCACTAAACTATGGGACTGCTCCACGAGACTTGATCACGCAGAGAGTACCTTTGCTCTGAGGTCGTGAGCGAAGAGTGTGGTGGAGAGTGGGTAACGTGAGGGTTTGAGCTAACATCGACTCTGACTCTATTTCGATGTCCAGGAAATTGGAAGGGCAAGTTAGGCAATGAACACAATGACAACGATACAAAGGGTCCTCGTGAGCGATTTGGAGCTATGTGAAGCTGCCACCACATGATGTTCATAGGCCACGGCTGGCCATTGTTCACTATAGTCTGTTTTATACCAGTCTTTGGTCTCTTGGCACTTCACAAACGTACCAGTCTGGCACGGTTCTGGCAGTGTATGCCACCTACTTAGCTATAAAGGACTGCCAGGAAGCTCAGTAGATCTTAGATTTCTTCCCCAGACGCTGAAGTTTCCCCAAGCGAACTTAATATCAGACAATTTCGACAAGTCTATTAAAATCGTACCTATCTTGCAGTGGCAGTGTTGTCGTTGTGCGCTATATCATATCCGATCACAATGGACTCTAGACGGCCAAATTCCACGCCTTCTACGGGACCGTGGATGACTTCAGCCATTGGTGGTCATCATATGGACGCGGCAGAACCTGGAAGCTGGGTTGGTGGCAGAACCCGGAGCAGTGGCTCCGGCGAAGTGACCAGTCACATCGCCGAGGGGTATGACTTTACAAAGGCATTCATGTCGCCTTTGTATCCATACCTCAGAGATGCTCAGATAGTCAATGAGCAGTTACGACATTTTTATCACGACAAGAGTCCGCCAAACCGCGAGGTCCGGCGTTGGCTGGGAGACATAAACGACATCAAGCGCCGCGACATTTTCATCAACTGCTTCATTCGCCATCTCTGGCAGCAACTTGGCGTGTGGAATGACAATTGGGGTATCCCAGGCCTTGCCGGATACCAAAACAACATAAACAACTGGAAGTGGAGGTGGAGGGAGGGCGAAGACCAGCTCGACCTGCTTGCCGCCGACCGGGACCGGACGCATCGTGCCCATGTACGCAAGGCAGGTCGAAGGGTATTCACCTTCACGCCGTCCTACAAACAAATTTGTTTGAGAAGAACCGCCACCGTGGCTGAGGCTGAGGAGTTCCTCAGCTCCCGGCCGTGGTTTGTGCATGGCGTGCAGACTGTTGCAAAAGGCAAGTGCGTTAAAAATGCATGGAGAATACAAGGCAAATGGATTTCCGAATGGGATCACCATTTTCCAGGCTGGAGATGGGATGGCGATGATACAGCGATCGCCAACCCCAAGTTCCTGCTGAATCTTCTCTCCGACAATGAGAAGAAAGTCCTCGGGTTCCAAGACAGTCCTGCCCGTCCTCTCAGACACTGGGGCCGCTACTCCTTGTCAGCAGGCCAGTCATCAAGGAGCTCCGATATTCGCTACGTTGAGACGCCCAGAGGTAGCAGGACAAGCCAGGCGAGCAGTCAGGGGTCGCCGGATATCGGGCAGATTTATCAGCGCTTCGGCGAGGCGTATTTTGCCCGTAGCTATTCGCAGCTGGCTTCCTCTAGTGCTGCAGATCCTGGGCAGGCCCTTATGGACAAGGACAATGAGGAGGAGGTATGGGAGGCCATCTCTCCTGTGGCACCGCGAATCCAAATTTCCATTGAAAATTTCAAGTTGGGTCTATGCCCTGATCAATTCACTCTATAAACACCCAGCTAGCAGAAGATAGCAGAAGAGAAAAAGAGAGAAAATTCAGCCTATGAATACCAGCGGTAGTGATGGCTAATATAAATAACATGACAGGTCGGTTTTCCTTGAGGCTAGCTTTTCTGTAATTTCCCCCTCTCTAGCTTCTCCCATTCATTGAAGGTATTCCAGTGTAAAATGCAATGTATCCAAGAACCGAAAGCAGTAAAATCGTATAAACACAAGCAAGAATCAATCTGTTTTATCTCCCGTCCCTGTGAAGGGACCTACTTTAGGAACGTATGTCTTAAAATCCCAAGAAGCAACGCCAAAACGCCATATCCTTCTAACAGTCTGGGGTAGTGAGATGGATATCATGGCAGAGAAAAGTATGCACCGTAGTCGAAGTCATCATCATCATTGGCATCGTCAGATTGGTCAGTATTAGCAGGTTGATTCGTGTTCCCGGGTGGACCTTGGGGAGAAGGCGGAGGATCGAGATAGGATAAATTGGGGTCGATCGGGATTTCCACCTGGTCCAGCGGGGTGACTGTGGAGGAAGGGGCCGGGCGATAGGAGCGCTGACGAGGGTGAGGTGGAGGATGAGGGTTTTGATAGTACATATTCATGCCCATGCCCATATTGAGGAGAGATGGAGATATTGTAGTGCCAACGCCAGAGGGAGAAGCAGCAGCTGAAGCAGCCCGAACAACAGCAGCAGCAGGTGACCGCTGAACACGATGCGGCAGTGAGGCTTGCTGATGGGGCGGCAGTGAGGGAGGCACCTGTAGCGGGTGAGCTACAGTGGGAAACAGGCCAGCAACAGCGGAGGCATGTGCTGGAGCCACGGGCTGTGGCTGGGGTGGAGGATGTGGCTGGGGAGGAAGGGCAGGCTGCTGAGGCTGCTGTAAGGCAACCGCTGTACGGTTCGCAACGGGATGGGCATGGAGATGGTTCGCAAGGGGAGGAGGAGCATGGGCGTGGGCATGGGCAACGCTGGGAGGGAACCTAAGCCTCCGAGGGTGTTCTGCCTGGCTCGCAAGCTCCAGCATCCGGGGGCAAAGGTAGTCGCTCAAGCGTCGAGCCCAGGCAGTATGGTCTTCGCCCTCTCCGCGCTCGATGTTGATGGCGGGAGGTGGGGAGAGCAGGGCCGTCTGGAGTGCAGCCTGGAAGTCTGGGGAGTGAATCGAACGGGTTTCAGTCAGGTAATCGGGGACGTAGGGTGATGCCGGTGCAGGATGCCTGAAAAAGAAGTTTTCCCAAACCCAGTAGTACTTTCGCTCATCGGTAGCACCTCGAGGGGCGTTCGCCAGGTGCTCGATCTCGTCCACGGTGAAGTTCTCCGGTCTAAGGGCAGTATTGGGCTCGTTGCAACTCTGCGTGTGCAGCTGCCACGCGGCACGGTCCTCAAACTCCACGAGACAGCATCTGCTACAATAGTACTCCTTCACCTTGTGGCAGCGAATCAGGTGTTGCTTCACGTCGGCAAAGCGCCTAAGCTCATACTTTGCCCAGCAGCGAGAATAGCGGTGCGGATCCATCTTGTAGTACGGACATGCCAGAAAGCGACCGTCCCACTCGCCCTCGTCATCGTGGCGATGGGAAGGGCCTCGCTTCTTCTCGTCTCTACCATCATCGTGGTCCCGTTTGCGTTTGCCCGCACCCTTTTTTTTATTATCACTACCTCGACTACTTCTCCCCTTGCCTGCCCCATCCGCGGACAGCGCCCAACCGCCCGTCGATTGCGAGCCCTGGGCCACACCACCGAAGCTGACAAACCCTACCGACAAGACGACAGAGGCCAAGACCAAGCGAACAAAGATACCTTGCGACTGGTCCTGGATTTGCCACTTATCTTCATCGAGTGCGGCGGTCGAGAGAGAGACGGCAGCGATGTTCGATTCTTGGTCGGTGGGCTCGTCGCGTTGGGGCGGAGGGTGGACTACGACTGGCTTGTGGGCACCATCGTGGAGATCATCAAGGGGAGCGTCGCAGGGAGCAGCAGGTTGAGAAGGCTTCGGTCCGAGTTCTGTTGGATGTTAGCTATGCGAATCCGGGAAGCAAGCGCCTGAGGTGGAGAGAGGAGAGTAATTACCGTTGGCCTCGTGGCAGTTGTTGTAAGCGTAGGAAACGTAATTGACGAAGTAGCAGGTGGTTACCTGCGCTCCTGCCGCCGTTGCCTTGGGGCTGCTGTTGGCCTTGGAGCACGCCTTGGGAACAGCCTGAGGGTGAGAACCGTCGTCATCGTGATTGCAGACCAGTGGCGCGTGTGGCTGCGCGACAACGGGAGCCGTTTGTTTGGCACTCGCACGATTGGCATTGACTTTCGCGCTGCTGGAACGTTTGAGGGCTTTGGCGGCTCGTTTTTCGCGCTCTCTTTCGTGTCGCCGCCTGACGGTGCGCGGGAGGGAGCGAGGAGAGCTAAACGCTGCCGCCACCACTGCGACAGCGCTGTTGGCGATATCCACAGCGGCCTCCAAGAGGGGCCGCAGCGCTGGAGGAGGCCAGCTAAAGGATGACTCAGCGCACTGGACATACTGAATGCCCTGTGCGATCAGCGTGGCCGAGAGTAAAACGAACATCCAGTCCCACAATGACGAGGAGCCGACAACCAGGTTATCCGTTTGCATTGCGGCGGTTGTTTCAAGTAGGGCCAATCCCATGAGCGGAGTCAAACTTTCTTTTCTCTTTCTTCTTCTTCTTTCGTTCTTCGGTAGCTAGGAGACACGGAGCGAGTGCGAGCGGGGAGGACAAGCCAACGGGCGCCTGCAGGGTAGGTAAATGAGTAACCCCCTACGTGGCTTGCCTCAGCTGTGCTCTTCGAGTGAGGCGGGGTGTGATATTATGCAGATTACTACTAGTTAGTCGGTCGATGGATGTTTGCGAGTCACTGTTGGCCCGGGAAGGTTGCAGATATAGATTCAAGGGAAGTACACAGAGGTACCATTCGCTTTATGAGAAGCCACCACCAGCAGAGCCGCGTTTATGATCACAACACTCATTCCAGCACAATTGTGCACCCCAATGGGATGACGGGATGTCGCGAGGCAGCACCTCGCTCTCTCCACCAGAGAAGAGGCAGACGCTAGGTGCGTAGCATCTACATTAGCTGCTGGTGGTGGATCGCCGACCTACAGGGGCTATGCTGGAGTACACCTTACCGGCTGAGCCACTCTCGCTCCCAACGCCGCCTTGATACAAACGGCGCAACTGGAGACCCGACACGGCTGAACGTTTGCTTTACGACGGAAGGCACCCGAATTCAAGCGAACCCAATAGCAAGAGTGAGCCACTGAGAAGCCCAAGCGAAGGTGAGGGACGTGGGAGAGGCATCCAAGGACCCTAGCTGACTCGCACTCTAGGGCTGTTGGTAAGGAGCCATGTACTCGATCTAGGCCTGTCTGTAATAAGGACCTCCGTTGCTGGTTGCCCGGCCTTTGTTTGCTTGCATTGTTGGCAACCAAAGCCAAACGACGGCCATCCAACCACATCTGTACGGGGCAGAACATGATGATCCATTCGGATCCCAACCAGCACCCTGCCAGCCCCAAGCACCCCGATTTGGCTGGGCTGCTCACCACTCGGGCGCTGCTTGGCTGGCCGTTTTTTCCACATACAAGCCGCTAGGCGAGATCCCCGCGTCACCTTAAGCATTGGATTGGTTACAGGGGCTTCGGGGTCGGGTTTGACGGTTTCACCTCGAGCAGTGATGGCCCCGAATTGGCCCTTAATCTCGTAGCACCAAAGAGACGGTACCTAACAACCCATCTGTGCGTACATTTGTACACTACGACTTCGTACAGGGTACCGAGTGGTAGGGAAATACCCGCTAATACCCTGTGCTTGTGCCGAGCCCATCCAGATGGACCACGTCAGTCCCCCCAAGCAAGCCCAGGTCGCTAGCACGCAGTCCGCAATGGTTCGCAACTCCAGTGGGCACAAACCGGATAAAAACAAAGTCATATGATCCTCTCCCAATGCTCAACAATCAGGCCGTAGCGTAGGGCCTCTAGCTAGCCAGCAAAAGCCGTTGAAGGCGTTTCGCCACGATGCAAGCAAGCAAGCCAGAGCTATAATTCACCGGCCACCACTAAATCGATGCCAACAGAGCAGCCAGCAGGGTCCCGGAGTCGATCGAGAGTTATGACTAGCCTGTAAGATGCCCGGGATGTGGGGGAAGCACGATGGTTGGATGGCAATTCTCCCCAATTCCCATCCCAGTGGCCAGTGCGCGATCTTGTCTATAATTTAATCTACGGCCATCTCCGTGAAAAGAGAATCCATCTGCCGCCAGAGATCGAACAGCGTGAGATAAGTGACATACCAACGCTTTCTTTGTGCCCAACTGAAAGACTGGCCGTGCTGTGCCGCCTCAACATGACGCGGCATAATAGATTGCTGGCACTCCGTCTCTGGAAGGAATTGCTCCATCCCAGACTAGATGAGGTCTGGATTCGCCATTTCCGAGCTAGTACTTGCGTGTACGGCTATGTTGTCACATCGCACCACGGCTAGTAAGCTAGGCCAACGCAACGGCGGATGATGCCACGATGAGGAGGCCTAAGTGCCATTCGATGGATACGATCCCTTCTTGGCGCCCAGGTATTGAGTGGCACAAGGCAGCTGGGTGGATCGAACACCCCCAGACCAGCCCCGAGGATCAGCTCGTAGCCCCGGGCGGAGAAGCTTCAGTCGGCCGAAAGCCAGAGGCTGATATTGGGCAAGTAGCATTAAGTATCATTGGGCTCGATGATGCTTCGTTTGTGCCCTCACCTGACTGATATTTTGGACCTCGAATAGTATGGCATCATGCGCGTTTTCTCGGTTATTTTCGCTCTCGAGGCTGTCGTACCAATCATATGGCCCATCGAGCCCTCCATCACACCCTGCCAGCAGTAAAGGATCGCACACATTTGTGAGAATCGAGTCTGACACTGAACATTAGGCACAGCCCCATCCTTAATTTGGTCGCCCAGCGTCCGCCTCATCATTCGTCTGGTGAAGTAGGCTGCCACTTCGCACATTTGCTAGGCGTGTACATGCATCACCCGCTCTTTCCAAGTGATTTTGTGTGCGGACTATAGGGACTTTGTTTACACATTGCATGTATCTTTATCGCCTGCCAAAGGGAATAGAATAAAACAAAAAGTATCCATCCCAGCATTTGTGATTCCCATCCTTTGGTGCACGCAGAACCCCTCACCATCGCTGCCCAACATCTGTCCAAACCCCCCAATCCCTGGGCCCGTGATACTTGACCTTAGTCAGTGTCCCGCGCCATTGTTGACAGGTTCACGAGTCACTGGACTCATCTAGCCTAGAATGAATCCTCCTTCGTATAACATGAGCTTCTGCAAGGGTGGAGGGTACGAGCGGCTATGGGAGGAAGGGCAGAATCCAAGATCGCAGCCCGAGCATGACCAAAACCTCATGCCTGATGAAAACTTTGGCCTGCCGTGGGATAGCTATAGCGCATCGCTCTCTTCGGGCAGCGGCATGGAAACAGCAGCACCCTCGCCAGGGACCGATTTCTCTCCGGACCTGCGAGCTATGCCGCCAATGAGCGATCTTGCGCTCGACAGTATGTATCCCAGTTTCCTCCCATATAATAATGATACCATCTAACTTTGATGACTAGACTTAGGTGATATCTACATACGGAATCTGAGTGATCCTGCCATCCACCCGGTCCACAAGTTTGAGAGCACGGTTATGAATCCTCAGTACCCGCCCTACATCGAGGATTGTTCGCTCCATCCGGCTCACCAGCCTACCGTGATGTGCAACGGACCGTACCATCCTCGAACCCAGTCTTTAGACAGTTGCTTGTCGGCGTCAATGATACCTACTGGGTCTGGCGAGGACTACTTACATGAGATGATAGCCCCGGCGCCACTCATGGAGAGAAATGGACACTTTGAACGCGCAAATGATTTGGAAAACAACAAAGAGCAGAATATCCAAGTGCCTCAAAGCACAAAGACTGAAGACACAACACCTACCTCTGGGGCAGTCTCAAAGACACCAAAAGAAGAAGCACCCCCCGTCAAGGCAGAAGTCAAAGAAGAAATCGTCTCGCAAATCAAGGACAAGTCCGACGTTGCGCAGAAAAAGCGCAAACGGAGCCAAAAGGACAGCATAAGCGAGGAATCCACCGAAGAGCTGCTCTTCGCGTGCCCTCTCTACAGGAAATATCCGCTTCAGAATATGGATTGTGTGAACCGCAAGCTCACGCGGATCCGGGACGTGAAGCAGCATTTGCTCCGACGCCATCTTGCGTATCGCTGTCCCATCTGTAATATACCGCTCCCTTCCGCGGCGCGCAAGGAGGAGCATATGGTGGAGCGGAACTGCAGCCCGGCCGAGTCCGCGGAGAGGTTCGGTCCTGATGGCATCACTCAGGAAGTACATGACATATTGAAGAAGAGGAGCCATAGAGGGAAGCCTCCGACCACTAAGTGGTATGAGGTGTGGGAGATCATCTTTGGCGACACAAATCGGGAGGAAAGACCGTTCCTCGGTCCCATGATGGAAGAGACAGCCAAGCTGATGCGGGACGTCTGGGATAAAGAGAGCAGGTCCATTGTCCAAGACGTCATATTGGATGGTAGTGATAATAGTAATCAAGCCGAACAACACATGGAGGCCATGATGGCCATGTTCGAAAAGGTCCAGGACCGATTCGAAACGCGCATCCACGAGCTTACAAGTCGTGAATCCACATCTGAGAAGAGCAGCCCCGTGATGGCTGCCAGCCAGACACTGGCGAAAGCAAAGAACGCCAACAACAGACCAAAAACAGAGAACACCGGTAGAGTCTCGCCCCAGCCGGACGGCGGCGACGATACCCCAACAACAGAAGAGTCCGGTATACCATCATTACCCTCTAGCTCGGGGGATACAATGAGCCATTATACGTTGTCTTCACCCAATGATGCCAATCAAGGCCGTGCCCATTCTGGGCTCAAAGGCCAAGCCAGCTGGCCTGCAACATCACAGGCCTCGCTTGACAAGAATGGATCGCCGCGGAGCGTGTACTCGATGGCGTCACTTACACGGTCCTTGACCTAAAACTAACGAATGGTATTTTTCATTGAGTTTCGATTGTGTCTTTCTCAACGCGTTCACCGTTAAACTGGAGAGGAGGAACTACGGAAGCATAGGTAAGTCACACGCGGGATCTCGAGGTATTGGCGGCCCTGATCTGAAAAGGGTCTTGCTCATGGTAAGGATCAAACTATTCAAGAGCAGAACCGAACTTACAGGCATAGTGCATAAAACCAATTGCTCCCAGCATCTCCGTTTCCGGTTCCTTATATCTTTAAACGACAGGACATTTAAATCCCTCGAGCCAACACGGGAACAAAAAAATAAAATAAAAATAGAAAACGCATGATATGAAAAAAAAGAGAGGTTACTCGAAGGATTACGCATATTTCCTTTCATTTCTTACAATTAAGTGTTAGGTAATCCAATTGAATCTATGTAGTTCATTCGAGCTAATCGACCTTCAGACCTTACTGAGAGTCATTATACCGTCAAATTATCTTTTTCTTTGACATTTGTCATTTCAATTCAACCCCCCTCATGTAAGTTAGTGGGAACCTCCCTGGTCATCTGGTTATAAACGCTAGATTCGATCAACAGGGGATAGTTGACACTCTTTTCTCAACTCTTAGATACGCCCCCGTAACGCACTGGATTTGAACATCCAACTACCTGTGACTATACGGAGCAACTATTTTCCCCTTGTTGCGTTGTTATGATGGTCGCCAGGGCTATCTTTTGGATATTACACAGACCCAGAGCTAGGCAGTTTCCCGAGGCTCCCGCTTCTCTAGTCTGAAGGGAACTAGGGGTAGCAAATTGGGTTGCTACATGCCCTCTGGCTTATCTAGTAAATCACATTACATCCCCCTCGCATACAATCACACCTGTCACCATCATCCTAGCTAAACAGTAATAGTGTTCCCATCACCTGAAATCGTGATGCCTCTGTTTCCCGTATCGAGCCCCAAAATGACCATCTCCAACAAGCAAAACTTTTCGATTTCTTAATCGTGAACTAGTCCGTCCAATTGAGTTCGCACAAACAGTATGTAAATTGTATTAGACTTGCATGAGCGTGCTTCCGAATGTTGCTTTAATTTTCCTCGATACCTAGAGTTTCGGCCCAAAGAAACGAAACTGGAGTTTTAGTTTAGTTCACATGTTACACAAGAGTCTTCCTCAGCCTGATGCAAGGAACTAGAGGTTGGCCCTATAAGTTCATAGGCCGAAAGCTGCGATAATATGATTTGAAGGATATTGGTCAGGGTAAACTATATCTTCGTAATTGATCACGACCAATCAGAAAAGGCCGAAGGCGCGGTGTAGTTGTTTTAAGCCCGTTGGAAGACTTAGCACACCAACATAGAAGCTCTAACTCTCCACGACATGAGATACGTACGGATTGCCAAATTGGAAGACAGAGTGTGCGAGAGGATTTGATTGGTTCTCTAGGGTTCAAAACATCGATACTTGCCCTCTTCCCCTCGATGCATGAAGGGACAACCTCACCGGGGACGGGATACTAACCGATGACAGGTTGTCAGAATGGCCTGTAGTCTGAGAAGAGGAAGACGGATATTACTGCCTGGGTTCTCGTTGGCCAAGTTGATGATAGGCCCTGTATCGCCTTTCTGCTGCCTACTAGATCACATGATCGTTATTCATATAGTATTAACTCAGGCATGTTTCTACAAAGTGAATTTAACGAGCATCAGCACATCCTTGCATGGCTGGTTTTACTGGTACTTTGTTCTCTAGCACTTTCAGTCCAGCAGGCAAGCTAAGTAGTAAAGATAACATTATTTTGTGGCTTGTATTGACACTCAATCGAAATACCGAGAAATGGATAAAACGCGCTTAATCAAGAAGCGCAATTCGTAGGTGTAAGACCTCAGCCGGCAACTCAATCGTCCATACTTGGGTGATCCCTTTTGGGCGCTCAAGCGGTAACAATGTTTCTCTATAACTGCATCTTTGGTGTGGTAAGAACATGAGACTTTTAGTGAAACCTTCTTTTGATTGGGCGTTTCAAAGTTCAAAGTTCTCGTATCTTCGATGGACTGGTGATGGTGTTCGACTAGTCCGACTGGTACCGACAAAGAGCCACCTTGTTGAACAATAATCTAAACACATATTATGGAGTTAGTCTGTGTTGATAGTGTGGAATTTACTTTTACTTTTTTGTAAATATTGTGTCTGAACTTGAGAGGACAACCCGGCTTAACATACAATTCACAAGCATCACTCTGGAAGTCCAAGGTAACCCCCTGCTAGTGCTGATTCTGGTGTATGCTCGACTTTTGATGTTTATACAGTGCCTTCAGCCAGGCACCCACCCTCAGACGGATCCATTATGGAGAACATTGGGTGACCGGTGATTCCTGAATCCAGAACCGTGGTGAATCCCCGAGCCCCGCCACCAACACAAGCCAATCAGAGTTGCACAACAAATCACTCGGACTTCTACATCCTACCGAAACGTGCCACTGCCGATGGGGGGTTAAGGTTTTGACTCTGTTTGGTTCATCATTGATTTGATGAACAGTAACAGTACGGACGCATCCGTCGGAAAGCAACAGAAGCATTCCAAGCCCTAGTGCAGCACACACTCCATCATCCTCCCACAATGGCGGCTGTCAATACCGAGCTGCTTGCGCAACTTGCTGCCACTCCACTCAAGGAATCGATCCCTGCCGAGGCACTCCAAGACGCCCTCTCGCGACCGCCTTTTGTCGCCTTGCCCGGATCATTCAATGTTCGTGATGTAGGAGCCTACTCGGCCGGGTATGTCAAGCCCCGAGTTATCTTCCGGTCAGGCATGCTGGACAATATCCCAGAAGCGAGTTGGCCCATCTTGAGGAGCGAACTTGGCCTCTCCAAGATCTACGACTTCCGTCGTGCGGACGAGGTTAGAGTCCCTCTCTGTAACACGGACGGCATCGATGTTATTTCCTGTCCCTACAACGATGGCTCAAAGGACGCCCCGGACTTTGTATCCGCCGTCTTCGCCATCTCGAATAGCGCCACTGTGGATAAGGCGTACGCCGATTTGTACGATGTTATCCTCAGAGGCCATGTGTCGGGCTACAAGCAAGTCTTTGAGAAGCTCAAGACCGCGAAGGAAGATGACGCTGTCCTCTTCCATTGCACCGGTATTGTTCTGATCCCTCTATAGTAACATCAATTGCTAATTCTCCTGGTGCAGCTGGAAAGGACCGCACTGGAATTATGACAGCCCTGATCTTTGATCTGGTTGGAGCTCCTAACGATGTCATCGCAAATGAATATGCGCTCACAAGAATCGGCCTCGAGCCCCACCGAGAGAAGTTCCTTCCACATATCATCAAGAGCTATGGCAAAGACAAGTCAGCGGCAAACCCGGATGGCACCTTGAGTGAAGAGGATATAGCCAAGCTTACCCATCTGCTTGGTTCTTACAAGGAGGTCATGGCCGCCTTCCTTGAACGCCTCAAGGAGGAGTATGGGGGTGCAGAGGGCTACGTCAAGAACCATCTCGGGTTATCAGACGACGATATCAATGAAATCCGAACGAACCTGAGGCCAACCGCATAAAATAGTGGATGAACACATATTTGAGACTCGGTTAAGCATGGGCTAAAGGCAGCATGCCGTGGTTAAACCACATTCGCGGCAGCGGTGCCACTACTTTCTAGGAATTAAGCTTTTTTACTTCATTTATCAAACAGAATTGTCACAATTGTTCTGATTGATAGAGCGATGTACCCCAGGGACTGATGGACAGTCGCCTTAAATCGACGGTAATCTTCTGTGATGTTTCATGCCTTGGAGATTGATTGATCAAATGGACTATGAAAACGTCTCTAGGATGTAAAGTTTTGCAAGAGAGGTCCAGTAGCGACGCCAATGACGATGCTATGGATTACGAAATCCAACACCAAAGGTCATATTTACACTTTCTGGTTGCTTTATATTCGGTTGTAACTATCTTTCAATGTAGCTGTTTAATTCTTCGTCCCCCCATAAAGGCACTTATGTCACTATTGTGATAGGGTTGACCGCTTTATCACATCATCTCACTTATAACATAGACGCATTTTATAAATTACCCTCAAAGGATTCTGTAAGGAAACGTTGAGATTAGGGTTCATCAATAGAGCTAATAGTGCGCGAAAAGTGGTGAACGATATGGAACATCAATAACTTGCAGCGTATAAAGAAGCCAGCTGTCTTCCTGTTTTTATTATCCAATTTGAAGCATAGACTACACTACACAAGTTGAGTTGGCCTCTCAATTCATGTGTTCGACATACAGCCCTATTTGAAGGTTTGCTAGGTCCTGCGGTCCGGCTCGAGTTATGGCACAAGTTTGGGCATGCCGAGTAATATTCCTCTTGTCAATGACCTCACCTCTAACTAACTGCAGCGGAGTCATCATACCCTCTTGTAACAGACCCTCCAGAACAACTCTTGCAACTTCCTATTAAGTAAATTATTATCTAACTACTCTATCGATGCTCTTCTGTCCCCAATTCTTTGATGCGTATAGTCTTGGCTACCCTTATGCTGATAAAAGCAAATACAGAAAGAAAGAAAAAAGAAGAAGAAAAAAACAGACAAAAAGAGATAACATGCAATGTGTAAGTGCCCTAAATCGTTTCTAGTGAGTGGTGTGTGTAGCCAGACAGCATACGAGAAACCTCAGAAAGGTGCATTGGATGCCCTGAAGGTCATCAAGTCTCACTGCTGGTTGGTCGATCTCGCAAGACTCGGCCAAGTATATCTTGCAAGACAAGCTTAGAGAGAGCGGCGATTTCTTCCGGCTCATGCTGGTCCGGAATCCCTTGCTTCCCCATATACTCCGAAACTAGATCCAGCCCATTTGCGTCCCAGAAGTCTCGAATAATAGAGATTTCCCGCTCAGGACCTGAGCTCATGTAGGGTTCTGGGACCTCATCAGAGCCGGGAAAGACAGTATTCCAAATGCGAGCCCATCTTCTTGTCTCTCCGAGCTGAATCCGATCCTTCTTTTCAAGTCTCCGTTTCTGGCGCTCGTTGACCCCATCAACCTCGCCTTGGCTCACCTGACATACCCGAGCACGAACATGGTTATCCCGAACCAGAGCTCGCTCAAAAGGCTGTCGACAAATAGGACAGTATGGGGGCTCGGTATGGTGTTCTTGTAGATGGTGAATGACGTCTTCAATGGATTGAAGATCGTGCCCTAGCAGGCAAGCCTGATATTTCTCCGGCTTGCGGAGATAATATGGACATGAAAAGTGAAAATAGCCGCGCTGGCGGGGTATGATTACCATATTAGGATCTTCGAGCGCTTCTGGCGATCCTTTGTCTTCATGTAACGAATTCCAGTTCGTTGTTCGAGCGCGCTTAAGAGGGGGGAGCCTATCAACCGGTGGCGCCTTGTATTCAGCTGTTGAGACACATATCTGTACACTGTCAAACACAGAGTTTAGAATATCTGGGCGCAAGCTATGTAGTTTGTTGCTCTCCTCAAGGATATATTCCTCCTCTGGTTCATACTCCGATGACGCCCTGAGCCGATCACTTGCAGAGCTGTCATCCGAATCACTCTCAGACTCGCTGTTTGAGTCGTCAGACTCTGACTCGGAAGAGTCAGAGCTATAGTAGCCCTGATAAACCCTTGGGAGACTCCTACGGCTCGCGTAGGGTGGCAGAGGTCTTCCGGATCTACTTCTTTTAAGCCCAGTGGGCTCCTAGAACACGTAAGGAACTGCCCGACGGGGAAAGTTCATACTAGATCTTACCTTTGGTCGAAGTGTCATGCTTGACTCTCCTTCTGATTGGTGGTGGTCAGGAAGTCCCTCTCTGGAACCCCCTGTACTCACAAATAGGTCGAGTTTTTCGATATGCATTCTCAGATTCCCGGCAATTGTAGGATCAGCGTCTCGTATGATATCAATTGTCTGCCTCTGAGGAGGTGATGTGATACGAGTGTGAGCCGAGGTCAGCCCAACCCGTACGTATACTCCATCACACTCACGGAGCTGAATGGCGATTCGGGGCTCGGAGCCGGCGTCTTTTGCGGTCTGCTTTCTGATATCAAGGAACGTAAACAATCCTTGCTTGATGACCGGGCCTCGAATTTCGGCTCCGTTGTTGGTAAAGCGGACTTTGCTCTCAAACCTCCATGGCGCTAGGTTTGTATTTTGGTATGCTAAGAGATGAGCGAATTCTGCTGGCGAATGGGCAAATATGCCTCTGATCTCTGGGCCGTTACTACCAGCCCTCCAAGCAAATATTGAGCTATCTCGAGAGTCATGCAAGACTTGCTCCTGCAAGCGACAAAATGCTTTTGTTCTCCCCTCGCCATAAATGATCTGCATCTGCACGCCGAGAATGGGCGCCAGGGAGTAAATCAGGTCTTCAGGCCGAGCAGAAGATTTGGCCGCATACCAGGCGATTCGAATGCCGACCGCGACATTGGCCAGGGCCGCTGGCTCTCGGAGAACACTGATTGGAACACCGGTAATATTTGAAGCCAAAGGGGTGAACTCTGGGCAGGTTTTGGAGCATCGGTGATTCCATTGACTATCGTAAATCTCTACTCGCCTCGAGAGGATGAAATCAGTGGTTGCTGTGGCTTCCTTCCAGTAACCGCAGCGCTCCCAATCGTCTTCATTATAGCCCAAGCTTTCTGCAGAAAGGTCACCTAAATATACGATAGCTACCCGAGCGCTCTCGAGCCGTTGACGCGACTCGTTGATTGAGAGGGCGACCTCAGCGGAAGATGATTGATCAACACATAAGTCACGGTCCCATAGGTGATTGATGCCCAATCCAGCCGCAATCCGGCATGCGGCAATGACGACATCCGGGATGCGAGAAGAGTCCCAATGATCTCGATCGAGTGTAAAAGGAGATCTGTTAGGCACGGGCCGTCCCTGGCGCGAGAGGACGGCGAAGGAGGCAATTGAAGGGTCGGGGATGTCGTCAAGATTGAATGTCGTGGTACAGATTGCCTTCATCATGAGGCTATGGGGTGAAAGAGAGTAGTAGAATGTTATCGTGAGGCAAACTGGTTGGGTCTAATGATTTAGTCCTCAGTCATTGATACGTGAAGCTCATTTATATAGTTCAAGAATGCATCTTCCGGAGCACAGGCACACTCGTGCTGTAAAGGAGCTGAAGGTTGAACGTACGTTGTTGGGTCGCATGCTTATGTTTGAGAAGCTCACAAATGTGATGGTGTCTGGTGGTACTGAACCCACACACCCCCCTTTACCCGGCACACTTGTATCATCATGCTCACGCTCGTTTCTCCAATTCTACCCCCTCCTCCTCCTCAAAAATGCAATGTACTATATGACGCTCGTATTGTTATAGCACGACGGCGATCTACTGAAACGCATCATAGACCAGAGCAGTCAAGCCTGTGTTCTTGTAACTCATTGATGTCAATCCATTGCTAGTGGTGAATTCCCCCGTTGCTCGGAGGGCCCCGGTTTGGCATGGAGCAGCTAGCAACGAGCAAGGGAGTCGGGGAACCTGCCCCGTGCCGCTAAAGCCATAAGGCGGATTACATTAAACAGTTCCTCTGCTGCATTCCCTGTTAGCTCAGTAGCTGGACTGCGTCTTGGGCTGGTATCAAGCCCCAGCTGCCCTGACCGACTTTCTGTGACGTTGGGCAGAACGAATTTGTTCCCAAAGTCGATGTTGAAATCTCGCCATTGCTTTCAGAAAAGATTCTTATTGGTCCTTTTCTCAATTAGATAGCTGGCTTGCTCTGTTGTGCATAATTCTGCAATATGGGTGTCTCGAAAGACGCCCAATCATGCCCAACCTCATCTTCAAACGTCACCATACATGCACAGAGAGGTCCTAAAAGTCCTATCTCCAATATGAAACGCCAGCAGCTTTCCATGTGTGGAAAGAGTAAACTACTTGGTTTCACTATAGTTACGGTCAGGCGCGAATTCAGGAAGGCCCAACTGGAGGATGAGCCTCGTTAGGACGGCTGAAACTGCGTCATAGGATTGAAGCTCACATATACACATACTGTGACTGAGTATGGCTATTTATTTTCTCGGTATATCCGGGGAAAATCTATCCCGATGCCTCGTCACTGGGAGACGATTCATGATCTGCTAAGCCACAGTCTACGCAAACATTGCGTTTATAGGGGCCTTTGGCAGCAAAACATGTCACTCGATGATCTATTGTTAGGCTACATACTTCAACAACTCCAATCTTTTCCTTCTATTCACTGCAGAGATGCAGAAAAATCGCATTGCGTATTCGTGGACAGCTCGCCCGATCAAAGCACGCTGGGGTCCTTTGGGTGAGAGCATAGCCACAATCCACAATACGGGAGGGGTCCAAACTCAGTACGTTTCAAATTGGAATGGAAAGGCAAACAAGGCCATTGTACTTTCATAAGGCGCTCCATGGCTGTGATTGACAAAAAAGTTGGAATTCTGCACTGCAGATATCTTCATAATGGGTGGGAAAAGGATACAGTCCTTGAGCCGGTGTGCGCGCTCATCCATGGTCAGCTTAGTCGACCCTGGTTCGCAACACGCACAATATTTCTATCTCCCAGTACTAACATGGAC